AAACAAGGCCTTGGCTGAAGAAGATTCTTCTCTTAATGAAAGGAAGGAGGAAGCCAACCAACTCAGAGAAAAAGGAAACGATGCATTCAAAAAAAGAAATTTCAAAGAAGCATTGGATCTTTATACAAGAGCCATTGATTTGTGGCCTGATGACCACCAGCTGTTCTGTAACAGGGCCCTCTGCCACTTGAAACTTGGAGAATCAAGAAATGCTCTGGAAGATTGTCAAAAATGCCTTTATTTAAAACCTGATTACAGCAAAGCACTTCAACGAAAAGCTTGGGCCCTGCGAGGACTTGTTGAAGGTGGAAATTGTGAGCTTGAAGGACAGAAACGTGCAGCAGTGGCAGTCGCCCTTCACTTCGATCCCAATCTTCGCCAAGACAAAGTGTTTTGTCAGATGTTTCCTGAAGCGCTAGAACTCTGCGTCAGCGTTATATCCAATGAAACACAACTAGTGTCTGCTTTGAAGACAACACAAGGAGGCAAAACCTTGTTGTTACGTGAAGGAGAATACCGTTTGACCTCCTTTGTAACCTCAAGTGACCTTCAGATTGTAGGTCTTGGATCCAAAACTATTTTGCATTGCACACAAACTTGCTTTATTTTCCGCGCCAAATGTTATTTTGAAAATATTGTGTTTCCTAAGGGGAACGTTGCTCTCATCTGCTTTGGAAAAGATGGCACTGTACATTTAAATCAGTGTGATATTTCAGGAGGAAAGACAAGTTGTGAGGACTTTCCAGACTGTAATGGAGGTCCAGGCTGTGTGGCGCCCTCTGCTTGTGATCGGACGGGAAACTTTGGTGATTCAAAATCAATGTCTGGCATAGGTGGCTCTCCGGGAGTCGGGATTTCAGTCGAGGGCTTTGGACTGATTGAAAACTGTGTAATTCATGAGTGTGGGGGTGGAGGTGCCCTTGTTGCTGGGAAAGATTCTCGACTATTGGTTAAAAACTGCGAAGTGTACAAAAACCACCAAGTTGGATTAGAGGCAAGGGAAGGAGGAGAACTTGAAGCTCTTGGAAACAAGATATTCTACAATGGTGATCATGGCATTCTGATTTGGAAGTACCCTGGGAAATGTGACGTCAACGACAATGAGATTTTTGAAAATGCAACGGAAGGCATCCGTGCTGGCATCACAAAAGAGAAGATAACCCTACGCAACAACAGTATCCATCACAACAGACCCTTTGGTATTTCCCTTGGTGATGATAATACTCAAATTGTTATAAGCAACAATGAGATTTTCGAGAATGGATTCTGGGGCATCCTCGCTAAAGGGCGAACATCGGCATACATAGTAGGAAACAAACTGAGTGGTAACAAGTGTGGAGGAATTTTTATTGGTATCAATTATTCTGGGAGGGTTCATCTAAAGACAAATACTGTAAGAAATCACAGTGGCCCTTGGCTTGAGTATTGTCGTTCACTTAACGACAAAGAGACTGATGCTCTGGGCCATATGCTTCCAGAGGGTGAAAAACAGTATTATTCGAAGCCTCCCATTCTAGAAGAAAATAAACAATTTAACAACGAGGAAGGCATGTATCATCCCAGAGAGCTGGTTGAACGACTTTGCAATGGCTGCACTTATTGCCATCGTCGAAGAGACAAAAGAGTGCGTTTTTTGAAGTGCCCAGGATGCCTCATTGCATCATACTGCAGTAAGGAATGCCGGCGCAACCACCAACCTAAACACGAGACATTATGTTTCGCTCTTAAAACTCGTTACGCTGTGGACGTTGACTGTCCTCCCCTAGCTAAGCAAGGATTTGAAGTGAGGTCGCGGATATTTGGTTCTCACTTAGTGGGAATTGGAGAGGGTCCAAAACCAGAATCAAACAAGGAGTTTATTGTCAAAATTCAAACACAAAGTCTGAACAGCCACCCACTGCAGTTGCTGACACTTTACGACCAAAGCGTCACCATAGATTTTGAAATACAAAGTCCAGAAATCTTCAACGTGATAATGGACTGTGGCGTTCTTGGAGCTTTACACAAGTTTACAAGTAAGAAATGCTTTTTCTGGGCCATGTTTAGTGAGCCAGGAGGAAAACTAACAATTTATCTTGATCATTTGGCTCCTTATCAGAAGTGGTGAAGGTCTGAGAATAATTTAGATATCAGAGTTTCTTGGTACAATAAATGCCCCTAAGATTTTAACTATTGCATATTGTTTTGAGGGGTCAAGTAGTCACCAATAGTTGTCATTTTGACTAATACCTGTTCAAACAGATTGTCAAAACCCTTACGTTTAGGTTTTTCAGTAATCAGACTTGAAAATTACTTTTTATTTTTTAAACAAGATTCTTAGTAATTATTACTGCATAGAGTACATGATAAGTAATTATTTCTCTATTTTGCGGTGCCATGTCAAAGTGGAAAGACAGACTTACTGTCCAATGCTATGTGTTAAAAAATCAAACTTAAATGTTTGATGGTCAATCAACTATAAAAGAAGAAGCACAGATCATTGAATGTTGTCCTTCAGCATCATTTTAGATAATTGAATGGACAAAAGTTCAAATGAGGCCTGAAACTACTGTAATATTGATGTTAAAATATTTTAAAAATCCAAGCTTTTGCCAATCCAAGGCATCAACTTCCAACTCTTCAACTTGCTTTTAATGAAGACTGTGGTTCTCTCATGTAGGCACATTGGCAGCAGTGCAAGAAGGTTTATGATTTTTCCAATCTGCTTTTTGACACTCCCCTTGGGAAAATGTGAAAGAAGAATTAGTATCTGTGTCAAAACATAAGGCCTAAAACTCTGCTTGGCCAATCTACAGTACTAAACATAATGGCGCATGAGGATATAAATCAAAATAAATCTATAGAAAAAATGAACTTCAATTTTGGGTTTTAAGACATAGACAGTCAAAAGTCATGAGAAGATTCATATTTGAATTTTTGTGATTACAACTTGCACTTAGGTTGTTCATTTGATTTATTTACCTTGAAACTCAGAAAATCATGAAGACTTTGAATTACTTTTGAACAGTCACAGTAATAATCAGGACAAGCAAGCAGATTTCAAAATGACAAATTACAAAGAATTTAAGTTTGTGGCTTTGTTTCTTCTTACTTATGTAGCTTTTTCCTAGAAACATGACATAATATTTTGAGTGTTTACATGTTTCTGAGTTTCAGAGTGACAGGTGCCAGCTGATACATGTTACATGTGACTATCAAAAAATAACAACAACAACAGTAGTCAGAGTTTCTCAGTACAATAAATGCCCCAAAGATTTTAACTACCACATCTTTTTCTGAGGTGTCAAGCAGTCACCAGTAGTAGTCATTTTGACTAATACTCTTTCAAACACACGATCAAAACCCTTATTTTTAGGTTTGTTGGTAATCAGACTTGAAAGTAACTTATTTTTTAAAAAAAGATTCTTAGTAATTCTTAATGCATAGAATACATGATAAGTAATTATTTCTCTATTTTGCAATGCAACGTTAAAGTGGAAAGACAGATTAACTGTCCAATGCTATGTTAAAAAATCAAACTTAAATGGTTGATGTTCAATCAACAATTAAAGAGGCACAGATCCTTGAATGTTGTCCTTTAGTAGCATTTTAGATAATTGAATGGGCAAAAGTTCAAATGAGGCCTGAAACTACTGTAATATTGATGTTAAAATCTTTTAAAACTCCAAGCTTTTGCCAATCCAAGGCATCATCATCAAGAAGCACAGAAGTTAACACATTGCTCTTCAACTTGCCTTTAGTGAAGACTGTGATTCTCTCACCTAGGGACGTCCAGATTACTTGGCAGCAGTGCAAGAAGGTTTATGATTTTTCCAATCTGCTTTTTGATACTCCCTTTGTAAAAATGTGAAAGAATTGGTATCTGAGTCAAGACATAATGGCACATGAGGATATAAATCAAATTAAATCTATAGAAAAAATGAACTTCAATTTTGGGTTTTAAGACATAGACCGTCAAAAGTCATGAGAAGATTCATTCTTGAATTTTTGTGATTACAATTTGCACTTAGCTTGTTCGTTTGATGTATTTACCATGAAAGTCAGAAAACATGGACACTTTGAATTACTTTAGACCAATCACAATAATAATCAGGAGAAGCAAGCTGATTTCAAAATGTCAAATTATGGAGCACTTAAGTTTTTGGATTTGTTTCCTCACGCTTATGTAGCTTTTTCCTAGAAACACGATGTAATATTTTGAGTGTTTACATGTTTCTGAGTTTCAGAGTGACAGGTGCCAGCTGATACATGTTAGAAATGATTAAAATATCCTCTTTGAACAAATAGTCCCTGATTGATAAGAAATTCTGGACTATCAAAAAATAACAACAATGACAGTAAAAGCCCCCCAAAAAGGGATAAAAAAATAAATTAATTCCATAGCAGTGACTTAAAGGGTGACTCATCTTTTAATGTCAGCCTAACATTGGTAGGAGATGTGGTGGCATTATGGTTGGTGCATTGAAGTTTGCATCAAGAGATCTTGGATCATGTCCTGGCCAGGTCACTGTGTTCTGTATTTGGGCATGACACTTACACTGACCTGTAACTGCACCTGTCTCCACCCAAGATCTTAATTGGGCACCAGAGAACTGTCAGTTAAGCCTGACAAAAATCTGGCTAGTAACCTGAAATCCCCCATCCAGGGGAAGTAGTTGTAGAGCCTTTCCATTCTGGTGATAAGCAGCTATGTAAATTTATTGGAACAGAAGAAACTGTTTACATCAGAAAGGCTTTTCAATCTCGTAAGAATGATTTGGTTCACCAACATGGTCGCCATTCTCATGTTTTGGCTCAGTAATTTGGCAGCTGTGACAATGTGAAAATTATCTTACCATACTTCAAGTTGCTCTAGGCAACAGAACACAGGATAATAATATTTACCTTAGAATAAGAAAATTTGACACCTGCCTCAATACTTAAGACCAAAAAACAGAAACTTAAAATACAAAGCCAACTGAAGTTAAAAGAGTGAACAGTTCAAGTGAAGGTACGTACTTGCTGCAGTATTTTTGCATACCACACTGACCGCAAGATTTCAAGTCACTCTCTTTGACATTTTTGGTGCATGCCCTGTTTCTACACATTGCTTTTATTTCCACATTAGCAAAAAGTTGGTAGAAAGGTGCCATTGTATCCTTTAATGGCAGGTCAACATTTTCTAAGAGAGGAAGTCTATTTTCTTCAGCATCTTGTCCCAGTTCAAAATACTTCCTGAATTCATCCATGTTTCTTTCTAGCAGATAAATTTTTTCCAGGTAGAAACAAACATTTGGGCATGTCTTGTAGCAGTGTGGGGCCTCTACAAGATACTCCTTTAAAACCTTTACTGCAGTGTCTCTTAATTTTTCAGCAGTCCAGGAATCATATTTGGAAATTTCCCTCTAATGAAGCATTTCTTCTGAAAAAGCCACAGGTTGATAAATAGCTAATGGGTATTTATCTGCATCATCTCTTTGCCTCAGTTTTTCATTCATAACGTCAAATGATTTTTCAAATGCCTCCTTTGACACTTCTGACATGTCATGCTTTGTGTCATAACTCCCTGGGCACTGCTGAAGAAGCTAATCAGTGAGACAAAATTAATAAAAGGTTAATGTGTGTTATTGAGGCAATGTCACCCATAAATTACAGAAATAGATTCATTTATTGATAACAGTGGCAACCACATCACATCCTACCATATATAAATGGCACCTTGGGAGAATTCAAACATCAACATTGCTGTATTTGTTGCCATTTTTGGCAAAATTCAGTGCTTTGTCATGAAGAATCTTTATATCTTCATCATGTGAACTGCAACTCGAGAAAGTGGTGCAAGCTTCGTTTGAGGTGTACCCATTCCCACAGCTACAACAAAATCAGGCACTTCATTGTGTCAAGGTACATAATTCCGATTTTAGATTGTATTCTCCCTTACAGTACTTTTGGGCTCGACGAAATAAAAAGCAGGTAAAAAACCAACAACAACAACAGCACCACTGCAAAAAAAGCTAAAAGAAGCACATGCTAAGAGGATCAACTTCAAAAGATGCCTAAATGGTGCCTGTCTGTAAATTTCTACACATTAAAAGAACAGTCCCAACAGCAACCTCATTAGCTTCGACATAACCGCTAGCAGAAGCTTTTTCAAGCCACCGTTTCGCCTTCCTTAAGTCCCTAATCTGCTCCCAACTTCCTTCCAAATATATCTGTCTAAGGTTCAGCCGGGCCTCAGTATTTCCTAGTTCCACGGCTCTGGTCAAATAGTGAACAGCTTTCGTTGGTTGCGGTTTCCCTTCTGGGCAATCACCAAGAAGATAATACTTGTACAAAGATGTCAAAGCTTTATGTCGAAAATCATCACGAGAATTCTCAATTTTGTTCATAGTTCCAGCAATAAGAAGACCTAAAGATCCCCTCTTTTACTAAGTTCGACTGTACTTTCCCCTGCCGCCTTTTTGTACCATTCAAACACTTCTTTGATATCTTCGTCTACCACTACCCGACTCCATATCGATATATTTCAGCTAAATTAAGCTGTGCAGAAGTACTTCCCAGACGGGCTGCCTTGTGATACAAATCGTACGCCTTTCGCTGGTTGTGTGGCTCTCCCGTAAGATCCAGTAACTGACCAAGTTCTTGTAAAACCAAGGGATTAAAACAATCAGCCAATAGCTTTCTCGGTGTCCTTCTCAACGAATCCTTTGACCGCTAGAATAAGCGGTATATCAAGGTGAATTTGGCAAGATGCTTCGCCCTTCTTAGCTCGAGAAATTAAAAAATCCACTAAGCCATACGATTCTTTGAGTTGGTTTTCCAGATTTAAGTTTTCTGGGTTGAAAAAAATCCATGTTCGAATGCGGTCGAAGTAATTCGTAAACCGAAAGCGCAAGAGAACTTCCAGGATGCGAGTGAACTGTATTTATAGGTCATGTATCAGATATTATAGTATGCCATAAGTTACTTTGTGTTGTCCGCTGAACTTTAGTATTGTAGGCTTCCGGTTTTCTGGGAATCGTAAATATTGGGAGTACGTGGCACGTCATTTCTCGGAAAAATGTTCAGCAGTATAGCGCCTGCTTTGCATTGAACGCAGATTTCTTGTTCGACTTCTGCGAGTTTTATAGGAACTTACCATAGATAACATACAAGTCTTAATTGTTTGGTAAGTTTAGCATGTCGAAAAGGATTGGGGTTCTCTGGATGCAGCTTAAGATATATATTTTAGACGTGGATGTTGACGATGTTATTCCACTGCGCTCTAAGATGGTGGGGTGATGGGAATGTTTTAAGCCCTTATAAGTGAATATTGAAACTTTTCAAAACGTTTAGCAAGGATGAATCGAAACGGTGAAATATATCAATGCTAGTACAGCCACTGGAATCAGACTCCAGCTTCTTCTCGACCAAGGGGCTGGGTGGGCCATATATGCTCGAATTCATGCTTTCTTTTAATTTTTTTTATCAATGTAGTTATGCCTAACGTGTATTTCTACCTAATCGATGGAAAATGCCTATTACAGTTCAGTTTTGATTGGTAATACTTGCATATTTTTTGGGAGGGACATGACTTCTTGGTAGTATGTGGTTGGAAAAAATGTCTCTTTTCTTGGCTGGGGGGGGGATGCTGGGTACAAAGGATGCGATAAACACATGTCAATAATACTCCCCCTTCTACCAACAATAAGTAATGATCTTCTTCACTTTCTGGCCTCAGTTCTTTTTTTTTAGCATGAAAGGATTGTAAATGTGATTGATTATCCAAGGAGAATGGCACAATAAAGTTCCAAACATTCAAAGGTCTGCAACACTGAGAAAAAAAGACCAAAAGCTGAGCTTCCAAAGCCTTAGCACTGAATGAACAAAGATACAACAAATATCAATAAAGTTAACTCCACTTGAAGCTTATGAATTATACAAATTGTGCTCTTTAATAAAGCAACTCACGAAAAGTATTAAAGGTTTCCTCTATTCCATTTTACCAAGCTTATAATTCACCAATTGTGCCATTCTCATGAGTAGTTTTGTTAAACACGGACAACTGATTCTAGCATGTACAGTGTGTGAGTAACATACCTTTCACATTGTGATATAAATACGTTTACCTTTTTCTAATGGCGCAAAGGAAACTGACAAATGAGTTACTTGACTAATCAACCTCACAGGGACTTGATTACAAGGTAAAATATTTTGACTTGAATTAACTCTAATTTTGTGGTGCTGTTTTTTAAATAAATGAAAATGATGATGAAAAAAAAGGTAGTGCCTCCTGTGATTTTGTTATCATCCCTATCTCAAAAGGGAACCTGTTTATGACCCCCTAAAGGTTTTTAGCTCTGAAGTAATAATTTTAGTTCCATTATTTTGCACATATATTGATTACAGTATAATATTTTTTCAGTAATTTCATATGCATTACAAGAAATATGTAGGCATAGCTTCATGTTCATAACTGTGTTAATAACTTAGTTTGCTAATAGCCTTGATCACTTTTTAGGCTGCCATGGCAACAGGCACAAGCAAAACCCCTATTTTAATTGTGCCAACAACACTTCCAGGACCTCCTGCCATACCCACAGTTCTCACCAGTCCCTCAGCAGCAGCAGCAGGCCCTGGTGGGTACAATAACTTTCTTATTTACCTTTAAGTAATAGTAAAATTCACACCTTACCTCTAGGCCCTTGGGTGGCAGGTAGCTCTGTTTCTAGGAGAATCTCGATATTTTATGTCTGGTGACTCAGAAAAAAATATTATACCACTGACCCCTGGGGGTTAGGGGGGGTAGTTGAGTCAATTTTTGCTGGGTTTGTGCCACCGCCCTCTTCAAACCCCTACTCCATTATTGTGCATTCTGTGGTCAGTTATAGACCCCAGTTTAATGACTTTTGAGCAAATGTAATTTTGTGATTCCAACCGAAGGGTAAAGAATCCTACTTCTTTTGAATCGAGGGTTGTCTAATACACCCAAACCGCTGCGAATCGTCAAACCGGATGTCGATTCGCGACTAAGTGGTGTTGTGATACAGGTGGTCTGAGAAACCATCTCTTATGACATGGAAACGCATACTAGAAGTCAATTTGCAAGAGACTCAGAAAATATACCGCAAGTGTCTGCGATAGGGGGTTGAAGATGTTATCGAATCGACACGAATCGACTCGAGTCGAACGACTCGTCACAACAAATGACGACCCGTCATACCGGATGTCGATTAGCAAGACACTTAGACTTCCGGTCGTTTCACGCTTTAAGAACATGGGAGCTCCATGTCTTCTTCTGCAAATCGACATCCGGTATGACCGATCGTCATTTGCTGACTGGTCGAATCGTGTCGAATCGTCAACATTTGCCACACTGTTTAGTTTATAATATTCTGACGATAGACTTCTGGTTGTTTCACGCTTTAAGAACGTGGAAGGTTCATGTTGTCATGTTCTCATACCATGCCACTCGTTTCACTCATTGCTCACGTACGTCTCTCGACTTCCGGTATGTTAACGCACGATTCGACATCCGGTGTGACGATTCGTCAATGACCGTGGACGAATCGCAACGGTTTGGGTGCATTGGACATGTATGTTTGAAGCCCTACTTACCAGAATTTTCTTGGCCCCAAAATCCAGAAAATGTGCAACTCCATTCGTTGAAAAGACTAAGTGTTGCCTAAAAGAAAACAAACACAGTGATTATAAATTGTGAAAAAGATTACCCCTTTGGTGTGGAGTTACCGACAAAGAGTGACACCAGGTGGCATACATCATGCGACAACCGCAAAAACAACTTTTGTTGGCACCAGGATTACAAGTTATTAGATAATTGTCTTTTTTTGTAGCTTTTGTTTTTGCTAAGCTTCTTAGTAGCTTTTGTAACCTTTAGTCTTATGTTGTGAGCCAAACTTCTTCCCAATCTGATGAAGGATTGGTAGCAGAGTGTTAGGGTGCCTTCTGAAGGATCTTGATATTAGTTTATATTTGGTGTTTCGTCCAACCACTCCTCTTGAAAACGTAACACGATCATAATACGACCCCATCTAACGGCACATCCTCTTTGGCCTATTACTAGAAAGAACCCGTACCCCCCCCCTTCCCTGATCACTGACTTCAGCCTTGTTTTGATCATGTTTTTCCTTGATCGCTGTTAAATGAATTTGTAAGGAAAAAAATTGATGAAAATGTATCCTTGGCACATGGAAGTTCACGTGATCAGTATGGATGGTTCTTACTTCTCTGTAATTATAAGCCCAAGCAAGAAAACAAACCGATGTCAGGTGCCATGCCAAATAAAGAGGAAAGGGAGACCAATTCCTGCATGTCTAACCTCATATTTGAGCCTGCACTTCACATATGGCGAAGTTTAGGCAAGAATATTATTAGTCCAACATCATATCTAACATCATATTCTGGGTTTTTGCCCTATTCAACGGTGTAATACCGAGGCATGTTTAACAGGTAACATTGCCCTATTACAGTAGAAGTTGAATTATAGATGTATATATTTGCTCGCTTGAAAAAAGGCTAAGGAATATTCATAGTCTGTGAAATTGGCTACTTCCTCGAAACCAAAGGTGAGATTTCCCCAAGTGCTTACAATTGTAAACCTAAAATCTTAAAGTTCAATGTTAACCTACATTTCGGATGAGATCTATTTCAGTCTGTGGCAAAAACTGTTCTTTTCTTTTGTAATTTCTTACAGTCAGCAGCTTTAATTTGGGTGACAAACAAAAAAGATGGGTTGTGATTGGAATCACATTAAACAGGCTTCTATCACCAGTTCTCCGTGACTTTGCGGGCAAGGAACTTGCTAAACACTACACATCATTGAAGAGTTCCAGTGGAATAGATGCACAGGTTTATTCCACTCACATGAAGGGAGATGGTTCTTTTGATTTAAACTATGGCAGCATCAACAACAACTGGGGAAGGTTCAAGAGAAAGGTGCATCTCTATGATTACAAAGTGGCATCTGCTGAGGATCTGGCCAAACTTTACCTTGAACCACACATGGCCAAATTTACAGGTGAGCGTTTATTTTACCAAAATTGGCAGTAATGTCGCAATGTAATTGGCCAATTCGCCGTTGTTGATAAGAGTACAAACAGCGCTGCTTGCGTCAACGTGTCACGCAATGCCTTTATAAGCTCTCAAACATGGGTGACTCGGAAATTTTGATATTGTGGTGAAAACAAACTGATAGTAGTTTAGCGTGGTCTGTAGTCTTATCGACAACTATATTTGTCATCAGTGTCAAAATTTATTGTATACTCACGAGGCGCACATTTTGACCACTGTGGTGACGATTATCGTTGTCGCCAAGAGTACAGACCACACTAATGTCAAATCTCAAATCTCTTGTTCATCTTTCTGATAATTATTACTTACAGTGGAATACAATGACGAGAAACAAATTTGAGAATATATAATCGTTCTAGATCAGCTTGCAGTTTCGTATTGGCACGTCAGTCTCTGACACAGGTTGCTTGGCACTATATATATGTCGAAAAGACTCTCGGCCCAACGAGACTCTGAAGTCTTTTTCAGTCAAGAACCATACTTGTCAACTTGGAAACTATCCTGACAGATCAGGATATCACCTACATAGCTTTTTTTGTCAGTTGACTCGATCTTTCTCTCCAGTTCACACAAAATGATCACACTAAAAATCCCCTCTTCGGTTACGGCCTTATCTCGCTTCTTAGCCATGACATGTGATGTCTGCTCAACTTGTTCACCTTTGTGTAAAGCAGGGGTAACATTGGCAACGGTTTGACGCTGTGGAGTCCACACCTTAGCGAGCACGAGCTACAAGCTTTAGCAAGAGTATAATAATAGTTAAATGAGCCTACTAAGTAATGGCTGAATTTAAACTGAGATAACATGAGTACAAAAGGATGCAACGTAAAAGGTATCTTTTAAGGTAAGAAGACTTCAAGAAGGCTTCTACTGACAATGTATCCTGTATGCATATATAACTCCTTATGCTAACTTAAAGTATAAATCTTATTGCCTATTTTCAGGTTTTGATAACACATGCGACTTGTCAGCAGTTTTAGGAATGCTGGCCAACTCATCCGTGTTTCACACGCGCGTCCAAACAAATGCTAAGGATGTGCGCTCCAAAGTAAGAAACGAGTGGGGACACTGTAACTTTGATCACTGGAATGAGCCGGATTTCAACTACAGTTTCCAACTCATGGAGACATTAATTCGTTCTTTGGGGCTTCCAGTGGTTGATGAAAAGAAAGTACTCGATGAACTTCACGAGTGGGAAACCAAGGGTGAGTAATTTAAATAATGATACGATGGTGTGTATGGGGCGTAGGCGCTAACCAGCTCTTTTGGATGCCACTCCCTGTGTGAGCGCCAGTCTTTCTTTACGCTCTTTGTGAGCTGATCTTCTCCACCTGCATTTACCCTGTCGGGGATTTATATACTGTCTCGATAGAAAGTGCAAAGTCCATTGTTTTCCACCTTTCCTTCTTTTTTTCCTCTTCATTATTTAAGGCGCCTTGGCTACCCAAAGTGAAATATTCACATCATGGCTGACTTTGTATCCACATAAATTGTTTTTTCGGCAGGTTTGCAATTGTGCATGGGTTGCCCAGTGGACAAGGATTTGATGAAACTTGTCAGTATTGAGGTAACCAACTTAGAACAAAACTTGAAGGCCATAAAGAAATCCAATGCTGATGAAGCCAAGAGGATACGAGAAGCTCTTCAAGACGCCATAGATGAAATAGCGAAGTTTGAGAAACGTATAGCCGACATGGAAAGTCGACTGGAGGAAGAGCTCCAGGCGCAGTCAGAAAAGAACAAAGCATTCTCATCAGCAATTGAAGATATTTCTAATAGTATAAATATAATAGAGGAACGCCAAGATACAAATGAACAAAACATTTCTCTGATAGAAGAAAGGCAAAATGAGGTAGAATCAGCTGTAGCCTCTTTAAAAGACGGAGAGAGTAACCTAAACTCAAAGGTGGAGGTTTTAAAGCTCGGACAAACTCAGTTAGATTCTCGGCTGAAAAAGTTAGAAGAGGGTAATCTTAACGCTGTGGTCGATGCGAAAATTTTGCAATTGCCCAGTCGCAATCATTGCTTCTGTGGTCGCGAAAGTGAGCTAAAAGCAATTGCAGCGCAACTAAAAAATACTACGAGGGGTTGTTCTGAATCAACAATTTGCGGTCTCGGGGGTGTTGGAAAAACATCTCTTGCTGTCGAGTTTCTCTGGCGACAGAAAGACAAGGAGGAATATCCCGGTGGTATTTTTTGGATTTCAGGCGAAACCAGCATTCTTTTTCAATTGTCTGTCAGCGAGATGGCACGTCAAGTTGGAACTTTTGATGACAAAGACTTTTCTAATTCGCTGTCAAGAACCTTGGACTGGTTGACAAAGCGCGAGCAGCTGTGGTGTTTGGTGGTTGACAACCTGGATGAGTTAGAAATGCCCATGGATATGCGGAAGTTGCTTACTGGTCATTGGAAACAGGCTGCACGTGGTCATATCATCATAACCACGAGGAGAGAAGCAACGGAAATCGAAGAAGAAACCGGAATCGAAGAAAGCCTTTGCATTGAGTTGAAATGTTTCACAGACGGAGAAGGAATTCAATTTTTGAGGATACGAAGCGGGAAAGGTGGAGAAGATGATGATTTCCTTGAGATAGTGAGAGAGCTTGGCGGACTACCTTTAGCTCTTGATCAAGCTGCTGCTTACATCCGATCCCTTTCCCTTCGACAGCCCATTAAGGAATATCTGAAGAAGTATAAGAAACAGAAGTTGGTTCTCTTGAAGAAGAAGAAGGCTCGTAATTTGGTGGAAAATACATCGCCTGAGCGACTGGCTGTTCACACAACATGGCTGTTGAATTTTGATCACATCAATCGAATTTCAGAGGAGATGGATCTCGGTGAAACCCCTACACTTGTGATGCAAATTTCTGCCTACTTAGGTCCCGATGACATTCCTAATGCACTGATAAACCAGGGGCTTTTCGAAGTGGGAAATGCTGAGGCAGTAAGCGATTTGTGGGATGCAGCCGAGATAGCGTCACTTCTTACAAAATTTTCCCTTTTTCAAAGGTATGGGATAGATTCGTTTGGTGTTCATCGTTTGGTGCAAGAAGTTGTCCGAAATGAGATAGAGAAAGACAAAACTGAGCTGCGAGTTCTTTGTTGTGCAGTGCGTGTCCTTTATCGTGCTATAGTGGATACACGCTCACCAGCAGAAGTTTGCGAGAGTTTCTCTGAAGGCGCTGTTTTCAGTATAGAGAATCCTCCATCATTACAACTCTGGGGCAAGTTGGCTGCGCACACCATCTATTTACAGGAGCATATTCGAAGCTTCGCAGAAAGAAATGAAAGTGATATCGAAAGCGTAAAAGTCTTGCTAAACACTGAAGAAACCGTTCGTATCTTTAATGAGGCGGGAATATTTTTTAGCGTTTCTCAACAGAAAGTAAAAGCTCAGGCAATGCAAGAAATGAAACTTGAGTTGCTAGTGCACCTTGAAAAGTCAACCACTAGAAATAATGCTGATTTGCCATCGTATTTTGTCGATGTACCTCTGAAAGACAAGGACCACAAGGTGATTTCGTGCTGTATGAGACAATCGGCGGAGAGTGAGGTTGTGGCTGAAGAAGCCCCTTTCCCGACCTCAGCGGAGGAGGAAGCCAACCGACTCAAAGAAGAAGGAAACATTGCAGTAAAAAATGGCAAGCTAAAAGAAGCCTTAGATCTTTATTCCAGAGCCATTGATTTGTGGTCGGGTGACTATCGACTGTTTTGTAACAGGGCCCTTTGCCATTTGAAACTCGGGCAGGCAAACAGTGCTTTAGATGACTGTGGAAAGTGCCTCTCTTTAAAACCTTTTTACAGCAAAGCGCTGCAACGTAAAGCTTGGGCTCTCCAAGAACTCGTTACCAAAGGACGTAATGAGCTCAAAGGGCAAGCGCAAGCAGCATTGGCATTGGCCGTTCATTTTAATCCCAATCTTCGCTGTGATGAAACCTTTTGTGAGATGTTTCCGGAAGTTTCACTTGTGCGTCCCGTAGAAGTAAGCAGTGATACCCATTTGAATTTCATAATCTTGATGCAGCAAGAAAATTCAACCTTGTTATTACATGAAAGGGAATACAATGTACCTAATCTCATTTTTGGCACTGATTGCCAGGTGGTGGGTCTTGGGCCCAGAACGGTTGTAACTTGTAGAAATAACTGCGTAGTCACAGGTGCTAAGGTCTACTTTGAGAATATAGTGCTTCCTAAGGGAAGCACAGCTCTGTGTTGCTTAGGTGAGGGGGGAGCTGTTCATCTGAATCACTGCGAAATTTCTGCAGGATGGGCGGGTTGTGAGGAATTTCCAGAATGCAATGGAGGCTCGGGCTGCGTAGCGGCATCTTTGGGAAGGCCAGCTTGTGATCGGACTGGAATGTTTGGAGATCCACGATCAATATCTGGAGTTTTGGGCCGTGCTGGAATCCAGATTTCGGAAGGAAGCACTGCTTTGATTGAAAATTGTACTATTCATGATTGTGGAGGTGCAGGCGCCTTAGCAGATGGCGAAGGTTCTCAATTGTTTGTCAGGAAATGCGAAGTGTACAAAAACCACCAGGCTGGCATAGAGGTAAGGAATGGAGCCAAACTTGTTGCCTCCAAAAACAGGATATTTGACAGTGGCTATCATGGTGTTTTGATTGGTCCAGATGCCGGAGAATGTTACATTGACGGAAATAAGATTTTCGAAAATGCGAGAGAGGGAATTCTTGCCTTGCTAAACAAGACCAAGATCGTCGTACAAAACAATGACATTCACCACAACAGGCCCTTTGGAATTTCGGTGGATTCTAATTCTCAACTTGTGGTGGTTAAAAATAAGATATTTGAGAATGGATTCTGGGGAATCTTTGCTAAAACGCGCACGTCAGCACACATTGCAGAAAATGTTATTTCTGGCAACAAATGCGGCGGTATTTTTATCGGTGTCAATTATTCTGGACGAATTCAAATGCAATCAAATGTTGTTCGAGACCACAGTGGCCCTTGGCTCGAGTATCAGAACATAAAAGGCAGTCTTACCGTGAATGGTCCTGGTGCCTATAGTCCGTTGTCCTACTTGTATGTGCCGCCTGGAGAAAAGAATGAAGTTTATTCAAGTCCTCCTATTCTGGACGGAAACAGAGTATTCAACAACGAAGAAGGCATGTACCATCCCAGAGAGGTCACTGAACGACTCTACAGCGGCTGCACGTATTGTCGTCGCCCAAGAGATAACGAAGAGTGCTTTTTTAAGTGTCTGGATTGTCACATTGCATCGTACTGTAGTAAGGAGTGTCAACGAAACCACAGACGTAAACACGAGACATTATGTGTCGCTCTCAAAAGTCGTTATTCTGTAGAAGTTGACCGCATGCCGTCCAACACTAACCCAGTACGGATATTTGGCAGCAACTTGAGAGGTATTGGAGAGGGGCCAAAACCAGAGCCTAACAAAGTGTTTATTGCTAAGATTGAAACAGGAAATCTTAACAGCCACCCAATGCAGTCAATGGTCCTCTATGACAAAAGCCTCTCAATTGAATGTTTAATTCAAAGTCCAGAAATCTTCAACGTTATAACGGAGTGTGGCGTGCTTGGAGCTTTAATCAAATTCACAAGTAAAACATGTTTTTTCTATGCTACGTTTACCGAGCCAGATGGAAAGCTGACAATTTTCCTCGACCACCTTGCCCCTTATCAAGATTGGTAGGAATCTATTGCAACAGTTGTGACAGTTTACAGAGCAGCACATGTCAATCCGTTGACTTTGTAGCCTATTATTCAGCCGCGTTAACTGCCGAGAACTAGCGGTCGTATCGAGGAATAAAGTGTCTTCAATCACCTAATCCATCTTAGCCCTAGTTAGAGTCAGTTTGTATTTGCAGTTAACTTTTATTCGCCTGAAAATTTATCTCGGAGTCAGTTCGAGGAATCCTAACCAAGCAGGATAAAATCTTTCTTGTTTTTTTTTTCGGTGTCTACCGTTGCGCAGCGAAAGTAATCAGTCAGTAAATATTTACGTTTGTGGCTATTTTTTCAGTTGGCACAAATTTTCACCCGCTATTTTCAATTTTTGCCGTCGCGGTATATTACTTAATTATTTTGATAGTGTTCAGTGTTACCCTTAAAGCTTTTAGTTGATGCGTCTCTAAGGCTTATCGAGTAAAGCACGTTATATTTCAGTTGTATTTGTAGTGTTTTAAATTAAAATTGCGCCCATTGTTTTTCCGCTCGACCGAGGGCCAATATTCCTCAATACGGATCGAGCAAGCGAGGTCAGTTAGAAATTTATTATATGGCACTTGAACCAAACTTGTTTATTTTGAATTTGCCGGTTTTTTGCGAGCAAAAGTACACGGCTTAGGACTGTTCTAGTGGAAATGGTCTGTATGGCAAAATACCAACCAAGTAGGAACCGATCAGAACTCTCAAGACTACCTTTCTATATGATGAACTTTTCTATTTTATGGTAGCTAGTTGATAACACGTTTGTCAGCCGTTAACATAATATTGATTGAAAAGAAAGAAAACAAAAAAGTTTTTCATGAGGTATTATAATCATGGTTACAATATTGATAATAATAACACCAATAATTGCTGATATTTACACTGATAATGAATTAAAAATCTGAAAATTCGAAAAACTATGCCATATGTTGTCTTTTTCTTAGATAAACGCCCCGGCGTTTGTACGAGACCGGCATCTGTTAACTATTATCTGTCAGTTTTTGGGGTTGATTCTTTTGTTACTTCCATCCCCCGAAATTTAAAAATGTTGGTCAAGACGGCAGGATTTTCGCCTTCGTCCAGTCGCAATAAACCGTTGCTGCGTCTTCTCTGGAGGATATTACTCAGCTTGTGTGGAAATTTTCACGTTACGATGTCACTGCTATAGACATACTTACGCATACGTAACAAGCCCCCGACGATATTTTTTTCCCAAGGAAGTGTAATCAGTCTAGAAGGACAAAAGAAATGGACAATTAGATTGGTATCCTGGACTTTTAGACCGATCTCATGGTCGAATGATTTGGCGTCATAAATCCGTACACGTTAATGTACTGAGCATTCTTCTCCCCTCACGGATGGGTACTGTTAGCTGTTAGTGAAAAATCAAATGTGATGATTGGGCAAAACTAGTGTCGCATACAGACAAGAGTCAGCAATACTCCTGCTAAATTTCGGCATGCTGTCACTGGACTGCTGTCACTGTAGCATAGAAACGTCTTTCACTGAAATTTACACTAAGACGAAGGGTCGAGGGAAATTGGTCAGTTCCGCTGTTCAATCTTGTACCTACTCCAGTCCTGTTCCTGTATTTCCATTTTCTCAAAATCGCAAAAAAATAGTGGAGGGGGATACCCCTCACGTCATTCCTTACAGGGAATCATCGTTCGCCGTTACGTCGCAAATGTGTGGGTGGAACGTCAATTTCTTGTTCGATACCACTGGATTTAAAGGACCTTACAGCATGTAATCTGAAGGAATTTTCATTGGAACGTTCGTAAGTAAATATGAAGAAAGTACGAACTAAATTGGGGTTAATAAAAGGTTAATTTCCGCGTGAAAACCACCTTGATTCAGTTGTTTATGCCTACGCGGATTTCATTCGACGGCGCTTGTCGATGTTAAGGCGATGAGATAGTGTCAAGCTCTTAAAAGGGTCTAATACTATTTCGTAGAATGCAAAATGTTAAACGAGGATCGGTCGAAGCGATGAAATATATTCCATAACATGTCGACTCAAGGCCAACTTTCTCTTAACGCGAACGCGAGATGGTCGAATATTCGAACACTCGCTGAATTATTTTACTCTTGTTTTGAAATATGGCAAAGGAAAGTAAGCTGGAGTCATACTCCTGGTATTGTTTCTTACTCTGTCTTTCTTTACTCTTGCTTATTACGTTCGGAACATCTTGCAACAGTTTCCGGAAGTTTTCGGATCAATTTCTTAAACACCACAGTAGACCGAGGCTTGTTTGGGTCTTGTTTCGGAACCAGGCAGTTTATTACATGTACATATCTACGTACATAATACGCTAAACAAATACATCAAAGTTATAGACGGATACACCAAAACAACGGCGCGTTAATAAGGAATAAATTTCAAATGATTATGATGACATAAACAGAATCAAACTGCCTAGGTGGGTGGGAAACTAAAACTTTCTAAATGCTGATAATAAAATTGTTGCTCGCTTGATAGCTAATGAAACGTGCTCAGACCGAAAGAAGGTCTTTAGGGCTCGGTTCTTCAGAGGTTATAACAATTTTTCCTTCTCTAAAAGTGTAACTATGCTATAGTTTTGTGGGGTTATATCATTGTATGAGACAAAGTCAAAATGCAAAATACATGCAAGAAAGCTATCAGTGTATACAGCTAGAAACTGGAAAAAAAATGCTATTTTTAAATAGTAAATTTTTAAAACACCATATGCAGTAAAGTAAATGCTCTGAGTGTTGCACCCAAAATGCAGCATAGGTAATGACAGGGTCGTTATAGTACTCAGTCAACATTATTAAATTTGATAAACCCTGTTGTTGGAGCAACTGAAAATGACATGTGGACAGAAAGGTAACCAGAGACCTCAGTTAAATACATTGGGATTAAAATTAATTCAGTTTAAATCTCACTCACATAGGAGATGCAATATATTAAGTAGAATGGTATTGCACCATTATCCATTTTTTAATACATCCAAAGGGGGTAAGTTTTTAAAGAAACTGTGATGCTACATTGGTGGGAGAGTATAACAGGGTTATTTAGTATTATGAAGTGAGTTGATAACATAAATTGGCCACAGTAACGAGTTTAAAAGCTGACATCTTGAGCATTAGCCCTTTGTCAGAGCAAATGGAGGAAATTTGTGGGTTGTGTTTGTTTATATGGAGAAAATGGAGCTATACTATTTGCAGGAATATGATGATGGGAAAACAAGAATGAATAAGTTGAATGAAATGCACTCATGGGTACCCTGAGGATTACCGGTAAGGGTGCAGATTTGAAAGGTAAATTTTTGTTCTAGATTTTTGCGGCTTTCCAAACTAAACTTTCAACATGGCACTTATCAAGGTTGAGACAGTAGTACAGACCACAAAGCAAAGTGAGTTCTTTTTTTGCTTGTGGTCTGAAATAGGGCATTTTTATGTTTGTTTTTGTCTAAATTATAATTCATATGGGGACATTTATGGTTTCAGGATCTAGCTGCTTTTTAATTATGTTGTTAATCACAAATTCTGTTGGTGCCTTAAGAAAATATGAGTCACTTTGGCAAGATCAGTCTATATATTTTCTATGTAACCCTTCAACTGAAGACTGGTGTGGTTGGTCATTTCCGTTTTTCAATTTTTCACAAATTTAGAATTTAAACAGTGATGAATAAATCATATCTATGTGAGATGTAACTTTTATGTTTATGTTAATAGATTACTATGGCAACTGGCCCAAGCACAACAATTTCCATCATGCCTACTTCCTCTCCAGGACCCTCCATCCCCCCAATAGTTCTATCTCCATCCTCATCCACCTCAGGACCTGGTAAGTAAGATGTCAAATTGCAATAACAGCATTTTATCATGGCTCTCACTTCCCTGTAATTATAAGCCCAAGCAAGAAAACAAACTGATGCCAGGTGCCAAATAAAGAGGAAAAGGAGACCAATTCCTGCATGCCTAACCTCATATTCGAGCCTGCACTTCACATATGGCGAAGTTTAGGCAAGAATGTTATTAATCCAACATCATTTCCAACATACTTTTCTGGATTTTTGCCCCATTCAATGGTGTAATATGGAGGCATGTTTAATACTTACCATTTCCCTATTACTGTAAAAGTTGAATTATAGATGTATGTATTTGCTCGCTTGAAAAAAGACTAAGGAGTATTCATAGTCTGTGAAATTGGCAACTTCCTCAAAACCAATGGTGAGATTTCCCCAAATGCTTAAATTGTAAACCTAAAATCTTAAAGTTCAATGTTAACCTACATTTCAAGTGAGATCTATTTCAGTCTGTGGCAAAAACTGTTCTTTCCTTTTGTAATTTCTTACAGTCAGCAGCTTTGATTTGGGTGACAAACAAAAAAGATGGGTTGTGATTGGAATCACATTAAACAGGCTTCTATTACCAGTTCTCCGTGACTTTGCGGGCAAAGAACTTGCTAAACACTACACATCATTGAAGAGTTCCAGTGGAATAGATACACAGGTTTATCCCACTCACATGAAGAAAGATGGTTCATTTGCTTTAAACTATGGCAGCATCAACAACAACTGGGGAAGACGTAAAAGAAAAGTGTATGATTATAAAGTGGCATCTGCTGAGGATCTGGCCAAACTTTATCTTCAGCCACACATGGCCAAGTTTACAGGTGAGTAAATAATCTCATATCCCAAGTTCATATTTGTGGTTTAGGTGTTGTGTAATTATATGATTATGTTTCAAACATAAAAAAACTTACAGAGAAAGCTGAATGGATTTTCTTGGCATGTTTATTATAACTATTTGCACATGTAATGACCTTCTAATTCAATTGAAGTCAAAAGAAGAAAGATAAGAAGTAAAATGGAAATTTGGATTATCTGCAAAAAAAGTCCTGAACTCCACACAAAACAGATCACCTTGGTTGATAAAACAGAATAAAAATACACCTTGTAGTTGATGAAACAGAATGAAAATATGCCTATAACTAAAAGGTAAATTTTCATAAAATACAATTTAGATCATTAAATATAGAATACTCTCACCATTCGTATCAAGATTCTCTCAAAATAATTTTACCTTTGATGTAAAATTATTGGCATTATTTCATTAATGAATGTGTGCACAAACAGGCGCAATTTTCCTCCTTTTTTCTAAGTAACTTTTCATTTGCAGGATTTGATAACACATGTGACCTGTCAGCAGTTTTAGGGATGCTGGCGAATGCATCTGTGTTTAGAACTCCAACCAACATTCATAATAATGCTAAGGATGTGCGTTCAAAAGTACGAAATGAGTGGGGGCATTGCAACTTTGATCATTGGACTGACGTGGATTTTCACTACTGTTTCCAACTCATGGAAACATTGATTCGTTCCTTGGGGCTTCCAACAGCCGATGAAAACAAAGTGCTGGATAACCTTCAAGATTGGCACACTAAGGGTAAGTGTATTTACCAAATAGATTCCACGTTGTCGTGGGTCTGTTCAGTAATAGATGACAGATGACGACAAAATGTGGTAAGAACAAAAGAGAAACACCCAGGGTGCATCCGAGTGTACCACTAGTGTTCCTACCATATTTTGAAGTCTTCTATGATCTTTTACTGTGCAAACCCGCGGCACTATGGAATCTAACTGTGTTATTTGATTAAAAAAAAGGAAGATTTTGTTAATGGTGACGTCATCTATGCGTTTTTTTTTTCAACATAAGTAAGAATCAATCAAAGTGGGTGAAGGTTTCAGCTTAATGTATAATTCCCTTTGCATTACCGTTGTCAGTGTCTTTTGTCTCAGTACTCCTTCATTTGGATGCAAATATGACTACTGATGGTACCCAGTCACCACACCCGAAAGTAACCCACCGCCTAACTCGCCATTGGTCTTCATTGGTCAAGTTGCTTACATCACTGATCAACTTGCTGACTTTTTCGGTTGACTTGCCATCGATTGCTTTTAATCAACTCGCCAACGTCCACGGCTAACTCGCCTGCAAGTCGCCTGGGGATTTTAGCAAGCTGACCAATAATGAAGGCGACTTGACCAAAGGAGAAGCCGCGCAGAGTATCGACCACCATAGCGGAGGTCATCATCAGAATCAAAGTCTATGATCAGTTACAACGGCTCCCGTGTTTTTTTTTTCTTGCTCGAGCTATTAAAAAATTGATGGACGTACATCACAATAGTCCGCCTCCTTTTTCTGTATCGTGTGGCTATGTTCTTCCTTGGTTGTAGCTCCTTAACTTGACGCCATTTACCTTCTAACTATTGACAGGTTTGAAATTGTGCATGGGTTGCCCAGTGGACAAGGATTTGATGAAACTTGTCAGCCTTGAGGTAACCAACTTAGAACAAAACTTGGAGGCCATCAAGACATCCAGTGCTGATGAGGCTAACAAGATAAGCGAGGCCTTAAAAGATGTCAAAGATCAAATCAGTATATTTGATCAGCGTATTACTGAACTTGAGACACGGATAGAGAAAGAAGCTGGGGCACAGTCAGAAAAACTTAGGGTACAGTCACAAAAAGTTTCTCAGCTAGAAGAAAAACATAATCAGCTAGAATCAACCGTAGAGACCTTAGATTGTCGACTTAAAAAGTTAGAAGAGGGTTATTTGAAAGCCACAGTTGATGCCGAAATATTCCAACTGCCCAGTCGCAATCATTGCTTTTGTGGTCGTGAATGTGAGGTAGCAGCTATTGCAGAGCAATTGAAAAATGCTGAGAGTGGTTGTTCTGAATCAGTAATTTGCGGTCTTGGGGGTGTTGGAAAAACATCTCTTGCTGTCGAGTTTCTCTGGCGACAGAAAGACAAGGAGGAATATCCCGGTGGTATTTTTTGGATTTCAGGCGAAACCAGCGACCTTTTTCAATTGTCCGTTAGCGAGATGGCACGTCAAGTTGGTACTTTTGATGACAAAAACTTTTCCAGTTCGCTATCAAGAACCTTGGACTGGTTGAGAAAGCGCGAACAGCTGTGGTGTTTGGTGGTTGACAATTTGGATGAGTTAGAAATGTCCATGGATATGCGAAAACTGCTGACTGGTCATTGGAAACAAGCCGCCCGTGGTCATATCATCATAACCACAAGAAGAGAAGCAAAGGAAATCGGAGAAGAGACTGGAATCACAAAAAGCTATTGTATTGAGTTGAAGTGCTTGAAAGAGGAAGAAGGAGTACAGTTTTTACGAATGCGAAGTGAAATAACCGGAGAAGATAGCGATTTTCGTGAGCTGGTCCAAGAACTTGGCGGACTACCACTGGCTCTTGATCAAGCTGCAGCCTATATTAGATGTGTCCCCCACTCGACTGTTAAAGAGTATCTCAAAAAATATAAAGAAAAAAGACTGCGCCTCCTGGACAAGAAGAAAGCTCGTCATCTGGTGGAAAATACTTCCAAAGAGCGATTGGCTGTAAAGACAACCTGGTTGTTGAATTTTGAACACATTCGACGCATCTCAGTGGAGGAGGACCTAGGAGAAATTCCTTCTCTTGTGATGCGTATGTCTGCTTACTTAGGTCCCGACGACATCCCTTTTGAAGTGATAAATGAAGAGCTTAATAAAGTGGAAAATGCCGAAGCAGCAGGCGATGCGTGGGACTCAGGATATATTGTGGCGCTTCTCACCAGGTTTTCTCTTTTTCAAAGGTATGGGACAAAGTCTTTCAGCGTACATCGTCTAGTGCAAGAGGTTATCCGAAGTGAAATTGAGAAAGACAAAGCTGAGTTGCGCGTCCTTTCTTGTGCAGTACATGCCCTTCACCATGCACTTGTGGACACACGCTCACCAGTTGAGGTTTGCGAAAGTTTCTCTATGGATGCTGTTTTCAGCGTGGACAATCCTCCTTCGTTACATCTTTGGGGTAGGCTGGCATCGCATGCCACCTATCTACAGAAGCAATTGCGCAGCTACTCCAAGAAACATGAAAATGAGGCCGAACGCGTGCGAAGCACTTTGCTATGCACTGAAGAAACTGTCCGAATTATCAATGAAGCAGGGATATTTTTTAGCGTTTCTCACGAAAACGTCAAAGCTCAGGAATTGCAAGAAATTAAACTTAAGTTGCTAGTGCACCTTGAGAAATCAATCCCTGACGATGATTGCAATTTACCAAATTACTTCATCGACGTACCCCTAAAGCAAAGAGACCACAAAGTAATTTCCTTTTGTATGAGTAAATCTCTTCCTGAGGGGGAAGCCGTTGCGGAAAAAGAATCTTCTCAAAAAGAAATGGAGGAGCAAGCCAACCAACTTAGAGAAGAAGGAAACATTGCTGTAAAAGGGAAAATGTTCAAAGAAGCCTTGGATTTGTATACTAGAGCGATTACTTTGCATCCCACTGACTGTCGACTGTTCTGTAACCGAGCACTGTGCCATTTGAAACTTGGACAGCCAAGGAATGCACTGGGGGATTGTAACAAGTGCCTCTCTTTAGATCCTTATTACTGCAAAGCATTGCAAAGAAGAGCTTGGGCTCTGCGAGAACTAGTAGTAAATGGACAGAATGAATTAAAAGGGCAAGAGCGGGCCGCTTTGGCAATGGCTCTTCACTTTGATCCAAGTCTTCGCCATGACAAATTTTTTTGTAAAATTTTTCCAGACTTTGAAGACGCACGAGCAAGAGAGATAACCAATGCAACGCAATTGGCGTTTGCTTTAGCCACTGCAGAGAAAAATGAGACCTTTTTATTGAAGGAAGGAAAGTATCATCTACCTTGCTTTGTCGTCACTTGTGATGTGCAGATAGTAGGCCTTGGAACCATACTTACTTCGTTGATTTGCACAAGCAGATGCGAAGTATTCTCAAGGTGTTACTTTGAGAATATATTTTTTCCGAAAGGGAACAGTGCATTTCTCTGCAGGGGTACAGAAGGAGCGATCCACGTTAATCGTTGTAAGGTATCTGGAGGGCAAGCAAGTTGTGAAGACTTCCCAGAATGTAACGGAGGTCCAGGATGCATAGCAAGATCAAGAGGAAGGGATACTTGTGATCGGACTTACAAATATGGAAGCGAATTCGTCTCTGGCTTTCCTGGCATGGCTGGAATCCAGATTATTGAGAGTAGTGTTGCACTGATTGAAAATTGCGTTATTCGCGACTGCGGAGGTGGAGGGATTCTCGTTGAAGATCCAGGTTCACAGCTGCGCATTAGACGATGTGAAGTCTACAAAAACCATCAAAGCGGCTTAGAGGCAAGAAAAGGTGGAAGAATTTCTGCTTCTGAAAACAGGATATATGGTAATGGCTTTCATGGCATCTTGATTGGACCAAATGCAGGAGACTGTTCCATAGATGATAACAAGATCTTTGAGAACACAAGGGAGGGCATTCTCGCCATGCGCAATAAAGACAAGGTAGTCTTACAAGGGAATGATATACATCACAACGGACCCTTCGGTATTTCTTTGGATGACAATTCTGAAATTTTAATCCAAAACAACAAGATTTTTGAAAATGGATTCTGGGCCATTCTTGTAAAATCACGAACTTCCGGACACATTCTGGGAAATTTCATCACGGCTAACAAATGCGGGGGGATTTTCATGGGAATCAATTATTCAGCACGAGTAGTAATTGAATCAAACACTGTTCGAGACCATTGTGGCCCTTGGCTGGAATATCAAGACAACGTGGAATCGCTGAATACCTACAGAAAATTGTGGCAGAACAACCCTATAGTCGCTAAATATTTAGGCATCCCTTGCGGAGAGAAGGAGTTTCATTCAAATCCTCCAATTCTCATTGGAAACATCAGAGATAACAATGAGGAAGGCAAACACCACCCTAGAGAAGTCATTCAACGATTTCAGAGTGGCTGCACATTTTGTCGTCGTTCAGAAGATAAAGCATGTCACTTGACAAAGTGCCCCAGTTGTCAAATTGCACTTTATTGTAGTGAGGAATGCCAGCGCAAACACAGACCCAAACACAAGGCATTATGTTTTGCCCTTAGGAGCCGCTACTCTTTAACAATCAAGATCATTCCCTTCCGGGTCGTGTCAGAGGGGGCTCAGGAGCGAGTATTTGGCAGTCACTTGATAGGTATTGGAGAGGGCCCTAAGCCAAATCGTGAAAGTCGTGATAAGTTTATCGTCAAGATTCAAACTAAAGATCTTAACAGCCACCCATTGCAGTTGTTGACTGTTTATGACCAGAGCCTTACAATAGATGGCAACATTGTAAGTCCTGAAATCTTCAATATCATTATGGAATGTGGAGTTCTTGGAAGCCTGCTCAAATTTACAAGTAAAAAGGTCTTCTTTTGGGCCATGTTTGCGGATGAAGGAGATAGACTCACAGTTTTCCTCAATCAGTTAGCCCCTTATCAGAAGTGGTGAGGACTTCAGAAGGTGACATTTAGTGCAAGAACCCAGTAAAAATAGAAGTTGGGATGATTACGCCAAAGAAAATGATTTAATTCTAAGGCGTTTTGTGCCATTACCACGTTTGTCTCACCAAGTCATCCTTACCTCTTCCACTGCAAGTTTTCTAATCAATTTTTTGGACTCAGTTATTGGAACATTGATTTTCATTGGATAAGGATGCCAAGCAACCCTGATAACCTACTGAAGAAAAGATAGACAGTGGGTACTTTAACGTCCTAAGTGCATGGGATTTTTTCATACTTGAGTGTTTGGTGGGTAGACTCTGCCGCAATAATTTATCAACCAACCAAATTAGTAGAACAGGCCTAGTATGTAAGGAGGCTTCAACCTTGCAGCAGAACATTTCTAGGTAACAGGAAATAATAACCTTGTAAATAGTTTAGTGAAAGCAAAAACGTGCCTCCATTTCTGCATAGAACTAATACTAGGGTGCATTGATGGTCAAGAAATAACCTTGTCAGATTTCTTAGACCAACTAACTATTAGAAATGTAGGGAAACCAGCAAACCTGGAAACTGAACTTGTGTTATCTTTAACACCAATGCCAACACTCTGATGCTGTCATATAGGGATGCCAATGACTATCAAAATTTACTTAAGAAGCACCACTATATAATCTTTACTTAACTGTGACACTTAACGCGGCCAGCATGCAGTCAGTCAGTTGTTCCATTACTTTAAGATGGCCATCTTGACTAGAAATGATAAATTTTTGATTGAAGTTCTTTGCTATTGTTTCATTAGGAACAAAATAGTGCGTATTTCCTTAGAGGTGTCAATTTAGCTACCAGTAACTACAAATTTAACAATTGTATATTAACGCTATACTGTACCACTTAAATTTTATTTCATGTATTTATTTGTTGGAATATGTAGATCATGGTTGAGGAGTCAAAATATACAATGATGAAGCAATTTTTGCTGCTTTTACTCAAACTCTTGTCAAACATCTTGTTACATAATTTTATGTAAACCTTTCGTGTAGATGAAAAAATATGCATTTGCATCAGCAGATCAACATTTCACCAGACACGTACCTTTTCCTCTGACATGCCTTTGTCTTAACCCTTCAACTCCCGAGATCTGATTAGTAAATCTCCTTACTGTTTGCCAAATGATTCTCCTTAAGTTAGTTTGGAGAATTTAGTAGCGGATCATGTTATAATCTCATAATTGATATTTTTCTTTCTTCTCATCACTTGCCTGCAAGATATTTTATCGAATTACTAAGGAGAAATTCTGTCTTGGTCACTCATGGGAATTAAAGGGTTAAAAAGATTAAAAATCTGATTTTACTTGTGGCACATCAACTCAAGCTTCAAGTTCCCCCACCCCCAAAACCATGTCAAATAAAACCTAGAGAAAACTTCTAAGCTTGATGAAACAAAAATCGTTGTTACTTTTTGGTTATACAGTAAATTGATAGTCTTTTCTTGCTTCTGGTAGAGGAAGGCAAGTCATTGATCTCTTGGCAGTTGTCTTCGCTTATTTAGTTATTTACCATACCAAATCTTATATTCATCCATTCTTGGCCATGGATGCTTTGGGAGCAGTGCAAGTAGCTTTGTGATTTTTCCAGTCTGTTGTTTGACACTCTCTAGAAAAATGAAAAGACCTTTTTAAGCCAATCATGTTACAGGATTGAACTTGTTCCAACACAAAATTTTCATTACACAGAACTCAATGTTCACAAAAATCCCTTTTAAATTTTAAAAGCTATTATATTATTATTACTATTAAGGGAACTTCAAGACTTGAGGTTGCACAAACTTTGTAATTAACTTGACCAGAAAAAATTTTTTTTATGTTTCTCCCTAACCACTATTAATCTGAAAGACAACAAGGCCTTTTTATTATTAATCAAATAGCAATTCTTGTTTATGAAGTATAGAAAAATAATTCATAAAAAAAAATAATTTCAAACACATTCACTCACTTGCTGCAATATTTTTGATTTCTGCATCTGCTACAGGATTTCAGTGCACTCTCCTCAACTTTTTTGGAGCAATTCTTGTTTCCACATTGGACAGGTTTTTTAACATTGGTAAATAGCTGGTAGCATGGTGTCAACAAATCTTTCAATGGAAGTTTGACAGGATCAAAAAAGGGAAGTCTCTTCTCCTCTGCCTCTTGTCCAAGTTCATAATACTTTACAAACTCTTCTGTGTTCACAGCAAGTTTTGCAAGATAATAACAAGCATTTGGGTAAAATTTAAAGCAAGTTGGTGCCTCTGTTAGAAACTCCTTCAACATTGTCACAGCAGTGTCTCTTAAATTCTCAGCACTCCATGATGCATACTTTGAAATTTCTCCATCATGTTTGTTTTGAGTAGTTGTTGATGAAACTTCTTGGCAGGAATGTTTTGATTTAGACACTTCTTTAATTGTATACAACTTCATCAAGGAATGTCCTAGTCCCCTCTTGGCATCATAGTATGATGGGCAGTACCTAAGGGAGTTCTCAAATGCCTCAGCTGCTTGTTCAAAGTCATCTGAAATGGTGTAAAAGGCTGCCAAGTGATAATACAAAACATGAAGCCAGCTGCTGTAGTTCTTATCAAATTGAAATGGATTTTTACTGGGAGGGCTGTTAGGTTCTGTCTCTTGGATAAAATTAATTAAATTCTTTAGTGTAAATACACCCTTTATGGTGCCTTTCTCGCATAGTATGTATGCAAGTAAAAGCCCCTCAAAAAAACAAGGATTATCATGCAAATTTTCATTGCAAAAATGAAGAATCTTGTGTGACAAAGACTTTATCAGAGGGAATGCTTGTAGAATAGAATTCTCTGTCAAGTATCCATGAGCAATGAGCGTAATTCCCCTTCCATTGGTGAATTTACTGGTGTTAAGAGTTTCAAGGCCTCCTTCCACCAGTTTGTAAGCTTGAAGGTAAATTTTTGCTGTTGGTGACCAATTAAACTGTTGAAGCAGTTCTTCTGAAAATGCAAATGGTTGTGAAATTGCTAAAGGGTGCCCATTTCTATCAACACTCTGCCTCAATTTCTCTCTCATGATACTAAATGATTGAGTCATAGCATCTTCACTGATTTCTAAAGCACTGTGCTGTGTGTCTTCACTAAGGTTACACTGCTGAAGAAGCTGAAAATATTAATAAATAGAAGTTGCAAATTAGAATGTTTGCCCCCATTACTTGTATTTTTTTGTGTTTACTAATTGTATGTGGACATAATTACTTATGGAGAGGGTGATTAGAATCTCTAACATTAGCAAGTTCATACAGGAAAACTTGTATTAAGTGGCACTGTATTAGCATTCACCCTGAATTGAGCAGTCAATTACCAAAGTCTCTAAATTCTTTCCCCTTAAAGCAATTTTCATGTCTATTAAGTAGTTAACCCTTTAACTCCCATGAGTGACCAAGACAGAATTTCTCCTTACAATATCAATGTAATATCAACCAGATAAGTGATGAGAATAAAGAAAAATATCAATTTGGGGATAATTAGTTGATCCAATACTAAATTCTCTGAACTAACATTATAAGAATTGTATGTTGACAGTAAGGAGAATAACAAATTTTATCTGGGAGTTAACCCTTTCACTCCCAAGATCTGATTAGTAATTCTCCTTACTATCTGCCATACAATTCTTATGATGTTAGTTCAGAGAATTTGGTACTGGATCAACTAATAATCCCATGATTGATATTCTTCTCGATTCTCATCACCTACCTGCTTGATATTGTATTGATATTGTAAGGAGAAATTCTGTCTTGGTTACTTGTGGGAGTGAAAGGGTTAAAGGGTTAACTCTATAAGCGAAGTTGTCAATTATGAAATTAAATGGCATTTTTGCATTTTTTTTTTAAATACCGGTACTGGTACCTGTATTCTGTGAAACTAGTACAGGTTTGATTTTGTGTGCTCTTAGATCTTTTACAGTTTCCACAATGTTTTTTTTATCCTTATGATAGTTGTTTCTCATTCTGGTAAATACCTGTAAACTCTGGTATTCTGGTAGAATTATTCATTGTAAATTATTTCTCAGTTTGTAGGTTCTTTTCCTCTGTTTTCAGGAGTTTTTTGTTATAGATGGCCCATCATGTCTTTTGAAAGCATGTTGAATAAACTTACAGAGGTATTTGATAAAAATTAAATAAATTGAACAAATAAAAGAACGAATTAATAAATTAAGGTTGTTGAACATGTTGAAAGCAAACTTTCTCCCACAATGAACTGTGGAATTTACCACCGCAATAGTCCATTTCAAAAAAATTTACAACCTAAGGTGATCAGATAATTGCTAAGAAAAGATTACTAGGATAAACCATAAACCAACAAACCAAAGGAAAACAAAAAACATCCTCCTTTGAGTGACCAAGACAGAATTTCTCCTTACAATATCAATACAATATCAAGCAGACAAGTGATGAGAATAAAGAAAAATAACAGTTAGAGGATAGTTAGTCGATCCAATGCTTAATTCTCCTAACCACTAAACATTATTATAATTGCCTGACAAGTCAAAGGGAGAATTAGCAATTCAATAAATAAGATAATGAGAGTGAAAGAGGTAAGGCATGCCGTAATCTTCAAAGCAACTCAAGCTGCAAACTGCAATGACTAGGAAGCAACCATAAAAGCACACAGTAGGGAACTGCGACATGGCCATAGAAAGACACTTGGGAGGAGTTTGATTGTGTTTCCTCGCTTAAAACATTTCTACTAACAATTGGCTGAGTATTTTGCATTTTTAAACTCTGTAATGATGAGCTATAATCAGTCCACACCCTCTCTTTTATATTCTCAAAATGAATTGATGTTGATGTGCATCATTAACCCTTTAACTCCTAGAAGTGATTAACATCAAACTTCTCCTCATATCCTGACATTATTCAGCAAACAGGTGATAAGAATACTACAACTTACCAAGTAGAGGGTGTTATCCTGATCAAAACCAAAATTCTTAGAACTAAATTACAAGAAAATGTGTAGCAGCTAGAGGAGAGAATTAACAATCAGATATTGGGAGTTAGAGGGTTAAACAGCCTTTAAGAATCCTGTTTTTCATCCTTTTCCATCCTCTGGACATGTGGGAGTGTGGGAAAATACGGGACAACATTATTGTGATATGGTCCAGATGAGACTGGGACAAGACCACACATCCCGTCTCGTCCAAGTCTTGTCCCAGTCTTTTTTCACCCAAACCTCAGGCTTCACATCAAGAGAGGAACACACTCTAAGAAGCAGTCTGTGTTCCACTATCACAAATTCTAGTACAGTGCTGGTAACTCACCTGACTTGCCTTGACATCACCATTGGCAGAAGCTTTTTCCAACCAACGCTTTGCCTTCCTCAGATCCTTTATTTGTTCGCAACTTCCATCCATACAAATCCTTCCCAGTTCACACTGAGCATCTGTATCGCCTTGTTCAGCTGCTTTGGTTAGGTAGTAAACAGCTTTCGTTGGTCGTGGTCGTCCTTCTGGGCAATCACCTTCACGATAATACTTGTACAAAAGTCTCAGAGCCTCCGTTCTTGTTCCAAAGAGAGCGTCCTTTATTTTCCTGACTGTTCCAAGATTAAGATGTTTTACTGATTCCCTTTCACCAGCTGCTGTTTGGTACCATTCGAATGCTTCCTTAAGGTCTTTGTTCACCACTCCTTCAACTCCACATCGATACATTTCCGCTAAGTTGAGCTGCGATTTTGTGCAGCCCATTTCTGCTGCCAGGTGATACATCTTGTACGCTTTACGCTGATGCTGAGGTGTACCTTTCAGATCAAGTAACTCACCAAGTTTTCCACAGACAGATGGTGAAAGATGGCCATTTTCCACAACAGCATTGAGCCATCCTAAGGCTTTCTCAGAGTCCTTCTCAACAAAATCTCTTATACCTTCAACATAGGCAAAACCAAGATCAGCTTGGGCAGAGGTATTGCCACTCTTGGCTTGGATGATTAAATTTTCAACTGAACCATATTCCTCTTTGTAATGTTTTATTGTATCGAAGTCAGTTAATTTCAAAGGATCCATGATCGCTTGCAAAGCAGGCGTTCGTTCCTAGCTGACTTAGAGTTTGAGTGGAAGGTGGGGGGAGGGGACGAGCAAAGCGAGAACTGATCCCCTCCCGTCTCCTTCATTATAACTGTTGCTTCTTTCTCTTTCTCTTCCCAGCCCCCCGCTGCCGTAAAAATCAGCTACAATTTTAACCAAGAAAACACAAAGCCAAAAGTACACCTGCTTTAGATCCATGATCGATCACTACTTGCGATCTACGAATTTTCTTCGAACGGGGACGACCTTGGTAGGCAAAATTCCTTGCGGAGAGCGTGGAACGCGCGAGCGTGCGCTGAACTACACTAGAAGGAATTCTGGGATAGGAATTGTGTGAAAGGAAAATGGCGGCGAGCGGGCTGGGCGGTTTACCTCAAAGTGGGTAAGTTTTGTTCCATTGCACTCAATGAACAATTTCTTATTGTTTATTGCGCACTACAGAATCTCTTTATCTTATCAACAAGGCTAAAATCGGTCATGTTGGAAGGGGAAATGAAAGAAAAGTATAAAGCTTGTCGTAGTGCTAAATGTTTTCTCGGATCTCTCACTGAGATCACGAGATTAAATTACATTATGTTAGCTAAACTATCTTTCGTCTCTAAACGTCAACTTTTAGTTCAGTTTAAGAGTGTTTCTGCTTCAGGGAAGGAAGACAACAAACGAAAATATACAAAGTTTTGCAGTGTTAACTATATGAAAACATCCATCGATTTTTTTAACTGTCAGCTGAAGTTTTGGCCTAGGTTTTCAAAACAATTTAGTCATAGAAGAGTGTTTTACCAAGGACTGAAGTTTTGTTCTCGCGAATGTAGTATTAAGTCTTCCTACAGTTATTACTGCCTTTATTTTAGCGTTAAAGCACAATAACAATGATACATAAGAATAAAATTTACACACTAGGGTATCCACAGAGGAAAATGAACTCCTCTGATTGGTAAACACACGTCGTTATTTTGCTATAAAGTGAAACAAAATAATAATTACAACCCAGCAAGTATTTTTCACTCATTTGGTGACAAATTGCAGAAAAAGAAAGAAATGTTTTATAGTGTAGTTAGTGTATTCATGTTCTTAAAAGAATCTCACTCTTGATAAAAATTGATGTGTAAGGGTTAGAGGAATTATTTTACAGTAAATAATTTAAATAAGTCAAAGGTTTTGACTTCATGTTCAGTTATATTTTTTCCGAGAAACATCAACCTATGAAACTTTTATGTCTATTAGGAATGGAGTACTTGTTGATTTACAGAAGTTTCAAATGACACCCATGGACACAGTTAATGCAGAACATCTGGAGCTCCTAATATTATCATCCAATCCTGAGAGTGATATTGACAAGAATTGCAATGAATCTGAAAATGTTTCCACTGCTATTGAAGTAGAAACTGTGATGATAGCTAAAGAGGCTGGAATATTTGTTTCAGACGATAGTACCTCATTAGTGGAAACTGCTGAAGGAAGTAACTCATGTGAAGTTAACATTTTGGTTGACAAGGAGTTTAAATGTGCACAGTGTGACAAGAAATTCTCAGGAGCTTCTAGTCTAAGCCGACACATTAAAACCCACAGCAACATAAAGCCATTTAAATGTGATGAGTGTGAGAAAGTGTTCTCCAGGTTGTCGAGCTTGAAGAGACATAAAAATTCCCACACTGCAGAGAAACCTTTCAAGTGTCAAGTTTGTGGATGGAGTTTTATACAGAACTCTGATCTAAAAATCCATGAAAGAACTCACACAGGTGAAAAACCATTTCCATGTGATCGATGTGAGAAAGCATTTGGATGCAAGAAACGGCTCAGGGCTCACTACAGGATGCACACTGGAGAAAAACCTTACAAATGTCCTCAGTGTGAGAAGAGTTTTTCAATGAGGAAAAATGTGATCCAACATATTCGAATTCATACTGGAGAGAGACCATACACTTGTGAAGTGTGCAAGAAAAATTTTCGTCACCAACACACACTTAAAAAGCATTTGCACCTTCACACAACAAGACCAAATTTTACAAAATCAAGGTAATTAATTCATGCTTTGTCAAGTTTTGCTATTGCACTTCAATCAGCTGAGCTTTCAGGTTAACAAATTATTCAAACCTAATGTACTTTGCACACTGTAAGAAGTTCTGGGATCTGATTGGTTAACTTGAATACTATAATGCATTCATAGCTTTTAACAAGTGATTTTCATGAAGGAATGACCATTACCCCTTTCTTAACATCTTCAAAATTATTTTGTCTGAGTGTCAACTTACATTTACAGCACAGCTTGCACATAATTATGTTAGTAGAAAAATGTGAATTAAACATGCCAAAAATTGCATGCAATTGCAAATAAAAAATCTTGCCTGTCAAAAAATTGCATGTGCATGCACAACCTTGAGACGCTGGCCTCATTAGTATATATGAGGTAGTCCTTTTGTTTTGCTATTCTTGGCAGTTTATTGTTTTAAAGAATAGGCTACAATGTAACCTACTTGGCTACCAACGACAGGCAAACTTGTCTGTTGCAATCGCCAGTTGTTGCATTCACTTGAAATTTTGTGTTCATGGTAAAGTTAGGGAATGGGGTGGGAGTTGGGTTGATCTGGTGTGCAATGTGCTGGACTCTAGACTGAGAGTTCCAGGTTCAAGCATTGCCTAGGTCTTTTTGTTGTGTTCTTAGGAAGATAATTCACTCTCAGAGTGCCTCTTTTCATCCAGGAGTATAAATTGGTATCACTTAATTATAAAGAGAAACATGAAAAGATGCTGAGGAGTCAACTGCTATGAACTAGCATGGTGTAAATATACTCCTGCCCTCTTCATGTTACAGAAAACAGGATAAGCTACAGCAGATACATGTACAAGTATACATCCTTAGGTTGCAAAGAGATACTCAGGGAATGCATTTGTTTAACATGAGATCACTGCTGTCAGTCTCCAACCTTTGTGTAAACTCATTGAAATATAAGACTAAACCTAACATAAATATATTTAAATTTGGACCAAGACCTGAATTTGATTACATCAGACATACTGATATACATGATATGATATGATTATTGTGATGACTTTCATATCAAGTGTTCTCATTTTTGGTTTAGTGATAAAGAGGGAGATGAACAGACTGCTGCTGCATGGCCTAGAAAGAGAAAAGGAACCAAGTCTGGGCAGAAGAACCCTAGAGGAATCAGGTATGGGAAAGAATAATAAAGTTTGAAGTTTACCCTTAAACTCCTAGTCAGCATTTCAAGCTGCAACCATTCTGGTTGTCATGGCTTTTGGGAAAAAAACTTCAGGTCACTTTATTTTCAGTGGCCAATGAAGGCCATGAGTGGCTAAGATTTTATTTCAGGCCACCCCTAAATTTTTTGTTGGCCAAGTGTAGAATCTAAAAAACTTTGAGGTTTGAGCACTTGAAGTGATATACATTTGACATCTTACTATATGCAAACGTGTTACAGACAGATGACAAGAAAGGCAATTAGAGGCTCAAAAATGGAACTTACTGTATCTTAATAGAGAACCAAATTTTGCTTATTTGTTTTGTACTGTACAAGTGTAACAAACAGAGGCTTGATGGAAGAATTGAGAGATTTGTAGAATTTACTTGTAGCAAGGAAATGATGAAGTTTTTTAAGGTGGCCTCCTATAGCAAGCAGAGCTGTGATATTGAAAGATTGCAGTAATCCATTTTGTTTCTGCTATAATATGTCTTCTATAGTAATAATTTACAAGTAATAGATCTTGGAGAAAGATGTTTTTTGTCTTGTTGTGAGCATAGGACAAAGAAAAAATTCTGAGTCCCCATGAGGAATCAAACCTCAGACCTTCAGATTCTGCAATCTAATGCTCCAACACTGAGCCAACAAGACTCTGTGGTGAGCAAGGCCTATTTGGAAGACATGACACACATCCTGCATACTGCTAGGATTAGCAATGTCCATAGTATCATGTTTGTAAATAGATTAACAGAGATGGTAAGTTTTGAGCTCAGTGAAGAAAGAGAGAAAGATGTTCTTTGTCTTGTCATGAGCGAAGGACAAAGAAAAAAAAAAACTTACCATATGTCTTACTTTATATTGATAGATCCTATTCCCAGAGATTTTGTGAAATTGAAAAGGCACTGAAAAATTAAAGTTAATGAATACAGGTTGCAGAGACATTTATAGTTATATTAAAGAGATGTAATTTTTCAAAATTTTCAAACAGGAAGAAGACTGGTAAAAAGTCTGACAGTGTATCTCATGAAAACAGGTAACTGCATAATGTTATGGATTCATTTGCAACACTAAATTTCTCTATAATATTTTTAGGAGTAGCTAGTGTAACAATAATTTAGGGTTTACAATGGTGCTGGATATTTCCTTTTACACATTATTCGTGTAAAGCACAGTTCAAGTGAAGTGTTTTTGGTTGATTATTTAGTTTGTTTTTTTGGTGATTGTAGTGAAAATGGGAAGAGTGAAGGATCCAGTGCCATACAGGATACACAGAATGATAACAATTTGGTGGAACAGAGCTCCGAGGCCCCAGACAGGTATTTGATGAAAATAATTGTATTAATATCACTCATCATGATAGTGGTATTTATGATAATGATAATGAGAAGAATGATGAGATATCATCACTGCATTAGTGTTGCTATTGTTTTCAAGGTAACAAGAAGGGCTAAAGGACAGAGAGACACTAAATACATTGTATGCTGTCCTCTTTTGTTCAAAGGGCTGCCAATAACCAATTGTGTGAGAGACTTATGTCAAAGTTATGATCTTATATTTTTCTTCCAGAAATGAAGAGGATTGTTCCTCCCAGAAGATTCAGGAATTTGTCGTTGAGACCTTGAGTGGTGACCATTTGTTGTTACTAACACTTGCAAACAGTGGAGTACATGAAAGTAGTGGTGACGATGGCCAAATACACTCAACTGCATGTCCTGAACCTGTACTGAGCACTTTGCCAGCGCCTGAAGGAGATGTAGTTGAGGCTAATGGTAGAGAGGAAAGCATAAACAATGAAGATGTTGTGACAATTTCAGCAGGAACAAGTGAGGAACTTCCTGATGAAACATTAATTAACAGTGGTAAATTTAAATGTCCGCAGTGCAATAAATGTCTGTCAGGACCATCAAGTCTCAGTCGTCACATTAGAACTCACAAGAATGAAAAGCCTTTCAAATGTGACCAGTGTGATAAAGTGTTCTCCAGGTTGTCAAGCTTGAAAAGACATCAAAACTCCCATTCTGAGATAAAACCCTTCAAATGTCAAGTTTGTGGATGGAGTTTTATACAGAACTCTGATCTAAAAATCCACGAACGAACTCATACTGGTGAAAAACCATTTCCGTGTGATCGATGTGAGAAAGCATTTGGATGCAAGAAACGGCTCAGGGCTCACTACAGGATGCACACAGGAGAAAAACCTTACAAATGTCCTCAGTGTGAGAAAAGCTTTTCAATGAGGAAAAATGTGATCCAACATATTCGCATTCATACTGGAGAGAGACCATACACATGCTGGGTGTGCAAGAAGAACTATCGTCACCAGCATACGCTTAAGAAGCACATCCGAATGCACGCAGATAAAAATAAGAATCTGGACAATTGTATCCAAAAAATTAAAGGACATCAGCTGAAAGGAAGCGAGGAGAAAGACAATGAAAGTTGTGAAAGGTTGACAGACAAATCTATTCAGTCAGAACTTGGTGAACAAACTGTGCAGTTGGAAAACACTCAGTCTGATGATCATGATGGAATGAACGTTGATAAACAGTGTGGAGAAAACAATCCTCAGGAAGAGGCTGATCGCAGAAAACAAATCCAAAATTCTGAACAGCATGAGAAAAGTCAACATTTGGTAAATGCTACAAAGATCCCAAAAGAAATGGGGCTAGGCAAGCAACAGGATGATGAGCCAAGTGAACAAAAGAAAAATGATGAACTTGATGGACAAACAAAACTTCTTGAAAATACTGAACAAGTGGAACAGAGAATTTGAAAACTACAAGAAGTCACAGTTTTGATCAGTCAGAAAAAGTCCTGCAAAGAGATCTTGTGAGAAGCAGTGAACATTCTGAATGCACTAAGGAAGTTGAGTGAAAGAAGCAAACCACAAATTGGAAATGAAAGAACAGATTAGTTGTTAAGTTACTCCTTTACACCCTAACATCAGTATGCACATTCTCCATACTGTTCTCTATATTTCCTATGATACTGACAAGGAGAATTTTTTTAACAATCAAGAGCTTCTTTAGTTTGTGATGATTTCCTCTATTTTCATGACCTTCATGTGTGATTTAGGGGTGATACTGTAAGAAGAAATTAGATGCTGGTTACTCTTAGGGGTCAAACGGTTTAATGTACATGTAAAGTTGTTAAGTGTTAAAATTTTTGGCAAGGAGAGAAGTCATTGGAGTATGTTCCCTCACTGCAAAGCCCAGTATATATATGTTAGGGCCTTTTCCAAATGCGTTACATTATAGCTAAGAAATAAGTTGAGCAGTTTCTAAAATTGCCTTTATGCAAAATACAGTGTATTGAAATAGTCATACAGCAAAGAGATTTGAGCTTATTTTAACCAGAAATTCACTTCAAATTTCATAATTTACTAGGGCATTTATGTGAGTTTATATAATATTATATCAAAACAAAGATGCATGTTGAAGTATGTCTCCCTCAAATGTTGTGCAATTCTTACCACATTGTTTAGATAATTGGTATAGATGACTTATCACAGGGAGGTTATGTGATTGTTACTGTATAAAGAATGTTGTTTATTTCTTTTCACATTGTTGAGAAAGTTTGTCAAAGATGACTTATCAAACGAAGGCTATGTAATGGTTACTGTATAAAGAAGAGCCATGATACTATAATTTGACAGGGGAAAATATCAAATTTTTAAAAAAAATTTTTTTGATTTTTATTCAGCATGATGCAGGGGGTTTGTAAGGCCTGGTAGAGAGGTAGAGTTTTGTGATTGCACTTTGAGTACAATCTAAGAGAGCTTTAGAATATATTACAGCTGGTTGGGAATTTATTAAATTTAAATTACTAGTGCAAAAGAGTCAGGTTTGATTAAGCAGTGAAGATGTGAATTTGTATCAGACCTGTAAAAAGTTTTGAGTACAATGTACATGGTATATTTGTTATCTGCTCATTTAGGTAAAACCTGCATGATATTTTATATATTTTTTCATCATATTAATATGGAGACCTTGGTTCAGGTCTCTGAAACGATGTTAAAATTCCCTTTTCTTTGTACAGGTTCCATCTTGACCTGTTTACACCCATGATCTACATGTCAATTCTCTATACAGTCTGCCATACATTTCTCTTACTTTTGGCTTTGAGAATGTAGTGTCAAATCAACCAATATCTTGTTGTTGACTTTCTTTTCTTTTCTTCACCTTTCTACTTGAAAGTATATTTACGTAGTAAGAACAGAGTATTCTAGTCACTCCTGGGAGTATAGGGGTTAAGTTGCAGCTAGTTGCCCCCTAAAAAGTATAACTGTGTGAAGACATAAACAGATAATTCATATGTATTTTTGAAAGTTATCAGTTACTCAGCTTGTAGGTTTGACATGTCAATAAAATCATGTCTAAAACATGTACGTGCTGCAGAAAGAGGGAAAAAGAGCATGTGATTCCATAAAAACAAGAAAACAAAAACATTTGGTGCTTTTAATAAGACAAGTTTAAAACTTTTCCTAACAGTTGCATTTATAACCAGAAGTGTCACACCTGTTACCAGAATTTTAAACCTATTACTTCCAAGATCTCATTAGTAATTCTCCTTACTGTCTGCCAAACAATTCTTATGATGGTTGTTCTGAAGATTTTGCATTGGATCAACTAGTAATCCCTATTTGTTTTTTTTTTTTTCATTATTCTTATCACTTGTCTGCACAATGTTGTATTAATACTGTAAGGAGAAATTCTTGGTCATTCATGGGAGTGAAAATATTTAACTACACATAAACAGTACATTAAATGTAAAAGGAGTAAATTTTGATGAATGCAATTTGATTGCTTGTTTTATTTTTGCTCCAATCTAATTGGCTTGCATTGACATAAACAGAAATTATACCTATACAATCACTAGGAACTATGGCAAATGCCATAATTTCAAATATAAATAAAGCTGTATAAAAAGGTTCAACAGTGTAACTTGAATAAAATAACTACCCTGTATGAAAATAATAATATGGCAATTGATTGTTACCTGTGTAAAGGAAGGCACCTTGAAGCAACCATATTAATCACACAGTAGTATTAAACAGAATCTTGGGGAAAGTGATGCAAAGTAAATTTTTTGAGGCCTACATTGTAATACACTTAGGGGACACATGCAAAACAAATCATTTGTGCAGTTTGAAATCAAACTCCATCTTACACTGGTTTTCAAAACAACAACTGTGTCTGGGCAAAGTGAATGAATAGTTCAGGTGATTTTCCAAGTCTCAGGGAATGGCCAACTCAAATGGGTTCCACTTTCCCAAATGGTTTCCACAATTTGTACTGTCTTTTCTCCTTAGTAAGTTCTTGTGGTCAATCACCTTCTGTCTCAGTTTTAGAAGGTAGTTAACTTGGCAGTTTCTTTGGTAAGAAGGACAGCAAGACAGCCTTATATACAGATCCATCACACCCCTTTTTTCAGCTAGTGATCTTATTTTCTAGGAGGACCATGGATAAATTCATTTTGTGCGGCAGTGAAGAATTCAATGAGGTTATTTCTTTCCATTCTTGGTCCTTCATCATGACTTAAATCCACATCTTCCCATGGCCAGTAATACCGTGTGCCAAGTGATGATCTGCATTTTTAACAAAAAGAAATTTCCAGTTATTTTCAATCAAACTTAAATGTAACCCTGCATTGCAGGCAGTGAGTAAGCCACAAGAGTATCTCACTACACTGAACCAATCAAAATGCAAAGTCAGCAGATGTCATCTACACTATTAGTGGGAAAAAAGAGTATGACCAAGTATTGCATCTAGTTTAGGTTTAAAATCTCATTAGTTGAAAAAGTTGCATCTGCTTTTATGTAATCTAACCAAATTTCAAAGCAAAACCAAAATTAGTTAGTGACAGACTTTCAGATAACCAACATAGCTAAGAGTGTTTCTGCTTACCAGACAATTTATGCTAAATAAACTGAAGACAGCTCTTATATCTGAGGTTCACTTACTTGAAAGAAGCCACTGAATCTCTGGGAATTTCAAACGTGGACTCATGAGTGTCTTTGTTGTAAAAATATAACTGCTTAGCAGAGCGACTGTGAGCATAAGTCCAAGGTTCTGTAGATAAAAAAAAAATTCAATAGTGCATTTGTTTCATAGTGGAGGCGGGATTCAATACCGACTTTTTGTGCACCTCACTCCCAGAGTTCCACAAGGTGCACGACAGATTTTGCTGAAAAGGAGGGGCTGTGCATAGTCTAGAGAAATTCTGTGAGGAGGAAAAGTCTTGTGGCAGAAGTGGAGTTTTCCAGAAGTGCTGAGGTATAGTGGTGGAAGTGAAGTGCCACATGTGACTTGTATAGTTTGAGATGGAAGTGGGCCTGTGATGGATTTAGATTGAAACAGAATGATGATTGCTTACCTTGAATACGTTTAATAAAGAAAATTCCTTTGGGGACAAGGTGTCGTCCATCTTCCAGCAAAAAGCACTCCCTTGGTTCTCTACCCATTCCTTTGACAATTTTCATCTCAATCCTGAATTGAAAGTGAAAAAGAAAGAATGTAAGTTTCCCTTAACATAAGGGATGCGATTGTCTCAAGTTGAACCACAAGCCAGCAAACTGCAAGGGTCCAAGAGGTGAGCATGGTTAGTGTCTAGGTACAAGAGCATCACCAAACAGCAAAAACAGCCAACCATGCGGTGGGAGGTGAAAGTTAGTCCTACAATAAGTGTAAATCTAAGTAGAAAATGTTTCAAAAAGTACATAATGCCTCTTTCAGAAGCTTCTCTTCAATTCAAAACTACTTCATCATTCTGCATTATCTGCACTATAAAAATGTAAGGTCATGTGAGTTTGGTCATTAACATTTGTGAGGAAACTTACTTTGAGAATATTTCTTTAAGCGAACTATTGTCAACACGAAAAACTTGTTTGAGCCTGAAAGAACATTTGAAAATTAGATCAGTAAACTTCATAATTTTGTGTTTTACACTGATGGTGATAGTCATACTGTACAGCTAGATAATATATTTTTTCTACTTCTTTCACTGTGCATTTCAAGACTTCTACAAGTAAGAAGATTTTCACTTGCTTCTTTAGTCCACAGTTACTCTCATATTTGATTGAATTATAGCAGTAAATTCATCATCAGGTTGGTTAGTTGTTTTTCAGTAGGTTGGGTGTTCAGTAAGGCCATCAGTCTTTCAGCTTGGTGGTCAATGCCTGGTTGACTGGCTGTCACTTGTCTCTGTACTTGATTTATTGTGTTTTAGTTGGTTGATCAAGTGATCGGTTGTTCAGTTGATTTGTAATCTGTGGGTGATCAGTTCTTTGGTTCATCTGTTGAACATTTGAACCTACCATTTATTGATTTTTGGTCTTGAAGTTTGTGAGTGGAATATGATATCTGTGTCATCTTCAACTATCATTTCACGACCTCAGTTACCTGTTAATATGTCAATTGAATGTTTACCTGAGAGGAACCATTGCTGGGCATGTCGGTTTGGTGACAGCTTTTATAAGTAAACCCGCCATAGCCATTCTACAAACCAAAGCAAACAACAAGTCATCAACAAACTCACCAATCTTCATTACTAATTACCCAACAAACCTTTAAAAAAAGAACCTTGTGTAATGCAAGTAACGCACATGCTTGCCCAAATTCTCTCTCAAAAGAAATCAGAAAAACAAAAGGCAAAGTTTAATCAAAATTCATTTTTTCTTAAGCATCAGAATTCACACTGTACCTCTCGTGATAGTGTTTACTCCTCACATCTTTACCTCCAAGAATGACAGCATCCACAATATGAACTGCTGCAGATCTTCTCTGTCCTTTGCCCTTATAACAGGAGATAAAAGCACCCACACCTGAATTCTCTGGTATCAAACACCTCTGTTAAAATGTACCTTTCCACACACTAGCTTATCACTTAGCTTGTCATGCAACACTTCTCCGGAGCAAAGTGTTGTGTGACATTAGCTGAAAAGTAGCCTTCATTTCACAACAGAACAGTTAAATTTAAGTCCCTTTCAAGAGGGTGGGGGGGGAAGGAAAAGGATCTACTTATTAGTTTAGGACATAATATTGCTCTTTATTAACCCAAAAATAAAAATAAGAATAACAAAAACAACCTTCTCAATGTGAACATTTTTCCTGAAATTTTTTTTGTCAATACTTACTTCTCCACGAAGCTCTTGCACTATTTCCACCTCAATCAGAGTATCCCGAGGAAGTTCGAGCTGAAAATTCTCCAGTTTGTGCCACCTGGTTGAGCTACCAAAGTTTGGCTTGCCATTCCATTTGTAGATGTTACCTCGCTAGAACCAAACAAAATCATCAGAAAAAAATTATCACAGAAACTATGAGAATATCTGGTCATAAGAAGGAAAACTGAGGAATTTAAAACTTGTTCCTTCATTACTATCAACATAAACCTGGTATCTGAGATCTAAGTCCTAATTCTCCTTTCAAGGTACTGTAAATTTCCTTGCAAATTAGTTGAGAGAATTTGGTGCTAGATCAAGATAACACTCCCAACTCATCTTCTGTTTATTAAATAACTTTCTGAAGTTGTAAACAAGAGCAACATTTTGATCACTTCTGACTAAGCATTTTTCCTCTTTCACACACCTTTTTATATCAACAAGATTTCCCATAAACTCTCAACCATGTTTCATCTCAATATTATTAAAAATTATCTTTCATACATCACATCTTTAGCTTGTTTTCTTTGTGGTTAAAAATCAGAATGAAAAAATGCTTTCATTCTTAAATAAAATGATATACTAATATTTTTGTCAAAAAAGGAAAATTTTAAGTGAGTTATTGAGGAAATAACTGTGACCTCTTGGCAAATAGACTATGAAAAAAAGGCACGCTCAAAGTGCCCACTGGTGACATGCTCACATGACAGGGTGATGGCAAATGGGTGCATAACATTCCCCACATGACACTTACCCCAAGGCCCATAAGAAAGAACCTTCCCCCTCCTGACACAAAGCACTTGTAGTTGTACAGACACTTAAGGTTTTGGATGTTCCTTGAAGTTAACACTGTAGCTTCAGAGTCAAAGCAATGATCATCATCATTTCCCTAGAAAAAAGGAAAACTAATTTGGTGAATGATATGAAAAATTGAACAAAATTAATCAGCAGGTCCTCATGTAAAAACAAATCTAAATACCTTCCAAAGCTCATCAAATTTAAGGTCAGGATCTGGCGTCCTTTGAGCTCTTGCTGGCTTGCTCAGGAACCTGAAAATGATTGCAAAAAACATATACCTTATTTACTGGTTGGGGATTACTGTATGGAAAAAGCTATGGATGCACTAGGAAGTTTTGTAGGTAGGGGATTCAGGAGAAGGAAAGAGAGAGTCAGGACGAGTGATGGGTGATGATTGACAGTGGAGGAGAATCAGAGCTACAGGCGACAGGTGGCTACAAGAGACTCTGTTGTGTTCATGGCAAGACACTTAATAGTTTTAAAGCACCTCTTCAAAAGTAAAAGATGGGCAATAAGTGGCTCTTGTACCTTAGGACAATTTTCCATGGGGTTTCAAAGGAGGGAAGATTTTTGCATCATAGCAGTTCTCCTTCTGTAATAAAACAAGTTCTCTTACCTTCCACTGCTTTAAACACTTTTTCTTGACATCCCCTTGGTCATAAGGACCCATCAACGTCCTAAGAAGCAAACTCAGTTACATACTGAAACAAGGAACAATTAAAAATCCACAATCCTAGTCCACAAATTTTGGTCTCAGGTAAGGAACAAACCCACATGATTGATGGGAAGGAAGGGGGGTCCAGAACCTGCAGCCCCCCCCCCCCTACCACCTCTGGATCCACCAAAATGATAGGATGTTGGAGATTGGAGCCAAACAAAGTTAAGATTTTGATAGACAGATTTGTACAACTGAGTACAATCAAGCATATCCTGTTCATGGTGAGTTTGTATACATTATATACATTCATGTTTAAAAACTTGTGCATTGTGACTTGAGAAACTTAACTTTGCTACAGGACACATTCCCAACATGTACTTGTAGCCCATTAGTGACATTTTTTTTCCTTTTCTAAGAATTAAGAACCTCCTGTATCATTATGAGGGAAATAAAATCAAAGGTTCAAAACTTACGTATCCTGGACATAACCTCTTAGTTTCTTCAGTGCATTGAATTGTTGCCTTCCAATTCTAAAACAAATCAGAGAGTACAACACAAAAATGTTGTTTGTTTTCCAAGCAGTTCATGTCACAGTATTGTATTCATGTTTCATTGAGATGTCAAAGGTAAAGGCAAGTTCCACATACCTTTCATTTGATTCAATCATATATGACAAGAACTCTTCATCTTCCTTCAGGATATGCAATGGGACAATCTGAAAAGCCAAATAATAACACTTGAAGTTCATTTCCCTTTTTAGCACAAGTTATCAACACTTAATATTGTTTTATCTCCCACTGTACAAGGCTTTCTTTGGTGAATTTAGTGGACCATACTCTACTACTGTACATGACTGGCCAAAATTTAGTGTTTTTCTTGTTGCTAAAATCCTATTTTACAGCTGATCAAGTTCTCAACTTGCTCCAGAAAATAAAAATTCTTCTCTTTTCTTTATATTGCGCATTACAGCAAAAAGTGCTTACATCTGAAGTAAAAGTTGATCTCTAACTTACTTGTTCTCCTTTCAATGTGCGTCAGTCATAGTGGGCACATTATTAAAAATAAATATTTCATCATATGATAATTCTCATGTTTTTGGTTCATAGAGTAAGTTACGAACCCCTAACACATTAGTTAAAGTTACATCCTATTCTTTAAAATGATAAACCATCCACAATAAAAAAACAAAAGGCCTAACTCTTACATACTAATTAGGTAGATGTATGAAGCTTATGCACGCATGTGTGATTTTTTTGACATGCACATTTTTTATTGTTTGCACTAGCATGCAATTTTTGGCACGTTTTATGTGCATTTTTATTGCTTAACGTATATCCAAGCAGTACTGTATTTTCAAAACAGTAACATTAAACTGAATAGCAAACCTCATTTACATCCTCCACAGCTCCAGCTTTTAATTTATTAATTCTGACATTCACATTAAACATGTGCTCATGAACAGCTTCAATGTTTCCACGAAGACCTTTGCATACAAGATATCTATATGAAGGAAATATTACATTCTTTAAGTAAACCAGTTCAAAATATCAATTCTCACTACTGTTTGTCACATAGTTCTTTAAGAAAGGTTCTAAGAAGTTAAAGTCACATTGAATAACATTCACCTCGTCCACTGAATCCAGATTTAATTTGTGTCAGAAACCAGAAAAACCTTGAATAAAACCCCTTTATGTAGAACAACGACAGCTGCACAAAAAATTTTAAAAAATGGAATGCTAGCAAAGCATTAATGACTGGGAAAGGAGGAACTGCTTGTTGTTTATTTGAACACATACCTCTCTGAGTTAGCTGGTCTGCTGGTTACAGGTTTGAAGACATATACCTCATCAAATGCTCGGTACATTAGGTACACAAGACCAACACTGAACGCAGTGAACACGCCAAACAACTTGCAGACAAAGTGGCCTCCTTAAAATCAGAGAGGGTATGACAAAATTAGAGCTGTTTCATTGTAAAATCCGTTTAAGCCACTCTCTGAAAAATTGACCGCCATGTTCAATGAATTAGGAATAAAGATTCCTTACCTTGTCTTAGTATAGATATTGCACAAAGGAATTGGCATAAATACAACTGTTTGCTGAGAATCTCTTGTATATTTTCCTGCCCTTCCACAGAGAAACCCTGCCAACAAAAAAAGAGTAATCTTACATGAATGAAGAGAGTGTGTGTTAAAAATTGGTCACAAGTTGAGGAGAAGAAAAAGGCTTGAGTTCCTTGTAATTTTGAGCTTCAAACATTCCAGTTTTGTAGGAAAAGACTAGATGTCAATAGAGCTGCAGAGAATTTGTAAGCATGCTACTATTATTAGAAGGATCTTATGTGTGGAGAATCATGCATGCTCAAACCAGCAGTATCCAAAGTACTCAGAGCAGTGATAAAGTAAAAAAATGGAAAAATTTGAGCTTGTTGAGTGAATCATTATCTGTCTAATGTATGGTATGACTGTTGATTTTTCTGGATATATATCTCAATATGGCCCACTGTATTATAAAGTTTGTTTGAATTAGAATTTTCCCCCTCTGATTGAAATCAGAGATTAAATATTGTTTGTATGGAACCTTGTCTTTTCCCACTCGGATTTATGGCCTGCACACTTCATGCTTAGGCCATAAATCTGAGCATAAAAAGTCTTTTTGTAACTTATGGTACAGACCTTCAACTCAGTTAGTAAGAAGCATGAAAAATGGCTGTTTAACCCTTTAAGTCCCACTGGTGACTTAGAAAGAATTTCTCCTTACACTATCAGTACGATATCAAGCAGACAAGTAATGAGAATAAAGGAAAACATCAATTAGGGGATTATATATTGATCCAATTCCAAATTCTCCAAACTAACTTCATATGAATTGTATGGGACACAGTAAGGAGATTTACTAATGAGATCTTGGGAGCTAAAGGGTTAACACTGTGCCATATGTATTTATAAGTATCAGTTGCACAAAGATCCAGGTTGATATCAACATGAAATTGTCAAAACAATCTGTTCTGAAATTAACTTACACCATCTGCCATCACAAAATGAACTCCTTTGTTATCAGTTGACTCCATCACAAATCTTCTGAACTCAATCAGATTATCTTCATTGAAGATGTCTCCATCATCATTTGCTCCTAAAGTACATTCAAATTATTCAGTATGCAAAAAATTTTATATTCAAAATTAACTTCAAATACTGGGAGACTCTTCCCCATGAGAGAGAAACATTACTTCAATCTCAAAATTTTTCCTCTTACCATAATGTGGCTCAAATGTTTCTGGCGTTCCAGCTAAGAACTCTTCAAGCTTAAAATCATTGTCACCTTTGAAGGAAAAGTGTGATGTAAATAATGATGGATGAATGAAAATTAGAATTATAATGTGGCAATTATGTAAGCATCCAGTCATATTGAACAATCAGATTATGTGAAAGATTTCTACTGTGTTATGGTTGAGGAGAAAGCCCTAACCAACTATCACAGCTAGAGATCAAGAAAAAAAAAGATCACATCCAGACATGCTGATGCTTTTTTGTATTATTTTATTCACAATCTCACACTGGCAGGCTGTTCACTTTGTTCAATGTCTATTACGGATTAGATCTAGATATTGCAAGTATTGTAGCCAATCAGACTGCAACATTTAATATTAGTGACAGAAGTTCAACACTGGTAGATTTATACTTGCCCAATAACTTACATTTCTTCGATAAGCAGAATGATCCACCACAATTAATTTCAACATTTCTTATCATTTTTAACTAAAAAGTAGTCAACAGGCCTTGGCAAGAAGACCTGTCAGTACCTCTTAAAGTGAAGCCAAATCCTTTAGCTTGCCAGCCCTTTCGCCACAGAACATACTCTGAAAAACCACCAGGTCCGGCACAAATATCCGCAAAGTATAATAAATCATTTGGTCCAACCACATCCCTCTACAATAAAAATTGAAAAATAATGTCAGAGTTACAGTTCTGCCCCTTAATCAAACACTTAAGTCAGAAGAATAAAGGAAATGATCATCAACTAAGCTCTTGATTCTTAAACAATTTCTCCCTGTCAGAACCTTAGGAAATGTATAGAGAACAGAATGGAGAATATGCCTTCTGATGTTAGGGTATGAAGGGTTAATTGAGTGCCAGGCTTCTGAACACAAAAACAAAATGAAACATTGAAACAGGAAATGCTTCAGCATCTCACTCCAAAGATCTAATTGGTAATTCTTCTCACTGTCTGTCATACATTCTTTTGATATTATTGGGAGAATTTAGCATTGGATCAACTTAAAGTCCCCTAGATTATATTCTACTTTATTCTCATCACTTTTCCACTTGATATTGTGTTGATATTGTAAGGAGAAGTTTTGTCTTGGTCACTCATGGGAGTTAAGGGTTAATGTATGAAAGCAATCCAAAGTCGGGCAAGTTTATGAATTTTACAGGCTGCCAGAAAAACCCTCTTCCTAGACAAGCTAAAGTTGTTCATTCTGATGTAACTATTCTCCCCCCCAAGGAGAGGGGATTAACCTTTGAAACCCTAACAGTGACTGGCGTCTAATTTCTCCCTACAATATCACCCCTGAATCACACATTAAGGTCATGAGAATGAAGGAAATGATTACCAACAAAAAAGCTTTATTCAGTAAACAAAATCTCCTTGTCAGCACCTCAGGAAATGTTTAGAGAACAGTATGGAGAATATGCTTACTGATGCTGGGGTATAAGGGATTAAGAGCCCTTGGGTTAATTACAGAATCAAAGGGTGTAACATGTTTCATTACTTACTCCTCTGTCATTCTTCGGGTTGGTAAACATGAAATCAAAAGCAGAGTCCATGTTCGCCATTTTCATTGCCGCCCTGTTAATAAGGAAAATAACACATCATTGACAGAAATTCTGAAAATGACAGGCTTCATCTACCATTGATGCCAAAAGTGATCAGCACATACACTCTCACTATATTTTAATACCTTATTGACAAAGAAGGTCACGAGAATTGCCAAAATAATCATGAAGAGGATGCTCTGATGTGACGCTTAATTCTCTGAACTATACCACCAGGAAATGCAGTCATCACTAGGTAAGAGAATTAGCTTTCACATTTAGGGAATCCAGGAATCAATGTCAGTATTCAAGCAACTACACACCAACCCCTACAAGTTAGGCTTAGTATTAGGTTAAGGGAGGGGTGAGTGCCCAGTTGCTTAGATACTGACATTAATCCCACTGACCCATGACATTAGAGCAGTCTTCTTTGTGTTACCTGTTTTGAAAGACAGCCCCTCTGATAAACTCATATGGATTGGCTCGTGTTCTTGCTTTGAGGAACTCATCTCCACTAAGAGCATCGAAAACAGTCTGTAAACAGGATTTAATGACATTATAAATCGTAAATTGTCAAACCATTGGGTAACATGTGAAAGTGTAGTTTCATTGTCCAGCACAGTGCAGTCCTGAGATGTTATCAGCAGTTGTAACTGACATTTCAACAACCTGAGTGGAAATCATCATGACAATCACTTGACTCTCATGATGACTGTCACTCAGATTGTCAAAAAGTCAGTCACTTGACTCTGATGATGATTTTCACTCAGGTTGTTGAAAGGTCGAAAGGTCAGTCACTTGACTCTGAAGATAATTTCCACTCAGGTTGTCAAGAGGTCAGTTACTTGACTCTAATAATGACTTCTGCTCAGATTGTCCAAAAGTCAGCCACTTGACTCTGTTGATGACTTCCAGAAAGCACTATTTCAGTTACTGCCTCTCAATTTAAAAATCTGAACAGAAGTCAAAATCAAGAGAGAACTAAACAAAAGATTTTTCTTAATACTGGAAAATATCTAGGAAACTCTACCTTGCTCTTGAGAACCTCTGATAGAACCTCCTCACTGCAGAATTCTGTTTCATCATCAATAAACAATTTTTTCTAGAAATTGGGTACAACACATTTAATGTTCAATTGTATACTCAGTAAACAATTAATAATTCAAATAATTTAACATAATGTTCTTCACTATATCTTGGGTAGCTGGAAAAATATGCAATTTGTTTTCCTGTAATCATTTCACTCAAATTTTTTTTGGCTAGTAATTATGAATATTTAGAAGAAAAGGAGTATTCCATTTAAATCATTTCAATTAAATAGAAATTACCTTTTTACCTGTAACTAGCATTCAAAGCCATCTCTAAAGAAACCCCTGCTACAAAAATCAGTCTCCAAGAATTTATCTAATTTTGCTGTAATGAGAAGACATTGCCCAACTTCATAATTTTACCTTACTAACTCCAACCCAGTCCTCCATCTCTTCTCTTGTTGGTGGAGGTCTGGGACATGATGGAATGCATGTCCTGTGCTCTACTATGACTACCTAGCAGAAAAAACATTAATAAAAAAATAACAATTGATAATAATAAAATCATAAGAATAATAATAACAAATGAAAACAAAAAATCCAAGATAAGATAACAATACAATATGATTCATGTGACAAGTGTGGATTATACACTGTGGTGCTTAAAGCAAATAAGATGTATTAATTGAAAGTTAAAATTAAAACAAGAATTCTTACTTCCTCTTCCTCTTCCCATGAAAAATCTTTGTCATCAAAGCCTTCAACCCTGAAACCCAGACCACGCCTTCCACGCTGTTGAGAAGTCTCAATAATGTCAGATCTTCCTTGTCCATATCTGCCAAGACCTCCTTCCTCTTTAAAGCCCATTCTTTCCTATGGAAGTAAATAGTGGCAAACAAAATCATTGTCAAGTTTAGTTAGAAATATATACCTGTTTCATTTTTGATTGTCAGTAAGAAAAATATTACTACATAAATTTTGTTGTAACATTTGCCTATTTTCTTACGAGAGTGTAGAGTGTTTTTTTTTTAAAAAAAAAAATTTTTGGTTTTGCTTGTGCAAGAATTTCCCAACCTTCTAGTCCACTCATCATGTATCAATAAAAACAGAACAAGAGTCAGTACCATTCTAACACATTTGAATCAGTTCATACCATTTGTTTTTAGCAAATGTACTGTATCCAGATCCTGGTAGAGGGTTACTGTTCATCTCATCTTTAATAGGATCTCTTTCCTACTACCCTCTAAAAGCTCAGACTTTCCCTGTTCTGACTTTCCAAGACCAAATTCCTGTTTATAGCCCATTCTCACCTGAAAAAAATTAGCAAATTGTTTAAATGTTTTGAGTAAAAAGTTAATTAACTTCAGCAAATAATATTTTGCTTGACAAGGAGAATTTGTTTGCCAGTGAAAAGGTTTCTTCCCTGATGACCATTTCCTTTATTCTTATGACCTTAATGTGTGATTCAGAAGTGATATTGTTGGGAGAAATTAGATGCAAGTCACTCTGCGGGTTTAAAAGGTTAACCCTTTAACTCCCAGAAGTGATTAACATGTACCTTCTTCTTACAATATAAATGAATTATCCAGCAAACAGGTAATGAGAATACTTAAACCTATTATCTTGATCTAAACCAAATTCCCATAACTAATTTACTAGGAAATGAGTCGCAGCTAGAGGGGAGAAATTACAATCAGATCTTGGGATTTAGAGGGTTAATACCATCTCTGTTTTATATGATAATGTCTTTTGAAGAAAAATTAATGGCACAATGAACAAATTTAGTGTTTTCTGATTTGTCAAAAAAAATAAACTCATTTAGAGGGGAAATATCTATCTCTGTCAGTTACACAGAGTAGTCTGGGTAGGTTTTTGTTTTCTAAAACAGGCAGCTAACATTCATAAGATAAAATGAGAATGATACACTTGATTTCAAAAACATTAACACATAAAATGCATGATCCATGAACAATGAGACCTAGTGGTTTCATGAATTTTCCATTATTCGTGGAAAGTCTTTATTCATTAGTTTCATAATTCTTTTCTTTCAGAAATACATGGACAGCTTCCATCCAAATTATTGTTTTTCAGGTGCAAAATATAATAATGTAAAAATCAATACCATCTGTTTCTTGACAACATCATTGAAGACAGGTTTCTGATCATACTGCAGGAAGTTTGCATATGATGGTGAAGAAACGTCCTCATCTGAATCACTGCTGGAGAGATCTGAAAGTACATGATAATTCAATTACTGAATGCATTTGATTTGTATCTGTTTTCTGATGGATATTTCCTATTAATGTTATCTTAGTATCACCTTTTCTTACAGCCTATCATGATGGAAAAAATTACTTAATGAGGTGAAACAATTATAGGTGTCTTGGAAGCTTTCATTGTGGTCTAAAGATTAAAAACACTCACAACAAACCACTAGAAATTACTAATGCAAATCAAACCAAACACAATCACAAATCAATTAGCCAGTTTCACAGGCATCGTCAGGGAGTGGGACAGGGTACTACCAAGAAACAATCCTGCATTTCTCTTGGCAAGTGGGACTGCTGATCTTTGGCTGCCCTTTCATAAAAGAAGAAGTGTCTCTTTTTGGTTTGAGTATATGTGTTTAATCTACTGGAGGCAGTTCACTTATAATTTTTTTTAAGTGAAAAAGTTAAAGATAGATTTAGAATCTTGGCCCCTATGGTTGAATGAAGAGCTTGTTGGACCCTCAATCTGGAAGTCTGTGGTTCTAACCATGAAGAAAGAAAAGGGGGCCTCTTTGGTCACTATCCTCAGGTTGCTCCCTTAGCATTCTTACCTGGTTCATTCTACAGAAAAATTGGGATTTGCTTCGGTCGTTGCAAGATCCCTGAGATTGTGAAATTTCTTAGAAAAAACGTCAATTGTATTGAAACATTCATTGTTATTTACAGACCGCGCACAAAGTGGATCTCAGATTTTAATAGTTGCACAAACTTGCTGAACCTTAATGCGGGATGCACTATCGATTGAACGTAAGGATCGCAAGTGTGAAATTCATATCAGACCATTCTACTCTAGATCTCTATTTCAATTTACATTGTATACTTACTTTTTCCTTTTTGAAATGCTTGATCCCACCTAGACCTGAATCTTCATTTTTGCGTTTAGACATTTCGGATTTTTCCTTTAAACATTCACCACGAGCTGGAAAATCCTGCAACAGCACACTTGCACACCAAAGCCGGAAGTGATCAGAACAGTTTTAGCTTATTCAAGCTAAATTATGTTTCTTATGATGAGGTAAGAGGTGAACATAGAGTTTTCTTCATTCTCAAGCACCATAAAAACCATTCACTGTAGTTGTTCTTACTTTTCTGAATGTAACCTAGAGAATTGGAAATCGACAACTGACCGCCATATTTTTGCCTGAATACTGGAGGTGGACTGGAGAGGAAAATAGTAATCTATAGTTCGAATAAGATACACTGAACAATCTCTTTTGAGCGACCGTCATGCATCAGGCGAGTGATACTTTGAATATTCAGACGGTTTGGAGATTTGTAAACAATGCACCAGCTAAGTAACACAAATTGATCCTTGATCTGTCTGAATATGGAAGTAGAACTTACTTTTGATGCAGTGAATTCTTGTAACTTTGCGAGAAAGCGGCAAGCGGCTCAGGAGAGCTGTTCAGAAACACAATCGAAGGTAAACATTGATGGATACTTACAACACGTGTTTTGAGAATCTTTTTTCTGTTTTAATCTACTTTCGCTTTCAACGTACTTTACGAATTATTTTGAAGTTATAGTCGTCCCAGATTTCCATGAAAAATGCCATAATATTGCATATTATTAACAATATGAAAATAATTAAGTCACTTATTCAGTTATTCCTCCGAGGGGATTTTCCTTCGAGCCCAAAAATTGATTATTACTCTTACAGGAAAATCGATCGAAGGAGACCGACAGACTTCAAAGGACCAAAACCTTTAAACCCTAAGGATAACCAGCATCTAACTTCTCGTTAAAGTGATACTGCTTAAAAGGTCAATAAGATCTTGACAATAAAGGAAATGGTCGCCAACCTACGATCAGAAGCTTTGATTGTTAAACAAATTTCCCTTGTCAGTACCAAAGAAAATATAAATACTGAGAATATAAATACTGATGTTAGAGTGTAAAGAGTTGATCGATTCACAACCACCGTAAAAATATAATTTGTCTCTGCCATATCTATAGAAGCGACCATGTCTCGAAGACTGTTGCTGGAGTTTGGATAAAGCTTGCAATGAGGGATCAGAGAACAGATCCTTAAGTTGCACAATGCCCATGGTTTTAACACATCAACGACCAGATAATAATTGTCCATCATCATCTGACCCTTACACTACTTCATTCACTGGACACAGCTACAAGGACATTAACTGTAACATACTGAATCAAGAGAATCAGTCGCAGGAAATGGACATTTCATGTGATACAACAACAAGTAGAGCACTCCATCAGCAGACCTTTTCTGTGAGTTAATTTGTGTTTTTGAAGGACGAATATGCTCTAGAAACCATGAAAGAGTATATATTGTGTACCTATTGACTTAGGTTGGGCAAAGTCTCTGTCATGTTGTGCAGTCTGAGCTATGCTCAGTGCATGCGTCATGACCCTTCAGTAAAATATTTTTCAGTAAGTCAATAAGCAATTTATCATAACACTGCAACTCTGTTTCTTTCTTCCTCTTCTCTTTTGTTATTCTTCTCACAGAGCTATATGCTAGACAGAACAGCTTTTCCTGACCTCCTTGTGCCATCATGGAAAGCTCTCATAGAGAGATTTGTTTATGATGTTTTTCAATAAAGAGTGTGTGCATTTTTCCCTACAAGCAGTGAAAGAAATTTATCCTGATATACATGAAACAATGGCTTCATTTTTTGCACTTCTCTGGCAGGTCCCACCCATCATAGCTCAGTATTATTCATCTTCAGCATCCTGCTTTCGCTGCTTGAGAGGAGAAGCGGTAGGTCTTTTTAAGTTTGATTTCCATGCTATGATGACCACTTTCCGATCAAAAACTGAAGGCATTACATTTACTGAGCAAATGACATCAGCTGTTTTCATTAAAACCTTGCACAGTTATTCTGCAGTAAGAAATGATGTTATCTTTAACCAATTAGAGTAAACAGATCTCTTTAATTGCATGATGAATTATCCTAGTACTAAATGTCAGTTTTAAAGAACATTTTGGAAGTTTTTCAAGATGAGAAAGTTGTAAATGAACATTTTATCCTGGGATGCCCATTCTAGTTCCTTTTTTATAAAGTCAGTATTGCCTCATCCAGCAATGTATTCTTCAAAGAACACCTCTCACCCCAAAGACAAATTTTTCCTTTCTTCTGTGCCATTCCCAATTGATAACTAGTATTTTTTTATTTTTTAACAGGGACACATGAACCACCTGACCAGTTGATCAGCAGTCTTATGAGCATTTTGTTTACTTTGATACTGACATGTACATAAACTTGAAGGTTTTTTATATATAAACATATTCTCATTCAGTCACTTGTCTGATTTGGCTGTCTGGTATTACTCATTGCAAGACAATTTTACTGTAAATAAAACACAGATGTCCATGACTGAATTAAATATACATATGTATATATTATGACATGTGTGGTGAAGTCTATGTTTACTTTGGCATGGTGTGATATACAAGAAATGGTCACTTTTGTCTAAAATTGATCACTGTTACCTGAAAATGGACATTAGTTTTCAAAATGGGATGCTGGTTATCTAAAACATTGGATAATAGTTTTACTATGTACTGAAACAGCAGTTAAAGGTGTGCTCTGATTGGCTTACAAACGTCGAATATCCTTTGCTATTCACCTCCCAGAAACTTGTGCCGTATTTGTGCCTGAAACTATTGCAATAGTTGCAGTTTTATAGAGTTAAAATCTTCTTTTTGTGTGGTATTACCTCCCTGTTTTACTAAAACAACCATTTGTATTTAACCCTTTAATCTGTGAGAATGAATCAAGCATTAAGGTCATGAGAATAAAGGAAATGATAATCAACTGAAGTAACTCTTGATTTTTTGAACAAATTCTCCTTGCCAGCACATTAGGAACTGTTTAGAGAACAGTATGGAGAATATGCATACTGATGTTAAGGGTTAAAAGGGAGACATTAGTATCTGGAAAAGGGACAATAGTGTCTGAAAATGGACATAAGTGTCCCAAAAAGAAGAAAAAATAGATATCTATGTTACATCAGTGTCCAAAATTGAACTTTTGGGCCCAAAATTAGATATTAGATTGATAAAATATGCTAGTGTATTGAAATGGATGGTGGTGTACAAAATTGTACAGTAAAGTTAAGTGACAGCTAACTACTAATAGACAGTTTGGTATTGTGTGGGTCTCAAATGTAACAGGCTGAAACAAGAGTTCTTGTCCAACAAATTGGCCAGAAATTGTCTGTATTGAACTCAGACAAGTGGAGAGGGACTGAAGAGAGTAATCACAGATTGGTGTTGAAAAGGTTACCTTGGTAGACTTCTGCTTAATTTATATAACAGGGATTGTGAAAAGTATAATTTTATGTGGTCTTGTTACATCCAATGACTTCTCATTTACTATTTTAAGACATGTCTCCTTAAAAACCTTTAAACCCGAAAATCAGTATGCATATTCTTTAGGCTGTTTTCTATTCATCTCCTAGGGTGCTGAATAGGAGACTTTTTTTGTGACCTTATTGTTTGATTCAGGGGTGATATTGTGAGGACAAACTAAATGCTTGTCTCTCCTAGGGATCAAAGGAATATTACTTTCAACCTTTTTAAAGCAAAAATACACAAAATTAAAGTTTGACTGTAATGTGCAGCACCTCAAGTACATCCAAGGAAGTGAAACACTGTTAATCTTAATAATAACAATAATAATTGTAATGATAATGATAATAGGTGCGTACGTTCATTTCATGGCTTTGTGGAAGTCTAATGGCAAACGCACTGCCACACCCAAGGCACGTGGTCATCTTCATTTCTACAAAACAGTGTCAACATTCTAAACAAGCTAAAATACATAAGGCATCTTTCTCTTTTTTATGACCAAGCTGAAATATATCTCTCTTATTCCTTACACTTATATCACGCTTTTGACATAGCTTATCCTGGCAGTATGTGGGACGCGTGTCACATAATGATATGAATCCCGTAGGGGCCCAGCTCACACTAGAGTATCTGTGGCTCGGGGTTAGAGGATTTAAACACGGAATCCAAAGGTCTCAGATTTGACTCCTCATGGGGCCTCCAAATTGTTTTCTTTGTCGTGTCATGACGAACACATCTTTATCCAGTTTCAATACGTATTTCTTGTTCAAAATGTACTCAGAATTCTTTTTTAGCTGATTGTAGAAAGCGGGTGCCCTTCAATTGAGCGAAATGCATCTAAATTGATTCAATGAATAACATCTCAGATACTTTTTGCGTCAAGTGCTATATAAAGTTAAGTCAAGAAAGACATACAACCGATTATAATTAAAATATTCGGTACTAGACCACTTTAATATTTTCTCTGTTCAAAAGAATATATAAGTATGAAATTAAAACCCTTGGTTCAAAATCCTGAAATTCTTTACAAAACTTTACTTAAGGAGAGAATGCCATTTCTACACTCGTTTCTAAAATATGAAAATAATATGAATTCTTTACTTAGAAACGTTAACCTTTAAAACACTTTAAAAACTTGTAATTGTGACAAATACAGAAGCCAAGCACTAAGAGTGCCGCAGGAGGGTCTCGACGGGGTTTAACGTTAGCCTTTAAGAGTAAAAAGAAACGGCAAATTTTAACCAATAGTCGTGAGAAAAGTTTACCGTAAAAATATTTCCGTTAAATTTAAGGGAAAGAAATTAAATGGACATCACCCCATGGAGACCTTCCCGTAAAATCATCGAGGTTTTCTGGGATTTCTTGCGAAAAATATAACCAAAAAACATAGAGGAAACCAGTAAGGTATTCAATGAGAAGTTACTGATTTTTTTCTATTATTAAAGTTGTCTTGCAAGTTGTCCGACATAGGAGTAGAGTATCACTTTCGCACTTTGACTGAAACGCGTATGAGGCGCGTTCCGTGAAGGAGATCGAAAAGAGCATCAACAACCATCGAATTTCAATGCACAAAATGGAAATAAGCGTATTTAGCTTGTTATGTGTTTAAAGCTGATTGACCAGCGCATTAAAGAGCTGTAATAGGGCAAAAAAAAAATATTTACATCACTCGCTGCACTCGTCTAAATTTCAACTATAACAAGCTACACCCAAGGTTTTCTACTTCGCTCTAACGCTCACTTTGGATATCATGGCTTGGCAACGACCTCGACGTTTCCTCGTTTCCAAAGAAAACATAACGCATTTAAAACCAAGAGATACATGCTGGAACCCTTCAAAATGACCTCATTTACGCCTACAAATAAATTTATACCGGCGATTAGTTTCTTCATTGACAAATCCCTTCAAACGAAAAAAATTCTAACGGGCGGACTTTGCTCTTCGCGGCAAAATTTTTACTATACATTAAGCCATAAGCAGTTCACCTTTCTCAGATTGATCTTTCCAATAAATCAAAAGACCTAAAAAAGGTAAAGGTGGAATAGGAAAAAAAAAAAAAAAAAAAAGAAAGAAAAAAAAATAGCGAACGAAAATAAAAAAAAAAATCCGCCCATTCTCCCCTTTTCGTTTCCAGTTTACGCGCAAATCATTCTCGTTATCATTCTCTTCTCTCACCTTATGAATTACAGGAGAATTTCTTCTCGTAGTTTAACTGTATATAATTAGATTTTTTTTTTTTTTAAACATTTGTTCCCCAAGAAGGAGATTACATGTACCTTGAGCCAATTTGGCATTAATTCATACATAACAGTATATGTAAATATATAATATATAAAATTCTATTCATTTCTCGTAATTCAAGATTACCATTATCAAAAATCTATCTATTCATGTGTAATTAACTTAGTCCTTTTATCTCCTTTACATCCCAGTGATATTCCCTGGAAGATTACGCAGAACGGAAGTACGATGATTGTCCGGATACGACAAAGTGGTGGCGAAGACTTCCGAAAGCTTCCGTTGATGATCAGGGTCCACCATGTAACTAGTTCGATATAAACTCGACGCGCAATTGTTTTCCAATTCGGAAAAGATTGCAGCGTTTTTCTTGTCTTTGTTTCCGAGTCATATTTAACCATTCTTTGAGACTTCTCTTACTTAACCTCTGACATCTGATATTACATATAACTGACTCCTCTCTCCGTAACCGTTACATTCCGCTGATATACTAGGCGTTGTTTTACATTACTTTGTGCTGCGTTACGTCGACGAATTCATGGACCTGTTAAGTATATTAACGAGGATGCTGGCTGGCCAGTCCTTACAAATTTCTCCAAATAAATGACACTCATTGTGTACTCCTCCAGTTTTTCGCATCACTAGACCGAATGATCTAACGAAGACAAGTAACAAAGGGAGATGTTAGAACGTTAGAATAAAATTTGTATTGATTTTATGTGGTCCAATGTCCTGAAGACTCCCTGTGAAGCCTTTTGTAAGTAGTATCCACGCCCCCGCGCCTCCAAGGTGTTTTTCACGATAATCTTGTCTAAGACTACAGTGGACTCTCCGCTAATCCTGTTTTTAATTCCCACCTCCCGCACGCAAAAACTTTCCCCATACCATTGTTTACAAAGATTCCCCTTATTGAGTTGCAATCGAACAAACACACCACTCACACACTCGTGATACAACTCCGCATCTTAAGTTCCTCTGTTAACTTATGCAGGGGATGGGAGGGTGGGGTTAGCCCAAAATCCCAGATTTTAACCGGGAGGAATCAGCCCGTAAAGAACCCCCCCATCCCCCCCCCCCATAAGCGAGGCATTATTTCTTCCTTTCGAATGCGTGACTTACTTTGACTTCCCACTGTATGTAGTGGTCTTCAGATCCCACCTGCAATAAGATACAAGAACACCAGGGCTGTTAAGTACTTTTTAACAAAAACAGTAAGAGTTGCAAAGTAGCCATCTTTTCATCAAATCCCACAACTACGCCGCACAGCATGATTCCACCGACCTACCAAACTACCGCAGCTTCATAACATACAACATCAAGACAAACTACCGCGTCTGCACTAAACTTCATCGACTGCGGCAACTACACCAACTACACCAAAAGGAGCTACAGCTTCAAATGCGCACAGGACTACCACCACCCGGATGATCAAACTGCACGATCCAATGTTACGCTCAACTTTAAATGATTTATTGTAAAAAATCCTAAAAAAAGTCTAACCCTTGCCTCTCACCTTTTATCGCTGGGATCTATACCGCAATAGAGAATTGACTTCATGTGGAAATGCTGCCTGAAGAAAACTCTGGAAAAAATAAAAAATAAAAGTTCTGTAAAAAACTTGTCCATCGTGTGACCATTCCAATGGAAGCTACAGGGCTGTATTTTCATGGCGCTGTTTACCATGCTGAACAAGAAGGTTTTAACTTTTGGGTCGGAGGATAAAACCCCAGTGTGATCATTTACCCTTTCACTCCCAAGATCTTACTTGCAATTCTCTTTACTGCCTGTCATACAATTCTTATGATTTTAGTTCAAAGAATTTGGTATTGGATCAACTAATAGTCCCTAATTGATATTTTCCTTTACTCTAGTCATTTGTCTGTTTGTTTTTGTTTTGATATTGTAAGGAGAAATTCTGTCTTGATCACTTATGGGAGTTAAAGGGTTTTGATAAAAGTTAATGAGTAATACTATCACGTGGTACTGGTACTATCACGTGGTACTGCCTTGTAACGTGGTTCATATTTCTATAACTGCAACGTTTCTTACTTTCGTTCAGTATCTGTAACAGTCATTCCGTCTGGTGTGACCTTAAAGCTAACTGTCGTGAATTTCTTGGCAGCCTCTTCTGTTGACAGAAATTCCACAGTTCGCTGTATAGCGCTGGCACCAGTTAACATTTCCACCTCGCACTTTCCGAGATACATAAGGGAACCAACTGAAAAACAAAACGAAAATTACTCTACATCCGATGATGTAACCACCTGACATAGTGGTCTCCAGGCAAGCGCAAGCGATACGCCATCTAGACAACGTATGGGGCGGCCTGGGTTCGAGGCCTGGCCGGGTCAGTTATTCTTGTGTTCTTGTTGGACAAAACGCTCCAAGTAATTCTCTCTAAATAGGAGGGAAGAATGCTCTTCTTTGGAAGTTTCAGGTTATAGAACCACCCTGCCGTGAAACTAGAATCTAAAAAAATTATCTATAAGAAGGCAAAACATTCAGAGAACGATCAAATCCATAACTACCGTCTCGTAAATCAAGCCAGACAGATCAGTTATAATTCTAGTATCTTACCAGCGCCTTTGGGCCAGTTTTGACCGTCCTCCTTGTCAAGAGACTGGTCCTTATCTCCAGCTAGGAGGTCTGAAAAAAGAGATATGATGACTGTCAACATAGCGAACATTTATTAATGGTTCCGATATTCCGAAATTCGAAATAAGAAGCAAAATGGTGGATACTGGATTGCAAATTTTATAGTATTCGAAAACATACACACTTGCATACATGGCACATCGATGTAGACATCGATCGTTGTCGGGGAAGATAAAAGATTTTGTTACATGAAAACCGAGATTAAACAAGTCAGCAAGCCTGGGTTTATTTTTTATCAACACGAAACACTAAAAATTAAATGAAAAGTACTTAATAAAATAGATAAAATAACTATATAAGCGCGTGGCTTTTGCCGAGAATGCGACAACTGGTCGACAACAGACACCTTACCATGAGCGGGCATTTTAAGTCTGATTGGTAGAGCCAAGGGAGTGATGGAATGTTGATACACAAAAGCAGCCAAACTGCCTACAAAGATAAAAATATAGCACGGTATTAACTCTTTAAATTATCACCTGCGCGGCTGACAAAGCGAATGGGGGATCTAGGTTAAATTTTTAACGTAAAAACAAACAAACCAACAAATTTGCCATCTGGCAAAGTGCTGTGTGGTTTCCGCTAAAGCTGGCTTTATAGAAAAGACTTCCAGTGATATGGGAGAAGTTTAATACTGTACACTAAGTTGGGCTGGTGAAACACAAGTTACAGTTCAAGTACTTACCAAAAATGGGTTCATCGTTGTAGCCTTTCAACCTAACGCCCTTCTTAGTTGTTTCGATGAGAAAGTGCCGAACAAGTTCATTGTCGAGATCAACTTTTGCTGAAAGAAGCAAAACATTTGGTAATCTTTCGAAATCGCAATGAAGAACTCTCTTTTTTTCAGTTGTACTGAAACAAAACGGAACTAAAGAAACAGACAATAAAGGGTCTCATAGAGAAACGCAATAAAGGGGCCTCACATCGGTACTTTTTTTAGGAGCCACCTGAGGGTAAACAACGAAAGTGCAAACAGGCGCATAATTAAGGATTCTGAGAATAAGGAAAACGACCGACTGGAGTAAATCGTTCAACGAATCGTGTCAGAAAGGGAAAAAAAAGGTAAACTTTTAGTGAAATTCTCAAACAAATCGAACGGGAACTGTGGCAAGTACTTTGCAAAATATTAATCTTTCCTTAACTACTTTAGGAGGGGAGGGGTGTTCCAACTTACTAAGGTCTCCTTGAAGTCCCTGAAGGACATGCGCGGGAGGCACGGCGACCTTCACAGCTAAACCAAAGGCCCCTGGGAAGGACTGACTATCCCGGATGATAAAAGAACCTGGTTCTGAGTCTTTTAGGATATCGTTTGCTAAAGAAAAAGAAAACAAGACAAACTGTAATAAACTCGTCAGAGTGGGCTCATATCAGAGTGACCAGCATCTCATTTCTCCTTACAGTCTCACTGCTGCCTCAAAAAGTTTGGTCTTGAGAATATAAGAAATGATAGTGAAGCTCTGGTCAGTACTAAAGGAAATGCATAGAAAACAGTATCGAGAATATACACACTGATGCTAGGGTGTACCGGAAGTATTGCTAATTCTCGGGGTATAAGAGAATAGTCTATCGTAGGAAAACTCCAAGGAATAGACTTTGACAAGTTTCTTGGCAGCCTATTAGTTCCTGTTTATACTCCTGAGAGGAGAGTATTACTGTAAGAGTCCGAAATACATAACACTTAACAAAGTGACACGGCCACGTTATTTCCGCTCGGAAACCTGCGCGCTAACAACTAATGCAAGTAACAGCGTCTCCCGTACAGTACGAGGCCTTCATATATCAAAGAAAGGAAGTGATTTCATACCATCAGTCCTTGAAATGGTTGGTTTATACCAAAACACTGAAGTGTCTCTGTCAAATTTTAATCCTGGAATTTTCGGGCTTTCCGGAAGGAACACATCTGAAAAATAGGACGCACAATAGTTTTAAGCGGAAGCAAAAAGGGGATTTCACTGTAACTCTTCACGATTTTTATTTTGTCGCAAGCACATCGGCTTCTCTATAATCGTGTAGCTGTCAGTACAGCTAGCGTGTCTTTAAACTCAATCTTGCACGAGTTACAAAGCGTGCCACACGCACTGCACTCTACGCATACAAGTGTGCAACTCACGGACTGAATATGGTTGTAATGAAGGTGGTGGACGATACTCACTGTCATTCGATGAACCAGACGATACACTGTTGGTAGACCCGTAGCCTTTATCTGAGACAGGATGAGATTTCTTTCGCTGTACAGCATTTTCAAAGGACCCAGATCCATCAGACAGCAAAGGACTCCTACCCTTTCCGTTTGGACCTTCACTCCTGACGCTCTGTGGTGTACTAGGGTGACTAAGTTGGGGAAGCTGTGGCTCGTTGATGCTACTGGAGAGGAAAACCATATGGAAAGAAAAACCATACCAGACGAGTTAATAAGTGAGCAGGAAACATATTTCCGATTATGATGACAACCGAAATACCAACGTTCTTTAGGTTTGTATGTTCCAGTAGTGTAGACTACTTGAAACAGATTTCATTGATCACCATATAGCTTAAAAACGTTGTAATCAAGTTTATTCCAGAAATGCGCTTTCTATCGGTTCAGCGCCAACAACAAATGCCTCACCCCAAGTCAGCCATCTCTGATAAAATGTCTTTAATGGCTTCAACGTCACTAGCTGTTTTGGTGATTTGTATCTGTTCCACAATTGGTTCAACTACAGGAGTGGCCGATGTGCTTGTCTCCTCTAGGGTGGTCTGAGTCTCCGTGGTAACACCATCTCCAGGACTGAAAAACAAGAACATTATCAATCGGGGCCGATAACCGGCCAAAACTATCGGCTAGTCTGCCATCTTTGGCCGGCTTATTTAATCTCACTTGATCATAGTTGCTGATGAAAAATTAAAAAATACCTTTGAAGACACATGTGCAGCCGCCATTTCCCAGATTGAGTGGAAATAAAGGTCAATTTTCTAGACACAAGTTTAGAAGTGTGAATCGATTCCACGTTCAGAATCAGTTTGCTCAAAGATTCGTGCTTATTTCGTGGAGCGCCAGCTGAGCACCTTGACAGAATAGTTCAGTCTCGCGTTTAATCTGACGAGGAATCAAGGCGTCCACGATAACCTCGACACCAAATAATTCATTTTTGCCTTCTACTCTTGGAAGCATTGCAGTTATAGAAATGTTAGATAGAGTGGCTATACCTCTTCTGTATCTTCTTAGCGGACCGTATATCCTCCAGTCTCGCGTATCCAGCTTCTTCGTCTTCCCGTGCTTCTTGCAAATGGACTGCAGCACTTTCCAGGAGATTACTGGAACTCGACTGTTGACTGACCAGATCAGTTACAGCCTCTCCCTCTTGGTTCATTGTCGTGATTGCTACCGGATTAAACCGGTTTGACGAACGACCAGCAACGGGCGTGGAGACTGACGAGGTACTGACGATTGATTCACCAAAAGCTGAGTCCGTGTGACCATCACTGCTGCTGAGGTCAGAGAGTAACGTTAGATGGAAGGAAGGAGCGAGGAAGTGGGAAGACAGAAGAAACAAGCCACGAAGGAAGGTAGTAGACAGAGGAAGAGATGAAACAGGGGTAGGATAGAGATAACATCCAGGAGAAAGAAAATGAGGGAGGGGAGGGGAGGAAGGCAGAGAGGAGGGGATGCCACGGGGGGGGGGGAAGGGGTAATAGGAAAAAAGCGGAGAGGAGGTTGATTTGAACAGAAAGACATTATTTGGTCAAGATCAAATACCTTTGGTTACAAGCCCTATATTTATATTTGTTCAAAACAAAACTTTGTGCAACAAATTCGATAATCCTCAGATATTTAAAGAAGAATATTGACTTACGCAGATGGTGAGGTTCCTAGATTGGTCGGTTCATCGATAGATCCTTTGGAGTCGACACCTTCATCCAAACTTATACCGTCAATACTGCTGGGAGGAGACTTCTCAAGGACATGGTGATGATCCATAAAGTCTTAAATGAAGGAAATATAATAAGCTACTTCTTCAAGAAAACAATTCGCGCAATATTAAACAGTCACACCTTTGCTCAGGAAAATACCCAGGACTAAGGAAAGTTACCTCTTGACTTGGGTAAAAAATACAAAAGTGATGTGTGCACTTGTTCCAGGTAAGACCAAAGTTTGAGTCCCCTTAAAGGAAACGTCCCACAAGAATTGTTCTACTGTTTTTAGTCGTAAGCGAAATACTTTGGCACGATCTACGGTACAAGAAAACTTTGGAGATTATTTAACGGTTTGGCATCTTTTTCAACAGTACCACAGGCTTACTGGTAATACCGGTGAACACAAACACATCAGGTCTACTTTAATGGAAACAGACTAACGAGTCGCTCGCCGTATTTTCTCAGTGTACATCGTATCCCTAACAGAGTTTCGTTGCCAGGCATAGTGATAGTAATAGTAAACTACAGAGCGACTGTGATAGATTAGTTTCATACACTCCACCATTTGATAGGTATTGAGAACTGTGAATAAAACATTGCATTAGTCTATAATTAGCAACTATTAGGGTGCAAAAGACGTTTCCTTTTGCAAATACAGTCTCTCGAGGTTTCTTAGACGGCAATAAACCGTAAAAAGCAATTTTAAGTGACAATTTTGTTTTAGAAACGGTGGGGTAAGTCAGAGAGAACATCAATGTGCACCGATGATCAGGGTGTCAGGGGTAACGTGACAAGAAAACGATAGATGGATTGCATGACGAGTTAGCAGAGACGAAATTCAGAAAAACGCGAAAGTGATTTTTGTAAGAAATTCTTCTCTACAAAAGTGCAAGGGACAGTGAGGATTGTAACGCGTTATAAGAGCAGAGATTGCGTGATACAAATGTTAGGTTGCATGAGAATGAAAAACGTGAAAGTACCTGTCTTGTGAACGAGAAACTCATGCGCAGGAGGTAAACGCGACTCTTTGAACCCAGTTAGATCTGTCTCTTTGGGTGGCTCGGCCACGTGCTTGGTTTGTTCGACAATCCTCTTAGGCGGGGCGCCACTGATGTACAAAGTTCCTGACGAGTGGCTTATTTCCCCTGGTGCCAAAGACTTGGCGTTGTAATTCGAAATTTCTTTGGACACTTCTGTCGCTGACAAGCAAGCAAGGCCAGGCATGGGGATTATATGGCCCTTGATATTTTGATGTGGCGGAGGACGCACATTATCAGGTTGGAGCATATCGCTAAGGAGGGCGATTTTCGAACGCACATTTCCCTTCTCTGGCAGCGTTTCAGAATCCTGGATCGTTTTTCGCCCTTCTAAATCGAAAAAAGTCTTCGACGACGGCTAGTTTATCATCATTGTTATTGAAATCAAAGGTTTTAGGACCTCGTCTCTGCTGACCAGGACTAGAAGTCGTCCTTTGGCTGGCGACGGAAACATCTTCATTCCTACCAGCACCGTCAACATGGTCACCGCTGTTTGGAACAAAGTTGTATCCCAAAGTGGTGTGAGAAACTGTTTTAGCTTTTAACGTCCTTGGCATTACTTCAGTGGTGGCGAAAAATGTTGGCGACGTTGGAGACATGGCAGGTGACACTTTAGACAAAGGCGCGTCGTGTAAGACAACCGAAAGCGCATCCCCGTCAGAATATCCATTCGACATCTGCCCAGTTTTAACATTGCCATTCCACGAGCTATTTTGTGAATATGGCGGCGGTTTGATAGGGACTCGTGTATGCGTTGCTCCAAAAGAGGGTCCGTTACTTTGGTTGTACCTTACAGCACTGATCCCATTTGGAATCAGCGGTTCTCCTATTAAGCCACTCCTACTGTAACGCTCACCAACTTCAAAACTCGCCTTTTGGCGCACAGGAGGACCAGGAGGAATAACAGACCTCGATCCTCCGTTGACCACAGGAATACCTGATGACTGCACGCCTCTCGACCCGGATCCAGCCTGTCGTAAAGTTGAATCCAAAATTTCTGAACATTCCCCCAGCTCTTGCAGAAGCCTATCAAACGATTTCATCTCCCTATTCCGGCCGTCCTCACTCGAATGCTGCATTTTGCTGCTATTGTTGTGCTGAAGACTGGGTTGTGTCAGTCCAAAATCCTCATTTTCTTTGCTTCTAAATCCGTACGCTTTTTTTCGATTCAAAGTGTTTGCTCTGTTTTCAAAGAAGTTCAACTGTTCCGCTCCTCTTGACCGGGCACCACTATCCAAGCTCATGGATCGCACTTTCTTCTTGAGTGCTTTGTCCACCTGGGCGTACAAGTGGCCATTCACCGGACCAGGTACGTACTCAGGGGGACCTTCACCAAAATAAGACATCTTTTAGTAACTGAAGCATAGCAAAAATTTCACAACACCTACCCCTCCCCAAACTCGGCATCAACCCTAACTTATTATTAGTCGACTGTTTTTTGGTTAGGGGAGGGGTGGGTGGGCAGTCGCTCAGAATCTGACATTGATCCAAAATTTCATAGACAAAGATTCTCAGAGACCACTTTAAAAAACACAAAACACACACACACAATAGTGGATGAAAGCTTTCATTAGAATGGCCAAATGATTTATCCGCAAATTAAAAAAGTTAGCCTCACCTTGTGCAATATATACAAACATAAAAGTAACAAATGAAAGGACTGCTGAGTTGTTTTCATCTGCATGCACAATCCATATATTTTAAATGTAAAGGCAATTGGTAAGGCCGCCATAACACTTCTAATGAAATTGCACACATATTTCTTTTATCTATTTCAAAAGAAGGTAACTTGAAGTTTACGAATGAATCTATTATTTCAGTTATGAAATTCTTACAAACGTCTCTAAGCTTTACAAACATCAGAACGCTTTTATTTGTTTTTTTGGGGGGTAAATGGCCGGTTCTTTTGCCCAAGAAACATAAGCAATTCTTCATCGCATGTCAAAGACTTCAAGGACGAACGACCCACTAGAGACAATTATGGCCAATAAAATATTGACTACGTGTAATTCAGATAAGATCTTGAGACAGATAACAATACTCTAATCAAAAATTGGATCGTGACTTACAAATACGTGAGTTCCTTATCGTTATAACTGCCACAGCTATTAGCACTAATTGAGAATGAATCCGTAGATATTTAAGGGGAAATCTTAACTCGATAACAGCATTTCAGTGACCCCCTAACGTCCCGAAGGAAAACGTTATATGTACAACAGTATTTTCAAAAGGTATTTTAAATAATCCAAACTCTCCACGTTCAAGGTCTATTGGATGTATTTCGCTCACATATCAGCACAACGAATGCAAAACAGAGGTCTTAAATGACTTACAAATACGTGAGTTCCTTATCGTTATAACTGTCACAGCTATTAGTACTAATTGAGATTGAATCCGGAATAATATTGGCAGAAAGAGAGAAGCAGATTCCGCAGATTTTTCGCGGAATGCGTAGATACTTGAGGGAAAAATCTTAACTCGATAACAGCATTTCAGTGACCCCCTCACGTCCCGAAGGAAAACGTTATACGTACTAAGGTATTTTCAAAAGGTATTTTAAATAATCCAAACTCCCCACGTTCAAGGTCCATTGGATGTAATTCACTCAAATATCAGCATAACGAATGCAAAACAGTGGTCTCTAACAATTCTTTAAAATAAAAAATAAAAAGTAAAATATAAAGAGAACGACAAACGAGTAACTCGCAAAATCAGTCGTCCTCTGAGCTTTCCTGTATCTTGAAATATTTTTCGCAAACAAGTAATAGAATTGACTGCACTCTGAGTTCACGACATAGTTTTGAACAGCACATTTAAGAGTAAAATCCGTCTTTAGTTATAATTCCGGAAATCGCCTTAAACTTTCTCCAGGGTCGCACGCTACGTGATTGCTTTCCTTGGCCCAACATCAAGTAAAAAAAAATTCATTCAATTAATCAATTAAAGATTACAGAAAAAACCACTTGTAGTTGTTGATTCTAATACATTCCTTATACCCCCTAGTTTTGAGAATTTGGTGATAGGTCAGCAATATTCTGCAGTTAGTATTCAACGTAGTTTGTCTCCTTGAATATATGTTCATGGACTGCCAAAAAAATGTATTAAAAAAGCATCCTATAGGTGTTACGATGAGATTTTTGCCTCTTACGCTTCTCGTACAGTCAAAGCTCAAAAGTGGGTAGCGAAGAACTTCGTGATGATTTAAGAAAATTGCGAAAACTCCTCAGTCATAACACTGCAATCATCCTCAATAACGATCGGAAGGGGATCAAAATAACGGCCGAAGGGAAGAATGAAAAGCTTAAAGCTCTCCCTCTCCCCCTCTCCCTTCCCCGCCCCTCCCCTCCGGGGACTTTGACCAAGTGTTCATGAACGCGGCACTAACGCAGAATAATGTCTCAGTTTTAAGGTCAATTTAATCAAACCTTGTCAATCAACAGATCAAAATACCATTTATTCCAAATAAATAAAATGATATTCGTGTGGTGTGTGTTGTGAGAATTGAAAGCTACCTAAAGGAAGTGAGCCCAGTTTAACTGATCAGTTTCGTAATTCTCATCAATTGTCCACTTGAGAATTTACTGGTTAATGTTATTTTCTACCATAAAATGAACCAAAAGGTCAAACCACCCAGACGTCTTGGTGTTTATTGACATTTTTTTAAATCTATAATTAGTCAAAAGAAAAACAAACACTTCGAATGCCCTTGAGCGATCAAAATTAATAACTGCTGACAATTCTGCACCTTTTAAAAATTTCTGGATGTTCACTCAAACGTGATGCTAACAGTGACAGTTATGGCCGAAACAACAAGGCTTGCTAGAGAAATATCTCGGGTAATCTACACTAAAGAAATTCCAAAATGCTATTGTAACCTTCTTATCTGAGGAAACAAGAGACGAGCCAAGTAAACACATTCCACAAAATATTTCCTCGAAAGATTGTCCGCATTACACAATGGTACGTAACTGCCTATACGTTTTGGCTATTTCAAATATTCCAATTGCATAGTGATAGAGTTTCCATTTAACGGAAATATCTCTGTCCATGTTTTCTTTTTCGATAACGACAGATCAAAAGAATCCCACTTTCACAGCAGGAAAGTTTAAAAGTAAAACGCTTGAAGTTGCTCAGATACAATTGAATAATTCCGCAAGATCGCGCCCCAAGGTCAAATGAGTTTTCGTGTAATTACTGTTGTTTGAGAAAATAACTATGAAAACAATAAAATCAAGGAGTTGGGCCAGAGCTCTGAGGTGCAAATACTTCAAGGTAACACTCCTAACTTGTCGTACAGATTCAAAAAGGAAGAAATAGTTGACTCGACTATGAATGAAAAGACCGACTTAGGCTTGCGTGCCAGCTCAAGAAACCTTAAAGAATTTAATAAATGGTTCACTAGGCTTATGGTATGATGAAAACAAAATGATAATAAGATTTTATAAATAAAATGACCTTACACTTATGGAGGCTTTTTTCTCGGTTTGCTTGTCGGAAAATAATCGACGGAATACTTGGGTAGTTCAAATGGATAAGTTTGTAGCGACTAGACAGAGAGACACCATTTTGAAATACCGCAGATAAAATACATTCTTGTACTACTTAGAGTAGCTGGTTTTTTCGCAAAATATTTTACATTGCATGTGAAATCCGAATGAAAGTTTTCGCTAACCGTTATGTAGAGGAAAACGCTTACGGTACTTCTCTTTTCAGTTAATCGATTGTGATCATTTGGTTATAGCATTGTTGTGGTTATAATGTTTGCATTTGTATACAAAGAGCAAATACGGAGTCGAAACTCTTTGAAAGAGAACATAATGTTTGGTGATAAAAACCCTGAGGTGTGACCATTCCAGTGAAAGCTTCTGAACAATATTTTCTTGTGGCACTCGTTCTTCTACAGAACGAAGTGGTTATAACTTTCAAGTCTGATGATAAAGCCCTCGTGTACCACCATTCAATTGAAAGCTACTAAAAATCATTATCACTTTAAAGGAAATTGTGGCGCATTTAGCGGGTTATAGTGGAGATTTCGGAAGGCTAAAATGCTCGCATAGTCACACAATTGTTCAGATTGTTTTGTTTTTCATTCTTCAGTTTTTATTTTCTCAATGCCCTCCAAAGTTATGATAATAGCACAACTGTTTATGTTCTTGGGTATGGAAATATTTTGACCCTTCTCGGCTTGAATCGCGAGGAGAGGACTAAATGACTCTAGGTCGAGCCCAAAACATATTTATGCGCGCGAACATGAACTCTGTTCTTTCAGTAATTTCATTTAGTATTGTCTTCAAGATGGTTCTAATAAGGTATGAATTCGTTAATAAAAACCCAAGCGTGTGACCATTCCAATGAAAGCTTATCATGCAGTAAGTTTATTTTGCTACGCTTAACGGTTCCAACTTTGTAAAAGTCAGCACCAACTGAGATGTAGTTGAGAGCTACAGAGTCAGAACTTCAGTATAATTACTTTGAATCACTAGTCACAAACTGAAGAGTTGCACTGAAAGAAAGTATCATAAATACTTACGTTTCAGAGCGTCAGAGTCTCCTTTTCCTGCACTATCTTGCTCTGTTTTATCAGACTTGCTGTGGTAATCTGTGATGATGAGGATTGAAAGATTTCGTTAGTGAAGGATATTTATAAGCCGCTATGCAAAAATCAGTTGACTTATAGCTCACGAAATTAAGCCCGTTCACTTCTTGCGGAAATTACCGGCGCAAGTTGCACAAACTTAGGGCCGAATACTAACCACAAATGTGAGAATTATTTTTTTTTTTACAAAGAGATAATCCACAACTCGCAAAACTATGAAATATTTGTCTCCAGGATAAGGAATTCACTGCTGCAGACGTTTTTCAGGGAGCACACGAGTTTTAGAGTCAACACTGAGAATGGAGATGTCAAAGATAGCAATCTTTATCATGATATTCCTACTCGAAATCACTGTGGTCGGCTTGCTATTATTTCGTCGAGATGAAGATAAATACACAGCATTCCTTCATCTGGTTATCTTTCGCGCGAATCGTTTTGACTGTAGATTGAAATAACACGAACCATCAACTGAAAATTGACTTACAGTGCGGGAAATCCTGGACACCGCTTCGTTTAAAAGATAAAGGAGCAAAAACAGCCATACGAAGACATCAATAAACTCGCCACCGAATACAAGCCGACGTTGTGCTCAGTTCCGCGAAAGGAATACCGTCCGAGATGTAACGTAACCTGATCTTATAAACGATTCGGAGAATTTAGGATTCGCAATTGATTGTTACTCATGGATCACGAAGTAGCCAGTGCGTGGGCTGATTATTGGCGGATACGCCAAATGACACAAAATGTTGCCATAAAAAGATTTAGAAGGTACTCGATTCGAGATTTGCCCAGCCTAAGTTTCCTTTCTGAACTTCCGATCCAATTGTAGCAAGAAACGTGTTATGTACACGTTTAAAGTTGCGCGCCCGTCTCATTTCAGCGCGCCGCACCGCAGGTAGGGAAATAAAATCCCAGATTCCCGTTTGGGACGCATGGGTTGGAATTTCGCAGAATTTCCCATGCTAAAATCACTAGCATTGTTAAACCAATAAACCTAACACTATGACATTATGAAATCATCTGAGAAGGATTCTACACGACCACCAAACTGCTGAGTGATAAAACAACTGCAATAACTTTGACAGACATACGCCATCACTCCGCGCAGTCCGGCGGTGGAAACCAAACCCAAGACACAAATCAGGAAGGAATTGCTTAACGAATATCCTGTAAAAGTTTCAATGAATCAGCTATTTCTTTTCTAATGGCTTCCTGGGTTGTATTTTTTTCGTGCAAAATATCACCAGCGCGCCGTATCTATTACCAAATAGAAACAGAAGAAATTCAGTACTCGACCTGTGGCGCCCAGTAAATCCCAAATCAGTGTTCGCGTTCTCGTGGTATCCAGTTTTTAGGGCTTAAAACACCGCTGCGAAGCCGTTGACATGAGCTTCACCTCCGAAATAAGCTCAAGGAAGGCCAAGCAAACAAAAGAATTACGGCCTAAGCGAATGATCTCACCGTGTTTGTAAATGGTCCGCTCCATGCGAAGCCATGGCGCGCTTCAACATCACAATAGCACAATTGATTGTCTTTGAAACCTAACGCCAACAAAATAAAGACTCGGAAAATTAACGCGCGGGAGATTATCTCGCTCCTCAAGCGAATGAAACGACGAGTCACGCGAAAACAAACGATAAGAAGCGCGGACACAGACGAAGAATCAAGAAAAACTAGAAAGTGAAACATGATAGACAATTGACAAAAACGGTAGGTTGTACCTAATGCGCTAGTTGTACAATCCAAATTGGAAGTGTCGGTGAAGAAATATCATCGTTAATCAATCGCCGTTTGACAGACACCGGTTGGCTCTGATCGACTCCGTCAAAAACTCAACGGAAAGCATGGAACAATAATCTAAGATATGCTCACATCAATGAGTTAAGAGATAACGGCTTAAACACTCTATCACAAGGTGTTAAACTGGCAGATAGGTCACAATCACGGAAAAAATGATCTGGAGTTACGCTGTACGAAGTTTTCTCGAAAAACAAGCTGCCAATTTCAAAGGTAAAAAGTCGAGGCCTCGGGTAATAACATCACTATGAAAATTTTTGAGAACGCAACGAGGATGTCTGAATGTTTGTAAACAGAATATCAACCTTATTACACTTTGATGAAAAACAGCAGAAGAGAAGTCGGGAATATAAAAGAAAACTGAAGTACTCATCGCAGCCCACTAAATTAACTCCACACCAATGAGACATTTAATCTTCGAGGCGTGCGCACCAATTACAAACATTTCCTGTTATCACAGAAGACAAAATTCTGCAAATATTTTTCCCGTGGACTGTTTAGTTTAACAAGAGCCAGACAAATTGATAAACCAAAGTTAGAGGACAAACGTGATAAAATTAGAACGTTAAGTACATTTTTCTCTAAATTTAGGATTTCACGAGGCTGTAGAGGGGGATACGAATATGTTGTGATTGTAAAGCGAGTGGGAACTGTAAAAACAAGTAATATTGGTCTCAAACTTGTGTATCGAGTTGCAAATAAACAGAGATATATAAAAAATAAAGTCGCCACCCAAACAGTTTCCACTAAAAACCACATTTTCTCTAACTACAAATATCGTTAAGCAAGATTATAAAATCCGACGATTTTTCTTTCGTTGCTTTAGAATTAAAATTGACGTGAACGAAAGCAAAGGCGAGGAAATGAAAGCAACCTACAATACAGTACAGTACAATTGACGGAAATAGAGAAGCAGAGATTATGAATCTTTCCATTCTCTTTTGAAAAAGATCTTTAAAAACGAAAAGGCATTGAGTTTCAGGAAAGAAAATGCAATCCGTAGGCCCTAAGCTGGTGTTTACACAGCCTTATTGTCGTGACTTCAAATTGGATTTAGCTGCAAACAGACGATGACGAAAATGCTGACACATCTGAAATTGTTCCTGTTTTGCTTCATCTAGGGATGTCTGTGATCTTTGTCAGGATGAGATAATAAATACTGATATACATTTCGTTCACCCGTGTTGCGGCAAGACAAGATAATTTAGTTAATTTGCTAAAAATGTTACACTATCTTAAACAATAATTAACCTTTTTCTGAAGAAACTGGCCGTTGCTTTCCGAGGAAACTACGAACATCACCTCAATGGCGAACTTAAGGTTGGTGAAAGGTCATGTGACATTTTTTCGATGTTTATTGCATTTTTATTAAAAAAAAAACTTATTGGAACATGAAAATCCGTGACAAAATCAAATTGTTTCCAGAAAAAATAAACCAACCATCGAAAAGAAAAAAAGTGACTTTCAAAAACAGGAAACAGTAAGAACATCAGTTCGTACAACACTTGCCTCTAAAAATGATCTTATTGACCGACACTTTCCCTTGAGCGAAATGGAGCTATACTGAGACGTCTGTTGAAATAGTTTTTCCGAATTTTGCTACTTCAGATTATCTGATCATCATGAAGAGTTATTTTGGCAGCGGGGACCCGATTTGTCGGCTCAATAAAAAGTTCCCGTTATTTTGGATGCAACCGTGTTTGACATAACTTATGAAGGAAGTTGTACGAAAGAGCCCGGGGAGATATCGATCGATCAAAGCTTTCGTCGACATCAACCTTCGTTAGTCATGGCGTTTTGATCCGACAGCTATTACAAGCTTGGTACTTCGCTCTAAAACGGAGAGGAAACAGAACCAAAGCGCCCAGAGTAAACGTAGGATTTGAAATTTCCCTCATGTGTCCTGTGGGTCAGCAGAATCGTCTTATCATCCGTATTTGGGTTTCATCCAGAGACTTAAAAATTAAGAGAGCGATCTGAAGCATGAAAGTATTACTTGGTGGCTTTCATTTGAAAAGTCACAAATAAAAAGCTTATTCGAAAGATTTTGAGAAGCCAAAATTACTAGAACTGTGCCGCTAAAATGTCCTTATACAAGCAGTTTTCATTTCAACATTTTGATCATCACACTTAGGTAAAACAAGTTCTCTTGCACTTCGTTAGAGCGCATTTCCATTACGCGTTACAAAACCAAAACCAAAGCACGTGTAATCATAAAGCCAATCAAAAGGAAAATACCATTTAAAGCCAATGAGAACTCAAAGTAAAAGCAACCAAACTGCCTGAAGCGTGGGAAAACGCGGGCGTCCAAGTCCTGATTGGCTTTAAATGGCATCTGATTTATTCAGAGAGTGGCGCAAGTTTTCTGGACCAATCACAGAGCGAAGTGAAGCAAAATTAAAGCAATCCTGGACTGCTTTGAAAATTGCTCTAATCACGCAAAGATTACTTTCAGAAATTAAACCTGTATTACACAAATATCTTGAAGTTCTTGAACAAAAACCAAGTGCATAGAAACTCTCAGTTCTTTCAAACTGAGTCCTTTCGCAAGTAAAGCTTTGCAATGTAAATAAACATCATGACTGTAAATTAACTCGCGCTGCTACATAGAATATATTTAAAAAGCAATGAACGAAACAAAACCAAGTTGTACAACACAATTAAAAGTAAAGAGTTTGTTGTTTCAACTTGGTGGTTACACTCTAAAATGGGTCGATTTCGAACTCTGCAGGGAGCCTCTAGGGCATGCGCCGACACACTGAATTTCGTATAACAGCGAGATCCTAAGAAGGTTCCAAAATTTGCATGTTACAGATGAGGTTTTCAGGTCAATAGCATCTTATAATTATGTACTTGAAGTTGATTGAGGTTATCGAGGTAATTACGTTTTACCTCCCTTGTTAGGCGTGAGACTGCTACATTTTCGACAATTAAAAACGTAACTAAAACGTTAGATTTAGTACCTTCTATTTTCCTTTAAGAACACTCGAGAAACAGGAAAATTGAAAGCGCAGATGCATCGACACTCTTTTCGATTGTGAAAAAACATAGTAGTTTTTCAGCTCGCACATCGTTGTTGAAAGGTGACTAACTACTCCGATAAAATTGAAACTTCACTTTCTTACTTGTCGATTAAAAGCGAAACTTGATAGCAAAGCACACTCAATAGAAATAAATGAAAATTCTGTCTTACCAGTAAGCTGACTTGTAGGACAAGCTTTGTCGCATTAAGTCCAGACCGTCTGTTTGCTGTATTTCTGATATTTCACACGTTATGTCGATTAATTCCAATGTCAATTCACGAATGACTTTGTGAATACAACAACGAGTTTCTAATAATGATATTTAACCTGGATTAGCGATATTTTAACGGCAGGATGTACGGTAAACACGACAAGATCGTGTCCACCACGGAACAGTATATGCAATGAATGCAAACGAACGCACAGCTAATTAAATAACAATGCTCAAGTATGTGATAACTGCACATATCGTCCCTGGAGGGTCATTAACATATGAAATCAAAAATGCCGTCGACCTCTGCGGTAAATAAGATTCGTTCAGACCACAATTATCACCTGCTTGGCGTTAGCAGTAAATAACTCAGCAAGATATCGATATCACGTCAGTAAACAGTCGATTTTTCCACGCACATTACAGTTCAAAATCACACGCTGATGTTTGAAATACGTGATGATATCTACCTCCCTAGAATTGATTCGAGAGTTATTAGCGATATGTCGACAGTATAAGAGGTCACGAACAACTTATCTGTGGTTGCTACAACGTTCCTTATCGTATATTGGAAGATAACAGTACAAAACAGGCTGTATTTGAGAAAATTATGTATGTAAAGTTTACTGAATTAAAAACATGCAAAACTGAAGACAAACAAAAGACATACCATTAGCCAAAGGCCTCGGGCAAACATAGTTATCCATAATTTTTTCCAAATTACACCTTTTTCAATCAAACTTAGCGTTTTAAAAATCCCCAACCTGAACTACAATATAACCCTTCGCAAAATGCTGGCATTTTATTTTGAGAAACTCTCTTTCCATATTAAGGTACAATTTATGACACTTCTCAAGCTTTGAAATGCTCGCCACAAACATCTGTTATGAAGCAGATAGATCAAATCATATCAATTTTTAAGGCAATAAATATTCACCAAAGTTATCTTGAATCGGAATGGCATTTATTGATACAAACAAGAAAATAATTCCGTTATCTCTAAGACAAAGAGTGAAACAATAGTAAAATACGGCGTGTTATCTACACGACTTTAGGTTATTGTGTTTATCGCTTAACTAGTATCAAGCACCCATCATCGAACTTTAAAAATACAATTTTCTTTCTGTTGTCGATCGTTAAGAAAATTTCGATTGCTAGTGGAGTTCGAAAGAGACGACACACAACGAAAGTCAAAACAATATTTTTGTTTAACAAAAAGAACGTTTTTGTTTCATTTTGTTCCGAGCGTAAGAGTGTTTCCTTTTCAACGAATTCTCCCGAATTACAATCAAATAAATACACAAATTAAACTTCTAATTATAAAAGGTTCAAACAGAACATAAAACATCTTTTGTGCAATAAATAAAAATATCAGACCAGTATACGTCATCATAACGTGACGAAGAGGGATAAAAACGAAAATCAAAAGGACAGAATTTTCTTAATCAAGAAACAGTCAGTGGGATGGTTACAAAGAGAGATTGCGATAAAAGATTCTTTTTGTCATCGGTTTGTTTCAAGCAGAGGGAGCTTAATAAAGGTGAACAAAGGATTCGAATTAATTACTCCTGGGATCACTCAGTGGTAAAGCGACAGTCTATTAAGGTGGATTGGAATTTGATTGTTTTTGTCGAACGTTTCATCTGAAAACAAGACTTTTATTCTCTACGTTAATTTTACCCCCCATACCATGTCCGATCGAAAACTTCATTGTCTTTCTAATAACTGAGAACATCTGTTATGTTAGCCGCAAAAAACTAGCAGTACACCCGAAATGATGATGCCGCTTTCTTTCTTCGCTTGTGTTCTCGTAATCTATTAATAATGCTAAGAGAAACTAGCTGTTAATGCAGAGAAAAAGCATGTAAAGTCATATTTATTCTATTGCTAGCAAGGGCTCTTTAGACAAATATGACCAACTTAAAGTAAATAGTGAGGTGCAGATCTATGTTACCCTTCATAGTTGTAATGTTCACCAGTGTGGTGAACTTTACCTCCCTAGATAGTCTTCCCAGGAAGAGTTGAGCTAGGTCACGCAACACACTCCTTCCCGAAAGAGCTCCCTACGTGACAAAACCAAAACAACAACCACTCCCGCAAGTGTTCAGTATGTCAATTCTCTCCACAATTTCAAACACTGTCAGGAAGACAGGTAATGAGAATTAAGACTATTATCAACTAGAAGATACTGCCTCGATTAAAAAACAATTCTCAGGATTGGTCAACAAAGAAATGTGTTGTATGGTTGGGGGAATTAGCTTCTAGATCTTAGGCGTGTAAAGATTATTTAAGGCTCTTACTCCCACGACACTTGCTGTGTAGTGACCTGCAAGCACGGGGGAAGACTTGAGGCAAGTCGGGGGAGAGCTTTGCCGGGATCTGGAACTCATCACTATCAGTGCTAGATTTCTCGCCGGCTCGCGTTGTTTAAAGCATTATTCTTTCCCGCAGGCGAAGAAACACTCGTGCTGACGCGCTAATACTAATAAAGGCTTGCTCGCTGACTAGATATGCTGGCGCGCCATGCCACGGGTGGAGCTGAGTTCTGCTTTGCGTTCCTGGTTGAGACAAAAAGTGTCTTTTTATCAAATGAGCTTAAATATCCGAAAAACTTCCATGTGACAAGATTAATTTTATTCAACACCACCAACGCGTTTCCTCTCAATGCGGAAAGTGTATTGAATTAACCAACGGGCAACATGCTGTGAAACGTGGGCTACTTGTATGTAACGCATTACCACAAGTGTGGGTGTCTAAATTAAAAAATATATGTCACATATTCAATGTTAAGAATTAGTCTGCAAAGCGCACGAACTTCTGTATGTTCACTTGTCTCGATGTAAGAACCGCTTTGTTGAAGACAGTGAAGGCAAAAAGAGAAAAACAATTAAGAATATCTCTCAACGGTACCAACATTCAGGGTCAGTTTTCAGTCAGTTCCCTTAAAGATAAAGTGGAAATTTTTAATGCGAGGTCTGAAGAATGGGTTATTACAAATGCATTCTGAAACATTCTTCGATGACGTCTATCTTAAATTTTTTTTCCTTGTTCGTTAATTAAGGGATAAGTTCTAAAGAAACTGTGTCGCTGCGTCGGGGGGAGTTGTACAAGATCATTTGGTTTTCTCAACTGGGTTGATAATGTAAATTGGCCACTGTAAAGAGTTTCGAAAGCTGGCGTTTCGAGCGTTAGCTTTTTGTCAACGTCACTGAGCTTTGGAAACTTCATACAATGGCCAATTTACATTACCATTTCAGTTGAGAAAGCCAATTTATCTTGTTCTTTCTTTACAACTTGTACTTACAGTATAGCAAAAGCTGCCAATGAGGTAGATTGTAAATAGTTTTTAAAAGGGGACTGGTAAATTCATCATATATGACCACTTATTGAGTTCTTTTTATGCAGACAAGGAGTATACTACTAATTGCATTGTAAATCGATAGCCTTGAAAATACAAACTTGTTCAAAAAGAAAAACAATTTGCGAGTTTTAACACGTTTACAGGAAAAATAAACAATTTATATTCGTCGAGTACTTGGGCTCGTTCCAAGTTGGCACGAATACGCCTCTTATTTGTCTCCCTCATGTGATGTAAGACTGAAGTGTTTACCTCCCACCAAACGCATTATTTGTTTGAACGGTACATCTCCACCTTAAAAAATATCTCTTAGGAAAGTTCATCTTTTCGCAATACTAGACAACACACAATCTCTGAGAACAAGGAAATTCTTACTTTTAATACCATTTATGCATAGTTATTGTCCTAACCCTGAGCAAATTCAAAGGATTCGTAAACAAAGTGGTTGAGCGTGAGGTTGTGATTTGTCACATGCGGGCCGTCGAGCAGAAAATTCTTGCGGTTGTATTAATAGAAAGCATACAAAATAACAAAGTCCAATTATTATGCAAAGGGTCGAAAGCAACGGAAGTCATTCCCTTAGAGCAGAAAAGCCATAAATCTTTTTCAACTTTTGACCGCAATATATCATGATTTTACCGTGGAGTAGCTTATGTATATTGTAACGAACGAACAAGATTACATTAAGGTATATTGCTCCGTCTGATAACAAATGATCTAATGGACTGTTAAATGCCTCAGATTTCTCGTCTGTTAAATAATCAACATTTAACTTTCAGGCGAGTTATGATTCAACTTACATTGGTTTGTCTTTCTGGTCAACAAATGAACGTACATGATTTATTGCGTAAGATACTTATCTAACAAATTAACCAAATTTAATTAAACCGCTTAGGAAATGAAAAATATTTCCCAAAACATTCGAAAAGTAATTTGTGGTCAAGTGGAGAGGCAAATTTCGATACGCTCTGGAAAATTAATAGAGTAACTCGAAGTTCCTAAATGGATTTAACGGCTATCAAGTCATAGAGGCAGACCTTGTGTTTACAATGTAAATTCACCTTGTTACACTTGAAAACCACAACTGAAAATAAACGCCAATGAACGAACTACCCAAAGGAGCCACTGTTAAAAATTAGCGTCATTTACCGACCACTTTGAGTGGAATTGTGCACGTCGAAATCAATTTAAGCTTTCAAAACGACCTCTTTTTCGAACAGAATGTATGAATTTCAATCAACAGAATGCTCCGATGCTACAGGATTACAGAAAAACATGAAAACGTCATGAACATGAAATTACTCGTACACGTGAAGAATACAATTCCTCGTGCTCATTTAGTATACATTACAGAAAAAGGAATCGATAAATTAGTTCTTAAGAGATTGAAATACAGTATCGATCTTCGTTGAAAAGGACACGGAGAACGAACTGGCGATATTGAAAGCAATGAAAAGACGCGAAAAAAAAATACTGTGTACTCGACCTTTTCCCGAGCAAGTATTCGAGGAACTTGTACTCATTATCACAATCAGTCGTGCAGAAATGAACCAAGAAATCAAAGGCAGACAAAAACATAAGAAAAAGCAACGGAATCCATTCTTTACCTGGTGTTAAGGTATCGCTCGCGTGGATATCTCCGGGTGTAACTACTCTTGAACACTTCATAGACGTAGCCACACGCTGAGCAATACAAGTGCTACACTTTGTCAAATCAACTGTGCCACAGTCAATAATCAAAAAGTAATTATTCTATCCGATAGACGCATGGATGGTTATAGATCACTTAATCGCTTGATCAATATTTTAATTCTCGTTAATGATCGTCCTACATTCAGTTCAAGGCTGTTTTAAAGAACTTAGCACAGAATACACTTGCACTAGGTTTTGCTCGTACTTTATATAGAGGCATCGTCATTCTTCAGTGCAAAGAGATAGCTGGTAACAAGAAATTTATTTTTGATCTCTCGGTGTTTGGCGGTTTAAGAGGTTTGGGCTTATGCCAAAAACACTTTCATGTTATCTAAAATTGATCTCGAGGGTCACTGACCATAAATCACAGAGCTGGAAAGGTTACCATAAAATGAAGAAATGTTTGCTCACATAACTTCGTTTTTCAGCGCAGGCAATTTTGCGAATCACGATTCCCTTTGCTTTTGAGATGTCTTGTTCACCTCGGTTGGTAACATTTTTTTCGTAAAAAAGTCTTTCTGAACAGCAGAGCAGAAGGTTAAGAGAGCACAGCAGTGGTAATGCACAGCCAACAGGGATACCAGGTCAAGAGAGACACCAACTCAACAGAGACGGTAACGCAAGGGTAGTGTTAAGGGCGGGAGGGGGGGGGGAGGGGAAAGGGACAAAATGAAAAAACAATCGATTTCTCCCTGGGAATACTCTTTTGACAACCCGGTGTGTTTTTGCCATGTTTGAATGCCTAAATGTATGGTGGATTTTTCGTCATCAAGCGGATGAACACGAAGGGAAAATATTTTGAGAGATGATTGTTTATGGGAATGTTTCAATAGAGAGTTGATCTAGGTTTTTCCGAGACAACAAAATTTTTCCAGGCGGCCAAAGGGGGTTGGGGTTAGGGTTGGGGGGGGGGGGAGGGGAGAGATTCACCATATAAATAACAGGGAAGCTCCAATCCTGCTGGACGTTTTTGAAAATAGATACCACTTATGCTCGTCAATTCCCACCTACTCATCAACAGGATGACGGAGACCGCTGAAAAAAAAGAAAAAACCGAAAAGAAAACACGTCGAACACCTTCCATTTATGTATGAGACTAGCTGAAGACTTGACATTTTGGAAAAAAAAAAGAACTACTTTTTTGGAAAAAAAAAAAAGAACTACTTTTCAACCCTATTGCAAAGCCATATTTTGATTTCAGGAATACAGTGATATAAATCCTCGAGAACTACAATTTATTTCAAGAATAAAGCGGAGATAACGTGGAACATTTAAAAATCACGGGTAACCATTTTATCATTTTAGATTGTTATGACTTAAATTTAAAATGAAAACAGCAAACTCACTACTGTCAGTCTAAGTATAATCTTTATTTTGACCAGCAAACTTTTTAAGACGTCATTAGTCCAGCTACTACGCTCAAGAAATAATAGTGACTTTAAGACGCATCTCTAAAATTTAATCAAACAAAAATGCCAAAACCCTAAAAGAACTCGGTTCAAACGGTCACATGACGTCATCAAATTACTTACACAGCTCTATTAAAGTTCTCTCATCAATATTCTTGCTTAAGCGTGGTAAACTGATAAGAGAATAACACCTGGTGGAATCCAAAAATTTCTAAGCTTTTTATAATAAATAGCAATACAATATTGTTGTTAAAAAGATAAATGAATTATTGAGATTTTAAGGGGTTTATTTGTCAGACTGTCAGAGTCACACCATCGGCCTTATTTTTGTTTGTAAATTTAACTTTAGAAGTTGAACGTAAAATTCGCTTGGAAAATAATACTTCCAATTTAGACAGCGTTCCAAAAAAAATTCACTCCAATTTAAAACATTAATAAACGAAAAGGATTTTTCAAAGTGATATTTTAAAAGTTGACAAGTATCATTCAAAACGGATTGAAGAAAATCGCTCATTTCATGTAAATTTTAGTGAAAATTAGCAATTTTCTTTCTTAGATGTTTTTGTCAATTCTATTATAGCAACGCTATTACGAAGCGAGAGAATTTAGCGGAGGTTAATAGTCAAGAACATATGTCAGTTTATTCAATAGTTAGCTAAGAATTTCCCAACCGAGCAGTTTAACTATTAAAGAATTCCCTATTGAGTAATAGAGATGATGTAATGGATGAAACACTATTTTATTTAGTGTTGTTAGTTTTTCCGTTGCTGTATTCAGCGCACAAACCAGCTCAAGTCTCGCAGCAAGGGTTGATGGAGCAATAGGCTGTGCTCTGTTCCAGAACAGGTTTTCGGTTGTTGAAATAGAATAACGACCACACGAAACGGGGAACAGAAGTCCAACACTAAAAAGTAAATTGCTAACGTAAGGCAAATACTCTTTAGTAGCCTCTCACGACAAAGCAAAACCACTTCGTCGATCTAAGATCTTGCAGCTCTTTCCAAACCGCAAATCATCGACACGATTGTAGGTGTATCTTTCGCAATACGAATCCCTAAACTCCGGTAATATTTTTCTCTGCACGTTGGAGGGCATTCTGACATCGGCCAATCAAAGCAAGAGAAAACATCACAAGGTGCTCATGGGAAATGAAAGGAAAGCAAGCTAACTGCCTTGAGCGCGAGGAAACATGAGTGACCACGTGAAGTCGTGACTGAAGAGAATGAAAGTACCACAACTAGCCGCGAGCAGGCCAAAACAGTTGTCGATGAATAGTAAATCTTAGCTCGTATTTTCAGGGTTTTTTTTCCTCTAGCAAAGTATCCCAATTATATACACGTAACAGCGGTTATTGTATGAGCAACCCGTTTTGCGTTTACAAAGGGCAAATAACATAACAAGGTTGGAATTGTCGCAACCCCTATTGACAAATTCGTGTGACTTTCTGAGCGAATGGCTGACAAATGAACCCCTCTAAACCAGATAAATAGTCAGTTAAATTGTAGAATCCAGCAGGCGTCGATAGAATGTCAGCATACAAATTACGTTTGAAAAAAATCGAAAAACAATATTTTAAAAATATAACAAAATGAAACAAGTAAAAAAATTATGTAAATCAATAATCCTCGCAGTGAGCTACAATTTAAGCAATTGCAGAAAAGAAACTTCAAAATAATTCTAGCTTTGACAAGCTTTGAACCCATGCCCCTCTGATACTAATCGGGCGCTACTACCAACTGAGCCACGAAGAAACACGTTGGGTTGCGAAGCAAATGTAGGGGGGTTCTTCTTTCTCGTGGAGGAATTTGATCACAATTTTTTCACTGAGTCTCAATTGTTTTTCATAATATGTTAATCTTGACTATTGGCAGATTATTTTTCTTTTAATCTGACGCATTCAAATAAATCGTTCTTGAAAATTTTTATGTCAAGCCCTTTTGAGAAATGTCATCTGTTTCTGTATGAACAAGCAAAATTAGTTATTGGAAATTGTTGAATATTCGTTCCCTATGTCAGTGAGTCCTAAAAAACAGGATCCTTAAAAAAAATCGTTTTGATCCTTTGGACCAAGATTAAATTCATTCATACGCTTATTCAAGTTTTCAATAAATTATGCTAGCGTGTTACCAATCAAATGAAAATTACGGAGCAGTAATTTCATTTGGTGTTGTTTATTACGCTGAGCAAAGTGGTTCAAACTCTTAAGTAACTGAATGAAACTCTAGTGTGTGACCATTCAAATGAAAACTAACAAGCAGCTCTGGTACGCTTTGCTGTCAAGTGAGAGCGCTTTTTGATTGAGTGTCGCAACCAAAATCAAAGTAATCACCACGGCCAATTAGAAGAGAGGAAAATACGTTAAAGAGCCTAAGAAAACTCAAAATAAAAACAATCAGACTGCCAAAAGCGCGGGAAAACGTGGGCGACCAATTCGTGGCTTAGTTTCGCATCTGATTGGTTGAGAGAGTGGCGCGAGTTTTCTGCACCAATCACAGAGCGACTTTGAGTAAAAACAAAGTAATCCGGGATTACCTTACCTACTCAATTGAAAAATGCTCTAAAACTTTCTATTTAACAAACTTCATCAGTACCACGAAGATGTTTTACCTTCTTTCGCATTACTTGCACCTGCTGCTGATGAAACCGCACCATCCGTACTGCTGTCATACCAGTTATCCAGAGCCAGTGGGTAAAGAACAGTGTCAGGATTCTCCACTGGATGTAGCGAATGTCTAATAATTGAGCGTAATCTCTCGTTGATTTTGATATCTACAAGATAAAATTCAGATCATTGTCACTTTTGTGCAAAGAGAAAAAGCGAAAAATGTGTTCACTTAAACACCATGAGAGACGTTGCTTGTGAATGGAAGAGGTTTTTCTCACCTGATACAAAGTTTCCCGTAGCAGAAAAGACAAATTCTACTTTACATCCGTCTGGAAATCTTCTATCTGTTGGTGGGAATAAAGACAGAGGCTCTTAAAAAGAACAAGGAATACATTGACTCCGTGGTCTGCGAGCAGAATCCTCGTTGTTGGTGCTTCGGCACGAGTGTTTCTCCAAAATTTGAGGCCTTACGTAACGCTACCCTACGAGAGGTTTCAATGGGTCTAAAACTGATAATGAGCGCCAGATCCCCGGCAAAACCCCTCCCTCTGAAGTCTAAGGTTGCAAAATTTTGATTCAATTCCTACTTTCCGTCTTAGAGTTTATTTTTCCTCAAGATAAATTCTCTACTTTGGGAGGGGTCTACTGTGTCGAAGCGCTTGAGTATTCTTAAGACCAATTAAGAACATGAGGTGCATACCTTTACAAGCATCATCTAATTCAGTCTTGTCCAACTCGAGGCCATAATCCCTAACGGCGCCAGTGTGAAACTGACATCTAAAAATGATATCACGACCGGACGAAAGAGTGTTCTTGTGATAACACTTGATCTGTGAAAAGAAAACAAGATGACTTACATTTAAAAAAAAGTCAATTCAGGGTCAAAATGAATCCAGAATGGTTTATTTGGTTTTAATTTATTGTGGTCCGTGATTGGTCGAGATAATTCGCGCCATTCTTTCACCCAATCCAGTACAAAGCTTAAACCAATAGCGACGAGGTTACACGCGTTTTCCCGCGCTTAAGGCAGTTCGTTTGTTTTTACCTCCGAGTCCTTAGCGGGTCTTTGCAATATTTGTCCTTCGCTCTGATTGTTTGTTAGGATTCTTCGGTTTTTCTTTTAAAGGGGCTCCCAATCATGAGAGCATTGTACCCTTTAACTCCTGGGATCTAATTGTCAATTCACCCTTCTGGATGCGATACTTTTCCTTGTAAATAAGTTAAGAGAATTTGAAACTGCATCAAGATAGCTCCCTCTCGCTAATGATTACAAATTTCAAATTACCAAGACATCTCCATGCAGTATAAGACCTCCTTCAATGGTGATACAAATTCTTTCCATATCTGGCGTCACGTGACTGAAAGCAAATTGAAAAAATTCACCTTATCACAAAACCGAACGAAGACAAATTGATCACATACAATAATTACACCAAATGGTTTCGAATATCTGATCACCTAATAAAGTAAATAAAACTTACTAAACTCCTGAGGTGTAAATGAGTTTTAGCCCGTCATATACTCGAAGAAATGGCTTACAGCCTAGAGGCAACCGTGAAATAAATAGAGTTACACATTGATAACAATTAACCCTTTAAATCCCAGATCAAATTTGTAATTCTCCTTACTGTCAACCATACAATTCTTATAATGTTAGTCCAGAGAATTTAGTGTTGGATCAACTAATTATTCCCAAATTTATCTTTCTCTTTACTCTGTTTACTGGGGGTTATTGGGAATAAATAAAAAAATCAGATAAATAACACTCTTATCTTACCATCTTTGGTATCAAAACTTGGTATTCCATGAACAATAATATGATGAAGAAATATGGGACTAACGAAAAAAAGACAAAATATTAAGCAAATAGTTATCTTTACAAGGTTTAGTATTTCATGAGACCAACATCATTAACCCTTAACCTGGGAGTGATATGCATCAAATTTCTCCCCTCCCTACCACCCCTGAATCACACATTAAGGTCATGAAATTAAGGAAAGGATCACCCACTAAATACGCTCTTGATCGTTCAACAAATTCTCTTTTTCAGTACCTTAGGAAATGTATAGAGAATATGCATACTAGCGTTGGAGTTTTGGGATGTATATGTGTAAAACAACGACTGCAATAAAGTCCCTGAGTGCTGATGCCCACTGCGTTATCTCATTTGATTCAGAAATCGCATTGATAAAGACAGGCACAGAAACTTATCATAGAAAATTACCAAAAGTGCCCATCCCCTCCCCCCTTACATTTGTACGACACCCACACACGACATTCAATAAGCAAATAAAAAGAATTATAACCATTGTATTCCAGGGGGTGGATGGTGGGGGGAGGGGAGAGTTTAAAATGTGGTACATCAAAAGACTTACTCCGTGTTCAGTTTAACTTTTCCATCCAAATAATCACTAAAGTAGTGCACGTATCTGAAAATGACAAAGGACACCACAGTCAACCCTTTAACTCCCAGATCAAATTTGTAATTCTCCTAACTGTCAACCATATAATTCTTCTAATGTTAGTTCTGAGAATTTAATATTAGATCAACTAATTATCCCCAAATTGATATTTTTCTTGATTCTCGTCACTCATCTGGTTGATTTTGTATTGATATTGCCAGGAGAAATTGTCTTAAAGTTAAAGGGTTAACTCTTAAGAGTGACTGGCATCTAATTTCTCCTTACAGTATCACCCTTGCATCAAATGTAAAGGTCATGAGAATAAAGGAAATGATCACTAATTCAAGATACAGCTGATTGCCAAACAAATTCTCCTTCTTAGCACCATAGGAAATGCATAAGGAACACTGGGAGAATTTAAATACTAACGTTGGGGTGTAAAGTGTTAATTTATTCATTAATGAATGACTAAACCCTGTTCATGTCTTCCACTTATTTAAATGAGTTCTTGATTCAGAAATGACTGCTAATTTCACTGCCAACAGCCCCTTCCAAGACCGCTCTAGCTAAAAGATAAACATTCACCTGAAGTGTGGCTTTCAACATTTCAAACAATATACAGACAAGCACAAATGGGTCGTTTTGATTATTTTAAAACCAACCTTCTCTGTGATGGCTGTGTGACTCCCCCCAAACTGTCATCATAAAATCTTTTCATGGCAAACCAGTCTAGAGCAGCTTGAGGGCTAGCAAGAGAATATCACAATTAATAACCCTCGGATCTGATTCATAATTCTCCCTACTTGATCCAATACATTCCCTCTGAAACTTAGTTGAGAGAATTGGATATTATATCAGGACACATCTCTGACCTGATATATTTGTGTATTGATTTGCTCCACTTTCTAGCTGGATAATGCATGTACTGTGAGGAGTAGTAAAGCTACGAGACAGCACTCTGACACTTACTGAATTTATTCCTGTTTGCCCAAAGTTTAATCCTTCAGCAGTGTTTTGCCAAAAAGTCAACTGATTTGCTTCTTGCCACTTAAAAATTTTTACCAATTTATGTTAAATTGGAATGTTTTATCACAATTGTTACACAGAAACCAAAAAAATCAGTTTATTTCTATCAATATACCAAAAAATGGTCGAAAATTACATTATTGGTGCGCAATTTTGTCTCTTTGGCTGCTCAGGGGTGAATAGTACTTGTCTTGATAATCACTCATAAACCATTCAATAAGCCTGTGCAAAAAGCACTATACACATGTGTTGTATAAACTAATATAAGTCATATTGTTATTGTTATCATTTTCATTGTCACTATTGCCAGGTGTATCGTCTTCATCATCATTATTGTTATGCAATAATTATGTCTAAGATCTCTGGGATTGAAAAAAAAAAGGGGAAATTGTTCATTTTGACATGATTTTGACATAATGTAGAAAATGTGATCACACTTCTTGAATGTTAGAGTTTTCATAGTTGTTTAAAACTTACCTTGAACATATCTTACTGAAATGCATGTATGCAGCAATAACAACTCCAGTTCTTCCTTTCCCTCCCTGAAATAATAATTATCAAAAACTCATTGAACCCAAACAACTACTAGACTGAATAATTATCAACAAATTGTTGCAAATTATTGTGGGGGCCTGCTGGAAGGAATGCGACACTGTGGGCTTTACCATTGTATTTTGCCACCTTACTATTACCAAGTGTAACAATTGGGAAAATAATTGCTTCATATATCAAGAACGCCTTTTCAAAATAATCAACAGATACTATTATTAATAATTTCTTTACTAACCTTGCAATGGACAACTACCACATGCAAGGGATCACTCTTGAGCCATGAATCAATTGATTTAATTATACTGCATATTAAGTAAAGAGAAAAACACAAAAATTGCTAAGTTTGTAATTTGGATTTTAGCTCACTATTTGATTCTCAAAACAAAAAAGAAACAGAAGCAACATACCTACACAATCTTTCAAGAGGTGGGGCTAAGTGATCGGGCCAACCAAAATCTAAAACCTAGACCACAAACAAAATGAAAGTCAAACTTAAAAGTACTTGCTGATTCCATTTACTTCTGTACAGAGCTGGTATGCAAAGTAACCCTTCAACTCCTAAGATCTGATTACTAATTCTCCGCTCTAGCTTTCAAAGGCTAAACTTGACCTAACAACCAAAGGTTGATGAAATGCCATATTGCATCACAAAATTGAACTCATACAGGAACCTCACCTGATGATTCAATTTGGATATGTCATATCTTCTTTCAGATAAATTAAAAACCTGAAAAATACAGCAAACTAATTAATAAAGATCAGAGCAGAAAACAAGATGTAAGGCCATCCATTAGCAATTGGACATCACAAAATTCTCTGACTACCTTAGATAATTCTAATTTTGAAGAATAACTCAATAATTTTGTTTTTATCCCACTATCAATCTCAGATAATAAAAAAATATTTCCAATATACAAAAAATAAATAGGGAAAGAAAGCATAAAAAGGAAAGGAAAAATGGAAGAAAGGAAGAATCCAGCTTACCATGAATTTGTCTCCGTGATTTGTTTGTAACATTTTTGCAACCTCTCTGAGGTTATTTCTGTATGTTGTTTCCAAGCCAGAGGCTGGAAATGACATTGCTACAATTTCCATAAGAAGAATAAAATAAACATATAATTTGTTTAACACAGCAGAAAATCTGTGGTAGCAAGAATGACAATCATTATGGCAGACTTATTATAAGAATCATTTCCAGGCTAACCGATTATTCTGTCTGTTATGTACGTCATGTCCAGATCAAAATGTTCATCCACATGCCGCACTCTGTTCCTGGAACATTGAAGTGATAATTAGTTAACAGCTAAGACAATGAATTGCAAAATCAAAGCAGCCACACCCAAAGGACGCCTGGATGAACATCCCAAATTTGCTTATTGACCAAGCGAAAAGGAGTACAAATATGCGAGGGCTGGTTTTGATTGAACAACAATTCCACAATGCCACTCCAGAGCAACAAGATTACTACGAACATACTGGAACTGGTCCTGAAAAACACAAACTTGCCATCTCACAGCCATGCAAGGGTCAAATATCTCTACACTATTTTTCTTGTGACTCACACTGCTTTTTACTTCAGTTAGTTACAAGGACTTTTAGAATTATTAGTTAATTCCTCAATTTTGTTTCTGAAGTAAGAAAAGTGCAAGACAGTACTTGGAAACTCTGTGCCGCATGTGATAGCAGATGTTTGTCACAAGGCTTTTGGGTGGTGATGGCAGCCGCTGAGAAAAAAAAGCAAAAAAACAAAAGGGTTATTTAAAAAAATACCCATATCAAAATATAATTTCAACTCATATTTTAAGATTTAAACTACTAGTAGATACATACCGAGCATGCTCAGGCTCTCAATAATTAATCAACAAATAAAATTCACACACCAAAATGTTTTCCAAAAAGCCTCAACATCTTTAAGGGAAAGCCTCCCACAAATGCAATGTTCTCCCTTTTTTGAGCACAATAAAAAGGAGAATTTTTCAACCAGTGGAGCAATCCTTTTATCTGTTAAATGTTCCAGAATTTCGAGCCATTTTAGGTAGTACCAGTAATAGGAGGTGCTACAGTGGAAAATTTTACAATTTACCACTTGAAAGGAGAACATTGCAAATACTAAGTTCATCTGTAACTGGTTTGAAAGTAACATAAATCATAGTAGTCATGCTTACTCTCAAGAGACCTTTCTTGAATCAGCCTCCACAACCATATACAATTCAACCGAGTACTTATGCAGCTTGCTCTGTGCATACATGTCTTTTGAACCTTATCAGTGATTTGCAACTCAAGTTGAATGACCCCAAAATATAAGCTCTGACCTCCTACAGAGGCATACAAATCCTCTCAGGGTAAAAATGAACTGTGAGCCAAGGGGGATTAGAAATTCATCAGTTACATCATCAGTAACACCACAAAATTTCAAGACATGGTTATAACTCAATAAGGATATCATATAATAGTCAACACATTAACCATCCCTCTGACAAAGGGTTAACGCTGGAAACGTCAGCCTTTTAACTCTTTACGGTGGCCAATTTACGTTTTCAACTCAGTTGTAAACACTAAATCACCTGCTATACTCTCCCACCGATGTAGCACCACAGTTTCTTTAGAAACTTACCCCCTTTACTCTTTAATAAAATCTATCTCTAACTTATTTGTATGATCGATATCTGGAAGCTAAATTAAGAAACTGTGGTGCTGATTCAATGAGGTGTCCTAGAGGATAATTTAGTTGTTTATCAACTGAGTTGATTAAAAAAAAAATCGGTCACAGTAGAGAGTATCTGGAGCTGAAATTTTGAGCACAAGCTCTGGCTTGAAATTAAAAAGAAATATTAATTATATGATAGTGGTTTGAATTATTTGTTCACACATTTTACTTACTGATCTTTTCCCCACATCCACCTCATCAGGCAATGTCTAAACAAAAATCACCATAGCAAAAGATTCATTAGAGATTTAATTGTCAGTGATTGAAATCCATTTCAATCAGGTAAAATTTCTTGCATAAAGAATTATCAGGTGGTAGATTTTACATAACAACCTGAGTACTCTCCTACATTTAACAAAAGCGCTCTTTTGCGAGTTAAAACTTGTCAAATACTTACCTGACTTTTTCCTAAGGTGATTACAAGTATGATAGACCCTATCATTAAACCCCCTAGGCAACTTCTCAATTCTCAGGGCTCCCAGACAGAGGGCCGGTTATTGGAGACCAGGGCTTATCACAGAAAAGGAAGAGAGAGAGGGGTGGGTTTACAGAAGGGGCCCTTTTTGAAAACTTAAGTAATGCGATTCATTCTTTTTTTTTTAGTTGAAATACTTCAATATTCAAAACAGAAACCAACACAGGCCCAATTAAATAACAGCACTTCTACCACTTGGGAGTTTTTTTTTTTTTTTTTTTTTTTTTTTTGGGGGGGGGGTCTTTTTTTAAGAGGGAAGAGGAGGGAAGGGGTTGCTAACAAGCTAAAGTTTTGTTAGAGAGCAGTGGGTGGGGAGGGGGGCGGGGTTTAGACAGAAAATGAAAAAATAAAATGAGGACTTGATGATCTATAATCTACTATGAATTATTAATTACGGACAATTTTATCAAAAAAATCTCAGTATAGGATTTAATTTGACAGAACTTTAAATCATTCAAATCTGCTCTTTATTTTGTTTTTGTCTTAGATCACAAGAGAAGCATTAGCATCTCATTGAAATCAGGTGATACAGTGATGTGTAGTTATTTATATCTAAATACAGAAAATCCAGGCAGGTGTTTGCAGTTCTATTTTCTGATTCTTTTAGACTTGTTACAACTGTTTAACTCCCAGAAATGATAAACATACAACTTCTCCCTATAATATCCATACATTATCCAGCAAATTGGTAATGAGAATACTGAAACTGATCAGAAGGAAGTTTTCATCTTGATCTACCACCAAATTCTTCTAACTAATTTACAAGGAAGTGTGTAGCAGCTAAAAGGGAGAATTAACAATCAGATCTTGGTAGTTAAGAGGTTAAAAAGGTATATTGCCACTGCACCTCACTGGTGATAGCCTGTAGTTAACCCTTTCACTCCCAAGATCTCATTAGCAATTCTCCTTACTGTCTGTCATACTATTCCTATAATGTCAGTTTGGAGTATTTGGTATTGGATCACTAATAATCCCCAAACTGATATTTTTCATTGGTCCAATGACTTGTCTTCTTGATTTTGCATTAATAATGTAAGGGGAAATTCTGTCTTTGTCACTCATGGGAGTTAGAGGGTTAACTACAAGTTAGCCCCAAAATTTTGTCAGATTTTCAGAACCCTTTGCTGGTATTACACTCGCAAAAGGTACAAGGTCTTACAAGACCTGATGTTTTGAACATAAGTTCAGCATGTCATAATCATCACCTGATCATATTTCTCTATAAACTAGGCCTGCCAATGCATAGTCTGACGTTTTCTCACCCCTTACGCCCTAACATCAATATGCAGATTCTCCACACTGTTCCCTATACATTTCTTAAGGTGCTGACAAAGAGAATTTGTTTAACAATCAACAGCTTCTTGAGTGCACAATAACTTTATTTATTCTCTTGACCTTAATGCTTGATTCAGGGGTGATATTGTAAGGAGAAATTAGATGCTAGTCACTCTTAGAAGTTTACGTGTTAGGAAAGTCAGGTTACTCATTGGTCTGCAAGTTTGAGAGTCACTACCTTGATATACATGTAATATAAACTGAAGACTGACAAGTCTTATTTTCAAAGTGTATTTATGTGTATCTACCATTAAGATATTTTGTATCAATTACCTTGAATTTACTATGTGTTGATTTGACAGAACTTTGTCTTGAGCACTGCTCTTTGACCTTTGGTAAAATAGTCATTGCAAAAGCACAAGATTAATCAAATTAAGAACATATTGAATTTATAAAAAAATGAAAAAATTGTTAAAGAGCTTTAGGGAAGGTGCTCTTTACCAACTGCTCAAGGTCAAAATGAAAGAGTTTTTTCTTTTTCACACTGATGGAGAGAAGCTTAAGAACCCAGAAATAGACAAACCTTCTTCACAACAACAAAATCAATCGGCAAATGAGTAAAGTCCAAGGTCCCAGCAGAGACTAAAAGTATTATTATAAAAGTGATGGGTGAAATTTTCTCTTGAAACTATACCAGCCACAGCTGCTCTCCCGCATTCAGGGAATGGGCTTTTTAAAAACTGTCCCCAAGTTAGAAGGAAAAAGTATTTTTGCTTTGGCATCCTGACCAAGGGAAGCTGGTGAGCCCACACATCAAAGACCCCTCTTTCCAACATTCAACTTTATCCATCGATCAATAAAATCTGGTCGTATCTGGGCTAAAATGGTGATAAGTGAAGTGTGCTCTTGAAACTATACCCTTGAAACTGTACCTGCTAAGTACACTCTTACAGTATTGACCACAAAATTATGACTTACCATCAATTAATAATTAATTAATTACAAATTACTAATTGATATCATTCATATGTAGAGAATAAGTGCTTCAAAGCATCAGATGAAAGAATAATTACAGTGATTACAACTTAAATTCTTACCATCTTTTCACACTTGTCATGGCAATGGAAATTACAACCTGCAAGTTCAGAATATATATTAAAATGTTTTTCTTTACTTTTCATTACGATGCAAATCAGAATGTTAATAAATGGGATGACCTTGACACTGTCTTCTTGTTAGTTATGTAAATGAGTTCACAAATAAAATGCTGTTAAGTGTTCAAAATCTAATTCACTCTCATTTCCAACAAATGTTTAAAATCTTGATATACATGTCATCAATTAAAACTGATGAAGTTTAACACAAGCAAATAAATTTTGATGTATAAAGTAAATGAAAACATACACTCCATCAGCTTGGCATGCCCAGAGAAATATAAACACGTCATATTATGCCTGCACATGTACTCAAATATATTTTCAAAAAAATGCTACAAAGAGATAGAATGGAGCAAGACAATCTTTACACCTTCACATATTTTCCCTAAGCTATCAATCTCTTGACCACAAAAGCCACATTTCTCCAGTACAGCTAACAAGTCAGACTTGAAAACATGATCACAGGAGTTGTGATCTTTACTCTCCTGTAAAGAAAAGAAAGCATATTAAGCTTGTTAAAACACAAAGAAATCTAATTAATCTTACAATAAGTTGCTGAGTAGAACACATAAATGTTGACCTCTAGAATCATCTTACAACTATGTGAGGAAAAAATTACAACCCTAGACAAAATACAAGTCTTTTGTAATGACCTCGAGTCACCAAAATTCTCATTTGAATCATTTGCCAATAAAACTAGAACCTTTACCTTTGATCTAATTGTAACAGAACCTGCAAGATGATGCAGGATTTTTAGGGATCTTTTTCTCTTCAAAGCTAGCTTTGAGAACATACAAAAGAGATCTAAATGAGGAAGATGGAAGGATCAGGCTGGCTCCTCGTTCATGCATCATACTGTCAACATGGTGAAAGTTAATCCAGACATTTAATATCCTCTTGGAATGTAATTCCAGATGCCAGCCATTTGGAAATATCTATTAATGTCAATCAACTGTCTCATATTGGTAACTTAACCTTTTATCCTCTAAGAGTGACTAAGATCTAATTTCTCCTTTCATAATCACCCCTAAATCAAACATTATGGTATCAAGAATAAAGGAAATGATCATTTATTGTATGAAAAAGTGATCTCAATAAAGATAATTATTATAAGCCCTTGATTGTTAGAGAAATTCTCCTTGTAAGCATCTTGGGAAATGTATGGAGAACATTAAGGAGAACTTGCACGCTGATGTTTGGATATCAAGGGTTAAATCCTTCAAAAATGATTACCCCAAGCAAAAAGCGAAATGTAATCATAGATGTTTTTCTTTTTTCAATATAATCCTTTTTATGTTTATATTTTCATTTTTTTATCTCATAGTCACAGTGGGCGCCAGAATTCTCCTGAGGTGAAAATTAAAAATCCAGACATCTAATTGTTAACTTTTGAAAATATCTCTTAGAGAGGATATAACTTGACAAATGCCAAGGGTATGTGGTGATGATATATACATACAAGGTGCCTTAACCAATCCAAGTATTAGACAAATCAAGAGTGTATTTTGCTTAATAACAATCATCAAACCAAAACCAAAGAGAACACAGTGGACAATCAGATAAATTAAATGAAAAACCACAAGGAGCCAATGACAACTTAAAGTTGAAGTGTTAACCCTTTAACTCTCATGAGTGACCAAGACAGAATTTCTCCTTACAATATCAATACTAAAACAGACAAGTGATGAGAATAAAGAAAAATCTTAATTAGGGGATTATTAGTTGATCCAATACCAAATTCTCCAAACTAACATCACAAGACTATATGGCAGACAGTAGGGAGAGTTACTAATGAGATCTTGGGAGTTAAAGGGTTAACTGTCTCAACCCTTTAACTCCCAGAAATAACCACCCATAACGTCTCCCTTTAGCATCCAATCATATAATATCCAGCAAACTGGTCATGAGAATACTCAAGCTTATCAGGTACAAGATATTACACTGATTCAACACTAAATTCTTGTAACAAGTTTACATAGAAATGTGTAACAGCTAGAAGGAAAAATTAACAATCCAATCTTGGGAGTGAAATGGTTAAACATGGAAAAAAGTGAAAAGTCCCAGTTGCTGTTCAAACTTTTTGCATCTGACTGATTGAGAAAAGGGCACTAACTGTCTGAAACAATCAGAGTATGTGGAAAAGCAAAGCAAAGGAGCCAAGGATTACTTTTGGCATTCAGCTGCATAGATTCTTAAAGGTCTAAAAGGACTACATGAGATCCAGAACAGACGACCAAAAACTTTTAATTATGTTTCCTGTTATAGTTTCTTGCAAGGAGCAGTGTAAAACTTCTTTAAACTCAGCGTCTTAGCAAATACTGTAATTCTGAGACTACCCTTGACTGAACAATTAAGTGATCTAAAAATTCAACACAAATAATGGGTCATTTGTTAGTTGTCAGTTGATATTAGTGGTGGATAGCAACGTCTTAATTGTTATCAGCCAATCAATGAAAGTCACAAGTAAAGTTTCCTTAATCATACTGATCGCCATGGATTACACTTTTATCTCTATCTCAGGAATATATGGTCAGTAGTAGCAAATTACAGATTTTCTATCACTCTTAATACATCCAGTAGAGAACAAACCAAGTAACTGATGACATAAATAAAAGTCCATGAAAGTAAACAAAAATCTATCCTGTAAATTTTTTTTGCTGATAGTTCATCAATTAACAATCAAATGTTGAATCGTTTAGCTCATGATTTAAAGGTCACCAGATCCCATTACCAATAAACTAAGAAGCTGTAGCCACGCCAAGAAGATCACCTCTTAACAATTATATCTCATGTTCCCTAGCATCTGTGCACTTATAGATAACAGATGACGTCAAAATGTCGTAAGAACAAAAAAGTGGCACAGAGTGTGTCACTAATGTTCTTACCACATTTTGACCTCCCCATGATCTATTACTGTACCAGCCCATGGCAACATGATATCTATTTCTTTTATATGACAAAGAAGCAAAAAAAAATTATGGTAATGTCATTTATGTGCCTGTCCTCCAATGGATCATTAAGGTAAGAACCAATCAAAATGTGTGCATGATTTAACTTATTATACAAAGGATCTTAAATTTTAAGAGGCAAAATAAACATTATAATAACATGAAAAATTCAGCCTGATCTTTTCAGGCAATTGGTCATGTGTTCTCTATATTGATCAACTTTTCAATCTTTCACAATCCATTACTTCTCTTCAACCCTTTTACTTCCAGATGTGATTAACACCCAACTTCTCTTAACAATATCCATTCATTTTCTGGCAAACAGGCAATAAGAATATTCAAACTTATCAGGTATAAGTTGTTCCCTTGACAATCTTGCAACTAATTTACAAGGAATTGTGTGGCAGTTAGAGGAAAGAATTAACAATTAGATCTTGGAAGTTAAAGTGTTAACTTCTTGGTTACTTCGAATGGCACTTGTCTCTCCAAGGAGAGATATTCACACCGTTTAACAGCAATTTCTAAAAGTAAGTGGTAATATCACGATCAGATCTTTTGTGACATCAAGGAAGATGTTAGAAAAATCTAGAAACTATTTCTTTATACTGATACAAGTATCACTGAATGGACACAAAAAAAGAAAAACTAACCTTATAAACTTGTTTTAAATAATAACAGATATAGCAAAAGTCTTTTAATTGAGAATCTGATCGATGCATATGTTTGAGTGATTGTTTAATTATTTTTAAAACTAACATCAACACAGCAGAACACTCATGAAGAGAAAACACAAAGGTAGAGCAATATTGCCTCATGGCATAATCTCACAGTAAAATTCTGTCAAGTGGCTAATGTTGTTTGCTAAAACAATTTTAAAATAAAATTTTTTCTGTCACAGACCAGGTTAGCAAAGTTAACCCTCACCATTTCCTTCCACATATCGTGCAGTTTACACTTGGTTAATCATAGTTTTTCTTTTGGTTTTTACCATTCGTTACCATAGCATAACTCTTTCAGAGCCAGTCATAATGTGAAATCACAAGCAAACAATCTGTTCTAACCAATTCATTTTAAATATTGGAGCAGTTCCTTGACAGGAAGCCAAAGCCATATATGCACATACCTACATCATAAGCAATTGCCACATTAATGAAAAGTACCCATTCAATAAATAAGCAATTCTTTTGATTCATTTGGACCACAAAATCTAGAAATTTCGACACCAAAATAAATATTTGACATTCATATGCTAATTTGGCGCTATTGACAGCTTGAAGTACATTGGGTTAAATTAATTTGCCTAAAAAGTGTAAGAGATCAATACAGGTAACAAAATTAATTTCCCTAAAAAGATCCATTTAAAAACACAGAAAAATCCTGTCCTTTAAAATGATTACAAATCGATTATGAAGATTCATTTAAAACGGCGTAGAAATAGTTTAAGAGTCTGTGTACATTTCTTTCGGACTTTGCTACATTCAATGTCGGATGCGTTTGAGGCTTGTATTGAACACATCTTTGCAGAATTCGTGCTCAAATAACTCGGAAGTAAAAAAAAATTCTCACGAGAAACTACGATGAAGCTAAATTATGTTAACAATATCAAGGAGACTGTTATTTCTGCTTCTTGTATCTTGATTGAATTAGAATATAAGCTGCAATAAGCCCTATTATTAGTGAATTCTGTTAGACCTATGTCCCCCACGTTCACGAAACGAATAATTAGTTTCGAGGCCCCATATGTGCACAAAAAAAATTATCTGTGTTTGTCGAATGAACTAAGACCACTTCCATATGAGACTCCCTTCTATCACAGAGTCAAACCCTGTTAGAACTGTCGTTTTCTCTAAATAAATATTACAAAATGTCAATATTTACAACGCTTGCTCTGCGGAGTCAACGATATCTCAGAAATCCTGCTGTGAAATACTAAGCCATTTGACAAGGAATCTCATTTTCAAAACTTCTCCTGAATTCCTCATTGTCTAAACAAAAACAATTCACACCTGAGGAGCACAATCCGGTGAAGAATCATCTGGTATAGATTCGTAATCATCAGAAACGCGATCAGTTCCGCTGGCGGTGACTTTGGGCGAATGAAACTTCAACCAGTGATCTTGAAGCTTCGATGCACTCGGAAAGTCGACCAAACATGCAGGGCAGATGAAGCCTTCAAGAGCTGTGTTTACAGCTTTGTTCATCCCATTCAAACCACAGCTGAGTAATCGATGGATAGATTTGTTAACATGAAACAAACACGAGCAAATGTGTCCCAACTCAGTACACCATGGTCGTGTTTTTATGGCATCTGGTTTCCGAGTCCGTGGGTAGCAAATTAATAAATATTAATCAGTTATCAAGAAAGATCAATAACATTCCACTACAAAATCATAACAAAAATACCGGAAACTCGTTTTGTCTGCTAACAAAAAGGCACGTATGAAAGAAAAGAAGGTATTAAAAAGAGAATCTATGCTGATTGTTCGCATCAAAGGCATATTAATCAAATGATAATTAAAATATAACTTTCAGGGACATAACAACGAGGCGTGACTCGATTTTGACCAATTATTGACGAAAAATTATTTTAAAAACATAAAAATATAGTTAGTGTTTCACTCTCACAATACAATGCTTAGGGCACCTTTTTTTTCGATGAGTGTGTTAAATCAGTCTTTTATATTTATACTTTCTCCATAACTTAAAAAAAGAGCGCGCGGATGTCGGATCAATTGCGTTACTCGTCACGCATTACTCTTGAAACTGTCACCTTTGTTCCTCGACGAATTCTGTGGCTGTTGTTGTTGATTTTCATTCTTATTTCGACTGACGAACTTCGACTCAGCTTAGCCATGCAAGGCGCGAAAGAGAGCGATGAAAAAACACCGGTAAGTTCTAAATTACTTTTTACTCACGATTTTAAAAATTACTTGTTCATCAATTATTTTGTTATTTAGACAGGGTATAGCCTGAGTCCTGAATACATTTCATCAGCCGATTGCATCATTTGCAGGATTTCCACGTGGTAAAAGAAAAGTACGAACGGGATGTAGATTACTGGGAAAACTACGTAGGTGTTGCTAATTATAATATGAAGCGCGGGAATCTTGTGACAGTCCTATGAGAGTCTCGTGACTCGCGGGTTGTCTGTTAGAAGTCATAATTGACCAATCAGATTACGCGAAAATTTCATTATCCAATCATATGCATGACAGCATGACTGAAACCAACAGAATAAAAACACTGTGTTAGCGTGGTGCACTACGACAAAGAAACTGTTCTGAATTTTGGGGACGTTCTCCGTTATTTCTTCAGCTTGGAAATATTCTTGTAGTTTAGAAGGTGAGTATTGGCTTTCTTTATTGTTTCTTAATCAATCTTAGGAAGTGTAAGCTGTTTTTTAGCACTTTGAGCATCAATCAATTAATCAACAGAGTTGTAGAATGTTGTCGAAAAAGCCTTATCCTTACCCTGATGTACCGGCAATTTTTTTTAACCGCTCACTTTCGCTTCAAATTTTCGCGATTTCCCCTGAGCTATTTCAGTTTGATCGTCAAGGGCATGATACTGAAATAGACGACGTTAGTAATCGTTGACGCTCTGAAATATTAGCACGCAACGCAGTGGTACATCCAGTCATTCAATGATTACAAGTCAATGGCAAAACTTAAATTTAAAAATATATATATAATGCGCGATCACTCCCTTCAGGTGCACTTAATTTATTGACGCTTTCAAGATAACTGATTTCTGGTTTTGATTTTTTTATTCAAAAACGACGCAAACGGAAAACACTCTCAACTACTTGCACTCTTTGCATTACATCACGTGCTACAGAAACTGGACAGAAAGATTTGCAGTACTGATGTGCTACGTCATAGATTTAAGCTGCTTGGCTGAACTCGGACAAGTAAAATGAAGGACCATGTGCCAAAAATACCTCATAAGCTAATGATGTGTTTGCTGGCTAACTTCTGAGGGGATGAGTCAGTGATTTTCAGTGAACTTTTATCTCCTTGAGATGATTAACTTGCAAATTCTCCCCAAGATATCCATACAATATCTTTTAAACAGGTGATGAGAATAGGTAACTTGATCAGCTTGAAGTGAGTTCCTTGATTGAACAAAAAAAAATTTTCAACATGATTTGCAAGGAACTGTATAGTTGAAACCAGGGTAAACTGTTTAAGCGAACTTAAGGAGATCTTGTGACTGTGACATTATTTTCTTAGTTGTAAATCTCTTCAACCTCCCCATACTTGTGTTTAAGACAAGCTCACTGAGAATAATTTTACCTGGAGGGAGGCAAAGAGAAATGTCATGTTCCTTTGAATAGCCTTTCTGTTTAAAAATCACACACAATCTACAATTCTTCTTTTCACTCTCAACACAACATCAGCACCAGTGGCATTTGGTATCAACTTTTTAGAAACCCCTGCCAACACAGCACCACAGCATTTTTAGAAATTTATCCCCCTATTTATTTGCCATTTATAGAGTCTGGCAGATCTTCATGGTTGATGCCCTTTGCCCTTTGCCCCTCAGCAGGAGTGATTATCAAATGCTTAGTCATGTCTTCCTGAAAAGCTTGATTCTCAGACATAAATATTAAATCTTGCAACAAGCACATAAGGATAACAAGCATCAGAAAGGAGAGTTGGTGATTTGATCATGGCAATGAATGAATTAAACTTTGATCTTTTCTTCCCTAACTGCAGATTCATCATGAAGTGTTTAGCACTATTAGCAATCTCTCTTGGAATTTCATTAGCCTGGCCAGCTGGCAAACAAGAATTTGATGCACTAGAAGATCCAAGCTGGAAGGTGTGGAAATCATTCCACAATAAAGAGTATGAAAATGTTGATGAAGAGAGAATACGCAACTTCATCTGGCAAGATAACTTGAAGAGGATTGTCTCTCACAACCAGGCTCACAAATACAAACTAGCTATGAATCACCTTGGAGACTTGGTAAGTTTAACCCTTGAACTCCCAGAAGTGATTAACATGAAACTTCCTCCTATAACATCCATACATTATTCAGCAAACAGGTAATGAGAATATTCAAACTTATCAGGTAGAACCTGCCATCTTGATCTGGCACCAAGTTCTCATAACTAATTTATAAGGAAATGTGTAGCAGCCAGAGGGGAGAATTAACAATCAAATCTTGGTAGTTAAGGGTTAATCCATCCATGATCAGGATCTCAACATCAGTTTTCCTTCCCATCCACCATTTATTTTTCTTATTGTGTTAATTTTGAGAATTTGGTGTGGGATTGATCAATCTCCCCTATTTGATATTTTTTTATTCTTAGAACTTTTTTGCTTTATAGTGTACTGTTGTGTTAATATGAACGTGTTGTTCCTCTCTCATGGAAAATTTTTTCAGATCATTCTTTTCAGATTCATCTGACCTTTCCCTGAAAACTGACTTGTATTAAATTGTTACAAAGGCTACCTTGTTACCTTGATGTGTCTGTATGGCTGTTTACAGTTTAAATTTTTCAAGCATCAAGATTAATTAAACATGATTGCCTTTGAAAGCTTACAGTCGTGATGTATACATACGTAGCACATTTGGGCTTGAAATTTCAGTTTTTGTCAGCTATTGTCTCAAAAAACACAATTGCATTTATATTTTATTCATATTTTAGACATCTCGTGAAGTAAAGGAATTGTTGAATGGTTTCAAGATGAGGAAGAGTTCAACAGGCTCTAAAGAAAAGTCTCCCACATTTCTGGCACCATCAAATTTGAAGGTTCCTGACTCTGTTGACTGGAGAAAGGAGGGTTATGTTACACCTGTTAAAAGCCAAGGGCGTTGTGGATCTTGCTGGGCATTCAGCTCAGTAAGTATTTGACCCTTTAGAGTGACTACCATCTTATTTCCTCTTACATCATCACATCTGAAATTACACACTAAGTGTAAGAGAGCTCTTGATTGTTATAAACAAAATGGAATTCTTCTCCCTCAGAAAATGATAAAGAACAGTATACAGAATATGTGTTAGGTTGTAAAGGGTTAATTATTTAATTCTCTCAGCATTGTGTGAGGGCTGGTGGAAAGTTTTAAAGAAGACAGTTGCAGTAATGAAGTGCCAGGCATCATGTCAAGTGCTAAAAGTACAAGTATCATAGTTAGTTTGGAGCATGCTCTTCCAAAAAATATTCAAATGCTCTTAAATCCCCTTTTTAGCTCTCTCTAGGCTCCTTATCAAGAGCTAATTTAGAGGATTTTCAGGGGATTAAGACATTTTTAAGACATTATCTCTATTCCCACAATTTCTGCTAAAAGAAATTTAACTTGAAGATTTGCTTTTGATTTTCACTGTGGATAATTATTATATAGAATAGTCAGTAAATATAAAGAAGTTGGTAGCAATCTTCTGTCAGCTGGTTCCTTTTGATGACTATCACAATAGTTTTCCGTTAAAAGTTCCTCTTCATAAAAATAATCTTTTGAAAAACTGTAAGCAAATATAGGAAGATCTAATCATCTTTTCTTGCTTTCCCCAGACTGGAGCTCTGGAAGGACAACACTTTAGGAAGACTGGAAAACTTGTCTCTCTCAGTGAACAGAATCTGGTTGATTGTTCATCAGCATTTGGTAACAGTGGTTGTCATGGTGGTCTGATGGACAACGCTTTTAAGTACATCAAAAGCAATGATGGAGTTGACACAGAAATTTCCTACCCTTATCAAGCACAGGTAAAAGAGTTTCTGTTTCATTCATATTCAGTTAAGTTACACTTCATTTTTAGATATCCTAGACTTTGACACAGTCAGCTTTTTCCCTCCAATTCAAGACTCACACTGTTCAAAATAAATGCATGTGAAATCTCATGTTCCATATTTTCACATTGCCCATCATACATCTGATTTGGACACCAAAATTTACGCAGGTACTGTCCTTAAATTCTCCTAGGAATCCCAAAACCAAGTTGTCTTACAGCAAAAAAACAAGCTGTTTTGTAGTCAAAATAGCAGTAAGTCAAAGGGTAAATTGGACGCTTAAAAACCTTAAGCTCCCAACATCTCATTAGTTTTTCTCCCCACTGTCCCCTTACAATTCTTATGATGTCAGTTTGGAGAATTTGGTATGGGATCAACTAATAAGTCACTACTCGATATTTTTCTTTATTCTCATTACTTGTCTGTTAGGAATTGTATTGATATTGTGAGGAGAAATTCTGTCTTTGTCACTCATGGGAGTTAAAGAGTTAACTCTCCACAACAATCTCTCTTTTACATGTAGGTCGGCACTTGTAACTTTAATGTTTCTGATGTTGGTGCAACAGACACTGGTTATATGGATATCACATCTGGTGATGAATCTGCCCTACAAGCTGCTTCAGCATCAGTTGGTCCCATCTCAGTAGCAATTGATGCCAGCCATAGCTCGTTTCATTTTTATCACTCAGGGATTTATGATGACCCTTCTTGTAGTAGCACTGAACTCGATCATGGTGTCCTTGTAGTGGGATATGGAAATGAAGATGGACAGGACTACTGGCTGATTAAGAACAGGTTTGTTAAGAGATTTTGTAATGTGCAATGGAAGTGAGGAAGCCTTATGTATGGCAACCAGGATTCAGGATTGAAGGGTGTATGCATGTTTGTGGGAGCAGACCCTTGGTAGAACTATACTTTCCATCTTATGGCAAAGTTGATGAATGCTATGAGAACTTGTCAGGATGATAAACAACAGGAGAGTGAAAGTTAATTTCTTTTATAAATCATTTTTCAGTTGGGGGACAGCGTGGGGAGAGGAGGGCTTCATCAAAATTGCTCGAAACCAGAACAACAAATGTGGAGTTGCAACTGCAGCAAGCTACCCCTTGGTTTAGGATGAGCTGCTGATGATGGTGTGATAGGAAATGCAGCAAATTCAGGCTATTAAAAGAAATATATTGCTTTATAATTACTGTAAATTAATTTGGTTTTCATATTTGTAAGATAATCAGAACAAAATTCTCACCAAATTTAAAAAAAAAACATTTCCCTTATTGTTGATATATATTTTTTATGACTGGTATCTTGATAATAGATTTCTGGCACATTTTCTCTTGGATCAAATGAATTGTACTTTTGGAAGTCTACAAGATTGGTATTGACCTGCTATATATGTCAGTGGAACCAATATTTCCAATTCAAGCTGACAAGCACTATTTAAGAGATATTTAATATATTTCAATGAGAAAGGAATGTTTCTATTTCATATGGTAGTTACATACTGGATTCTTCTTTCAACTGTTTTCCTTATTTAAGCTTTCCTCCAACTAGGAAATAAGAGACAAATGATACAGTAAGATAACGCTCTGGAGATTTAAAATCTTGTTTTTGAAATTTATGCATTTGTTGCCCCTTTTTCCCTTAGGAGTGACTTGCATCTAATTTCTCCTTTCAATATCACCCCTAAGTCAAACAGAAGCTCTTGATTGCTAAACATATTCTCTTTGTCAGCACTTAAAGAAATACATAGAGAACTGTGTGGAGAATACACATACTGATATAAGGCTGTAAAGGGTTAACATTTTGATGACCTTATGTTTAAGTTAAAGGAAGTTTCCTTGTATACCAGCTTTGTCTGTACTGATTATGTAGCAAAAATAAAAGATGTTGAACACTTCTTCAATACAATTAAGACATTTAGCTTTGCCATAAGCATTTTCATTGCAGTATCATTTCATTGCTTAACCCTTTCATTCCCAAGATCTCATCAGTAATTCTCCTTACAGACTTCTGTACCATTCTTATGATTTTAGTTCTGAGAATTTGTTGCTGGATCAACTGATAATCCCCTAATAGATATTTCTTTTTATTCTCATCACTTGTCTGACTGAAATTGCATGGATGTTGTAGAGAGAAATTCTGTCCTGGTCACTCATGGGAGTTAAAGGGTTAAGCGTTGATACAGATTTTATATGGTTGAGATTTTAACAGGCAAAGATAAAAATAAACAAATAAAATTTGATCCACCGATCATTTCTCAACAATTTGCTTGGTTGCTATTTATGAATCTCGTTTGATTATCGTCAACCTGGACACAAGTGTTTTCCTAAAGGGCTTGTGACTAATACATGAGCGCGGTAGAAAATTCCAAAGTTGAAACCATCACAAGGAAGTCCGTGGTCAAAGCCAATGTAATGAGGTACTGGCATTGGAAGCTCTAGAAGGAAACAGTTTCTTTTTCCATTCTTTTCATCCATGTCAGTTTTTTCTTTGGCAAAATTCTCTTTTTTAAAACCGATTGCAAGCAAACAAACTCGAAAATTAAACTGACCGTTCGTTCCTTTCGGTTTTCGATTGAAGGACACACGAGTTCCTTATTGGGATAGCTGTGAAAGTCTCTTAGAGTCTTTGATCGGGAGACCTGTGAACGACACCAGTCACATGACCACTTAGTGCCTATATCACATAGATCAGCGGCAACAGCATTAGTATCAACACAAACAAAGGTTAAACATTCTGACTTTCCCCCCCAAACTGCTGCTTTTGTTAAGTAAGGTAAGTTGTATGATTTCCTTTGTCTTCCATATTTTCTAGAGTAATTTTTAATTTTGGCGGTGTCTGCAGGTACACAGGAAGAACTGATCGCAGATTTTCTTCAAATAACCTTGGGCGTCATTGGTAAGTTATTCGCTGCGTCACGAGATCACTTAAGTCACGAGTTTTTTCCTTTCTTTTGTTCAATATTGCAACAAAACCCGATACTCATTTTCTTTTTTCACAGACCCATTCATTCCATAGAGGAGAAGACTTCAAGTTCTGGTAAGAATGATTAGATCTAAAAAAACCTTCATTATTCCCTTAATTTGTTTACCAAGATGTTCTGTAGTATAGCATGGTTAATTATTTAAGTTATGTAATTCTTTTTAGATGTTCTTCAAAAAAGAACTTAGCGATCAATCTCAAACGTTAAGATGCTATATACTTAACTTGCCTTTTTATGATTTCCTTTCCCTTAAATTTTTCCTGAGATAATTCGATGATCAATTTCAAACTTATGAGTTGATTGTAGGTTACTCCACAAAGCAGAATACATCTACCTGAAAATAAACAGAATTGGGATCATTCCACTTGCTTTGCCCCCGCTGTGAATGGATGAAAATTTCTTTCACACAGTAGTAATTATTTCTAGTCTTTCTCTTTTGTACTTGATTTACTCTGGAGAGTTCGTGTAATTTAGGAATGGATTTAAATTTACTTTATGTGGAGCAAGTTTTCTAGGATAGCGCTTTACGAAAGTTTAAAACATGCTGCATTTTAACTGTGAGCTCAACAGTTTGGTTTAATTCGTGTCCACTTTTTTAGTTCAGAGGTGTTCAGTGTATTAGTATAAATACATAGGGCAGAACGAAGCAAAACAACAATCTTTTTGGTTTTCTTAGTCTGAAAGTTTCACTATTTGCCGTCAGACAAACTTGATGAGGGAAAATCATTTTACCAACGGAAATCTGAAAAACTTAAACTTAAAAAAACTGATCCAATATGTGGTGTTACTCATTTGAAAACTGAAATTTTTCTGTTTTTAATGGTTATTGAAGCTGTTCAAAACTAAAAATCTCTTGCTGATTGTTTCTTTGTGATAAAACATTAAGTAAAACACAGCTTGACACCAGAAAATGAAAATAATAGCTTGATTAATGGAAATCGCTTATTGCAACCTATACTTTTGTATGCTTTTTCCAAATTATGACTCCACAAACCTGAAAGCCAAATCACACAGTCCTCTCCTGGGTTTGGTTGTTCGAAAGGGGTTTAACATCAATCTAGGATTAAAAGTTAGTCTTGGCTTTAATTTCTTGTGTAGATAAAGGTGTTTAAGAGCTAAGTTTTTGGGTTTTATGTCAATATGACTTGAAACTAATAGGAAAAGAAAGAAAAACTCCTTTACAAAGCCATAAAACTGAATTAAAATTATGCACTAACCCTGGGTTGTGTTAATTGTGTTTTGAACAACCCAGCCCTGTAGTTCTGCCTGATGCATGTATTGAAATAAAGGTTTTGAAAATGAAACATTGTACCCTAGATGTCTGTAAACCTTTACTAGTTTTGTTTAGAAAGCACAAGTAACAGCCGAGGATAAGATTTGAAAAATTAAATATTATTCCATGTTTTCTCAGTATCATGGTCACAATAAACATTTTTTCAAAAATTTGAATTTCAAATCAGTCATTTTGAAACTCAGAGTCATGAATTATCCATCATACTATAACCAATCATGTTACAACTGATGAGTGCAAACAAGCGCAAAACTGTAATTAATTAACACCCAGAAGTGATTAACATGTAACTTCTCCCTATAATATCTAGACATTATCTGGTAAACAAGTAATGAGAATATTCAAACTTATCAGGAAGAGTTTGTTATCTTGATCTTGCACTAAATTCTTGTAAATAATTTACAAAGAAATGTTTAGCAGCTAGACAGGAGAATTAATCATCAGAACTTGGAATTTAAAGGGTTAAATCATAATTTCAGCCACAAGCTTATATATAGCTAATTATCTCAAAATTTATCTCATTTTTTGTTTGTTTCAGGAATAACATACTCATCATGGCCCACTCAACTATTGTCCTGTTGATAACTCTTTTTATATCAATGGCACTGTCAGAACTTTTGATCAAAGACAATGCCTGGCACTCGTGGAAAGAATTTCATAACAAGAAATATGAATCAGATGATGAAGAAAGTTTACGTTATACCATTTGGAACGAAAATATGAAGACCATCAAGAAACATAATGCTGACCCAAACAGCAAATTCACTCTTCAAATGAATCATTTAGGAGACATGGTACATCAAATTTAATTTATATAAATATGAAGTTAATTATTAAAGATAATAGATGATACACTAAATTAAAATGTTTACAACAACTATTTTTAAAAAATTTTTGTTGTGCTTTGATTTTGAAAAAAAATCATTTCTTGAACCTTGGGTATATTAAAGATTGGTTTAAGCCTTTGATAGAAGTGATTAACATGTACCTTCTCCCAATAATGTCATGTATTATCCAGCAAACGGGTTACGAGAATATTCAAACCTATTAGGTAGAAGTTTTTATCTTGATCTAACACTGAATTCCCATAACCAATGTAATAGGAAATCTCTTGCAGCTAGAGAGGAGAAATGAAAATCAGATCTTGGGAGTGAAAGGGTTAAGATATGATTGTGAATGAATTACTAAATTTTTGTTATCAAGCTGTGTGATCTTTTTGTGAGCAAGCTGTGTTTTCACCCTTTGCACTCTTGAGATGTGATTGTCAAGATGGTAATTTTTACCAGGTTGAGTATTCTCATTACTAGTTTGCTGAGTAATGTACGGATATTATGAGGAGAAATTAATTATTAATCACTTCTGGGAGTAAAAAGGTGAACGAAACTGATAATCATCATAATATCATTATTGAAAACTTGGATCCTGCCTGGTTCACACCAGTTTTCCAGTGTTTGTAGTTTTCAAGAGGACTCTGGTTTTGGCCCTGAAATCTTTTATCTAATATTTTTGGTGTGCAGTTTACTACAAGTTTGGATATTTCTTTAAAAATTCCTTTTTTTTCAAGAATCAATATAGAAATAAGCAATACATCAGTTATTTTTTCGGCATTTGATATTTGAATATCTATTTCCATAACCTCACTGCATGTGTTACCTCAGTCTTGATAAATTCTAATCTCTGGCAAGTCTCAAAAACCCCTCTCTCCCTCCCTGAGATGTCAACTCTCCAAATTTGCCATTAAAATACTCTGTTTGTCTATTAACCTTGTCACTGCTAGATCAAATTTGTAATTCTCTTAACTGTCAACCATACAATTCTTATAATATTAGTTCAGAGAATTTTGTATTGGATCAACTAATTTTCATATATCTACAATTATTATTCATCACTTGGATGGTTTATTTGGACCCAACATAATGACCAGAGCACTGCACCAGTAATGCCGAGGTCATGGGTTCAAATCCTGTACAGGCCTGAATTTTTTTTTCAGGATTTATTTCAACTACTAGTTCAGTAGTGTTTATAGCTGTGAGGATCTCTTATATTCATTTCTTCACCGTGATGCACAGATATGATTTTCATACATCTACAATCATTAATTATCCCCAAATTGATATTTTTCCTTATTCTCATTACTTATTTGGTTGATATTGTATTGATGTTGTAAGGAGAAATTCTCTCTTGGTCACTCATGGGAGTTCAAGGGTTAACATGTGTCTCTTTTGGTTATGTTTCTATGTAGACAAGTAAAGAAGTTCATTTGACTTTGAATGGCTACAACAAAGCTCTCAAGGACACCAAGAGCAAAGAAGGTCCAACTACATTTCTGCCACCAAGCAATATTGAGCTGCCAGACACTGTTGATTGGAGGAAGAAAGGTTACGTAACTGAGGTCAAGAATCAAGGGCAATGTGGATCTTGCTGGGCTTTCAGCACTGTAAGAAATTTTGTTTTGTTTTGTACAGTTTTTGTATGATTGGTTGTTGATTGGTTTAATCCTTTACACTCTAACATTAGCATGCTTATTTTCTAATTCTGTTCTCTGTACATTTCTTTGGATAATTTCTTTTGAAAGCAAACGCATCTCTAGTTGGTCTTCATTTCTTTCATTCTTCTGAGAGGGTTGGAAAGGGAGGACTCCTGTTCCCATTCCACGCTCAAACTTTTTAGAAAAATTCATGCATTAAGTGTACTCTAAGTGTTTCATGCACCAAAGGGAAAGGAAAAGCTTCAAATCTCACATAGCTGTTCCCTAAATTCACACTCCACAATATCAATTAAGTGCTCAAACAAGCATTTTGTATAAACCATTTGTCACTCTCTTGTGACCTTCATATTTTCTTCAACTGTGTGATGCTGTGAAGATAAATGAGGTGCTTATTAAAAATAAGTCACCCTAATTTGTGTATTGTAAAATTTAGGGTTAGGAGATGTTCCTTTTAATGACCTTCGTGGCAAGGCTCTTCCCCAAAAAGATGGCTCATTCCCCCACAAGTCTTTCACTCCCAAGATCTTATTAGTACTTCTCCATACTGTCTCTTATAAAATTCATATAATGTTAGTTTGGATAATTTGGTATTAGATCAACTAATTATCCTCTGATTGGAGTTTTTCTTGATTCTCACTACTTGTCTTCTTGATTTTGTCTTGATATTGTAAAGAGAGACTCTATCTTGATCACTTATGGAAGTTGAAGTGTTAAAGGTATTTTAATTTGTAACCTTTCCCATTTCAGACTGGTTCCCTTGAAGGCCAGCATTTCAAGAAAACAGGAAAGCTGGTGTCTCTGAGTGAACAAAACCTAGTTGACTGCTCCGGAAAATTTGGAAATCATGGATGCGAAGGAGGCTTAATGGACAATGCATTCAAGTACATCAAGGCTAATGATGGCATTGATACAGAAAAAAGTTATCCTTACAAGGCCAAGGTTAGTACTCAATTGGTAACTCCATCTCAAACCTAGAAAATCAAACTCTCTCTTCCATTCTTTAATGTTTAATCACGTGACTGTTGCTTCACTGATAAAGGCTATCAACCTTATTCCTCAACTTGTTCCTGAGTCCACCTGCTCCACGCTGCTTTGAGAGATTTAAAACAAAAAAGGCTGATGATGACTTGCTTAAAGATTTTTGAAAAAATCAGGAGTTAGATAAATTTTGTAATCTGTTATCCTGGTAACTGGCTAAGGTCTATACACACATGGAGAAATCTGAAACTGGTTTCTTTCAATCTTGAGATATCTAAGAATTTTTTTTTTTTGCCAGAAGTCAATGTGTGTCTGCAAGATTTGCTTGTCTTAACCCTTCAACCCCAAAAAGTGATTGGCATCTAATTTCTCCTTATAATGTCAAACCTGAATCAAACATTAAGGTCATGAGAATAAAGGAAATGATCACCAACTTAAGATGGTCTTGATTGTTAGACAATTCTCCTTGTCAGCACCTTAGGAAATGTTTAGAGAACATTATGGAGAATATGCCTACTGATGTTAGGGTGTAACAGGTTAATGAGAAATATCATGTGTTATTCTCTGGTTCAATCGCTGACCTCAGAGATCTGGTTCAGTTTGGAAAGGTGAGGGGTAACTGTATATCTCTCTGTGTATATGAACATGTGCTGTGTGTACTCACTTTGTCCTTCCCTCCCCAGGATGAGAAGTGCAAATTTAATGCATCATCAGTTGGTGCCGATGACACTGGATATGTTGACGTTAAACATGGAGATGAGTATGCCTTGAAGGTTGCTGTTGCCACAGTTGGACCAATCTCTGTAGCAATTGATGCTGGACACATGTCTTTCCAATTCTACAAGGAGGGTGTTTATAATGAGCCTAATTGCAGTAGTACTGAGCTGGATCATGGTGTGCTGGCTGTGGGGTATGGAACAACTGCTGATGGGAAAGACTACTGGCTTGTAAAGAACAGGTAGGTTTATTTTGGGTGTGGCCTGAAGGGGTACTCAACTTTTTCTGCAATCAATTCATATGGAAATATAACAGTGTCCCCAGCCTAATCTGAGGAATATCTGGTGTTACAATCTGCCATTTCTGGTGTTCAAAGTTGTTTCACAGTTTTTGAACATCAGGTGTCACAATAAAAGCTTGAGTTATCAGCAGTCTGGTTAGATTGCAAGCAGGCTCTCATGTATGGGTGTTGCCCTATGACACAGCCTCCTTTTCATCTCTCACCAGCCACTAATGGAAAAGGTTCTGAGATGCTTGAACATGTACAAAAGATATAGATATTGTAGAGTGGCAGCAGGTGTCAAAAAAACCTTAACCCTTTACATCATGACATCAAAATTCATATTCTCCATTCTGTTCTCTGTACAATTACTGAGGTGCTGACAACAAGAATTTGTCTAACAATCAGGAGTTTCTTTAATTGGTGATCATCTTATTCTCTTGACATCAATAAGTGATTCAGTGGTGATATTGTAAGGAGAAATTAGATGCTAGTCACTCTTAGGGGTTATAGGGTTAAGTTGACAATTGTATTAAAAGATCTGCTGAATTTTGTTTCCTTGTGCAGCTGGGGAAAAAAGTGGGGCATGGATGGGTACATTATGATGACAAGAAACAAAGACAACCAATGTGGAATTGCCACAGATGCGAGTTATCCACTGGTCTAAAAACCTGTTGTACTTCTTGAACTGGTCTTGAATAAAGAGATGCAACAGAAAACAGTTTTTATATTCAGAAGCTTAGTTGAGTTGTACAATTTATAGTTTACTGTATTGTGTAGATGTAATTTTTTTATAGCTGATAAATAAGTTAGGTTTTAAAAGACTTCTATCCAGTTGTTACTTTCTATTGACAGGTCAGAGGTGACATCTCTTGCTTAATACGTCATTAGTGTCTTGTTGACCTACAAATTTTTGTAATCTCAACAAGAGATAACATTCAATTTGGCTTTTAATAGTTACTAGTGGATAGTTCAATAGTGCTAATGGTATTTTACACAGTTAATAGTTGTATAGTTGCTAGAAAAAGCTCTAAAGATTTGATTGAAGATTAACAAACAGCTTAGATATTAAACAGTAAGGGAAGTGTCACCACCAGTTTGTCAATATTCAACTCTTATTCATGCCTGTATTTATTATAAATATATATTTATAATATCTGTGGGTTAATTATTGTGTAAATGGTGTTGGGATCGTTTAAGCAATTGCCTAGTTGTATTTTTAGTTCATAATGCTGTAAATTTTAATTGTGTGTGATTGAAATTATCATTAAAAACTTGATTTGTGCTTGTATCAATGAAAGTGTGTTGGTAATTAGACAAGTTGTACTCATCTCATCTCATTCACCCTTTAACTCTCAAGATCTGATCGTTAATTGTCCCCTCTAGCTGCTACACATTTCCCTGAAAATTTGTTACAAAAATTTGGTGTTTGATCACTCTAACAACTTAAATATTAGCTGTTGCATGTAAATCCTTACAGACTTGATTACCAGAGGCTTCAGGAAAGAAGAAGTTCAACAAATCACAAAACTATTTGCCATGTGTACAAGGAGATCAAGGTTCTGTGGCAAGTAAGCCTACATAACACATGCACTGTTCATGCCTTCACAGGTCATGTAATATGAACCAGAGCAGCAATCTTACATCAGTCTGCCTAAAAGAAGTTCAATTTGTAACCTCTGCGTCTGCATTTGGTCTTCCACTGCATGTTACAGACTCGTGATAAAACTAATAATCATAAGTGCACAGAATTTGACTGAAAAATTGCTCAGTTTCTGACAGTGTCTTTTTATAATGCATGACATTCAAGTTTCACCTTTGAGGCTCTGTGGTTAATAACAATACTTTCAGTTAAATACTTGATGTACATCTCAATTGTCTACTCTAATAGTTCAACAAATAAATACATCATTTGATAAATACTGTACACCATACTACTCTCAAAATACATTAAAAAAATACTAAATCCTAGTTGTCAATACTAAAGGTGTAAATCATATCTAATTCTTTCTTCCATACCATCACATGACCTAATATTACTAATTTGTTAAAGATTGTGTCCCAAAGTGTCATAATACAGTATAAAAACACTACGTGCTGAAATGAGTGGGTTGAACTTTCACTTCACACTCAGAGGAAGTATCACATAACATCACAACATACAGCACAGTTTTACTCCTTCTTGGGTTTGGTGTCTCCCTTTTTATAGCACACTCTACACAAACACCTGCATATAAATCTTATCACCAGGACAACTAAGGTTACTATAGTAACAAGGAAAGCTATGACATCAAGTAAGTAGCACTTGTACCAAGGAATGTCAAAAACTTGAGCTCTGAGGTGTCTGGCTCCACCATGTCTGACTACATACTCAATCCAGTTGCAGGTTTCTTGTAGAGGTGTGTAAGGATGATCCTTCAACAGCCCAGAGATGTGCATTGCATTTGTTTTAAATCTGAAGAAAAATCGAATTTCTATGTAAAGGATTTTAATGAAATAATGACACTTTTTTTTACTTATGTTACCCGGCAGAAATGAATCCTTACAGTCAATTCAAAGCTGTATTTGGCCCAAACACTGTGACAGTCACTTTCTTAATAAGAGGTGCATGCTATTCGACTTATGACTAATTAAAAGAAATTTCAATCAAGTGTTGAGAGTAATCTGGAATTATTTGGTTTGCTCTTTTGCTGTAAGATTGGTCTGGAAAACTTTCACTACTTTCTCAACCAATCTGATTCAAAACTAAAACTAACTGCAACTTGGTCAATGCCATTATGCCCCTCTGTTTACGTGTTTTTTCTCTTAAAGTTGTCATTGAATGCTCCTGACTTTTTCCTTTCACCTGATTGTCCACTGTGATTACTTTGGTTTTGGTTTTGCAACACTCAAAGTGCTCTCTTGGGAAGCCATGATTCAGAACTAAACACAGTGGTTGCCTGATAAACTTGAAAAAACATTTAACACTTAAAATATTCTGCAATGATCACATTCAGGGATGTGGACACGTCAGTAATTCCCTCAAATCACACACTTATTAGCATCATTCTGTACAATTAACTTATCTCAAGGCCTAATTGGCCAACAACAAGTTCTTTTTAAACCACTTTTGACAAATATAGCATACTACATACTGTGGTTCCCCTACAACTTTCTCAATTGTTTCAAACAGTTGTTGCACACTGCAGTTTTTATGATCAACAATTAAACCAAGGCCAAAATGTTCAGCTTTCTTAGCATTGCTATCCTGGTCTCTACCCAATGGAAAGGCTACCACAGGGACCCCATGGTATGCTGACTCATACAGACTGTTATGTCCCACATGGGAGACAAAAGCTTTGATGTCCTTGTGTGCTAAGAGATCATTCTGAGGTAACCATTGAACTGCTTTGATGTTTGCTTTAAGGGAGGATGGGATATAACCTGCCAGAAAGAAAAACCAACCCTTTTAAAGACATACCAGCATTTAATCTTACAAGTGAGCAATTCAAGGGGAGGGTTTGTTTTCTAATCAGGAGTATTTCAACTCCTACTGGACAGAGTATACCGGACAGAGTGCTATTCTATCACACATGTTAAGCAAAGCAAATCATCAAGTTCTCCCAATAAGTTTTTTGGTATCTGACAGACTGACTAACCAACTCTACTGATCAAGTATCTGTCTAAATATCTGAGTGACTGACTTACTTTCTGACTGACTGACTGACTAACAGACAGACAGACAGACTGACTTACCTACCAACTAAATGACAGACTAAACAACTGTCAAACAGACAGACTGCCTGACTAGCTGACAAACTGAACAACTGACAAAAAGACCGACCAACTGACTCAAAGACTGATTGACTAATTGAGCATTCAATGACTGACTGAGTAGAGTAGATTGATCAATGCTCCAACAGATTATCTCTGATGACAAACTAAAGGATGGATAAAAAGATAGAAGGAACAAATAAATGGCCGTTGTATAAAATACTCAGTTGGTAAACAACACAACAAGAACAAAACAAAAGAACAAGACCAGGCAAGTTTTGAGCACCAAAGGCACAAGCCGCCAAGGGGGGGTCTGCAGGCATGCCCCCCCCAGAAAATTTTTAAATCTAAAGGCTCAGAAATGCTCTTTTAAGCATTTCCTGTGGCATTTTTCTTCAGAAAAGTCAATCTTGGGCTGAAATCAAGACAAGGTAATTGCCTCGTCTTGTGTCATGCTTGCTATGACCCTGCACAATTCAAAATTCCTTTTAAAAACTGCAGATACCTTTAAGTCTCCACACAACTTTTTGTTTCAGTTTTCCAAATGCATCAGCTAGCATATCCACTTTCTCTCTTGGAAGGATTGAAGCCACCATTGAACCAAAGGAAACAATAATAAAACCATGATCCCCTGAATTATTGACAAACTCTTCTAAATCAGGGGGGAAGGGTTGAGTATCTTTGACATTTAGTGGTCCAACCATAACATGACCTATTGAATAAATATAACAAAGATTCCTCTTCAATTAATAAAGATCTTATCAATCATATTTCAACTTTTGACCATACTTGAGTTTTAATTGGGGTTGAAAACCATTCTGGGAAAGTATAACCTCCTCTGGCTATGGTTAAAGATATTGTAGAAAGCTTAGTACTCAATCATCTTTTGAGAGCCAGAAATAAAGGTTATAGAGTTCTGGTTCCAGTTATTAACCTAACTCTTTTTTACTCAAGATCAATTGGCAAGCACTCAAAGGAACCCTTTTAAGATCTTCACAATTATATAATAACTGAGTGTCACATCTTGATGAAACACCAAATTCTCTCATCTAATTTTTAAGGAGGTGTCTTACAGCCAAATGGGAGAATTACAATATGCAACAAACGTTGAAGGGTTAAGGTCAACCTTAACCCTTCAACTCCCACAAACAAATAACATGTAACTTTTCCTTCCTATAATATCCATACATTATCCTGTACGTAGGTATAATGAGAACATTCAAACTTATCAGGTAGAAGTTGTTATCTTGATCTTTCATACTAATTTACTGATAACTTATTCTCATCATTAATTAACAAAGAAATGTGTAGCAGGTAGAGGGGAGAATTAACAATCAGATCTTGGGAGTTAAAGGGTTAAATGGTAAAGTTTTAAAGAGTTCTCACCTGGCAACAGAGGTTGTGGGTATTCCAGTGCAAAATCTGCCATGATTAAAAGTAGTTCTACATCAGCAACAGCCTCCTCAAAGCTTCTTTCAGGCGTAATGTTGTATCTCATTTTTAGAGCATTCATTGGTCTGTTATAGACTATGCTCAAAAACAGTCTCTCGCCAGTGTATGATCCCAGATTCATCAAACGTTCCTTGAATGTCATTTTATCAGTAAATCCCGTAGAAAGTTGAGGAATATAGGAAATTGGCGAGGGTATCATGTGATAAAAGGCATCTGGACTGTTAGGGGGGTAAGGGAACAACTCAATGCGCTGAATCTTGAGGAGTTCACCAATTAATGCCGCACAGAATGCTCCACTATCATAGGTGATAAGATCATAGTTTTTCAATTCCTTGAGAACTTCAGTGGAGTTTAGTGCACTTTCACATAATGTTTCCTGAATCTTGCTCATCTTGAAAAGTACCTCCATCATTTTTCCTTCCAGTTCAAGGGGTATTACTGTATCTTCTAAGAAGCCTGGTTTATAAGGTGCTTGGTAAATCTTGTGAGGTACCTTCTCACTCGGTTTGATTTTATCAAAAGAAGATGGAACAACCATTACAACCTAATTGTAACCAATTAAAATCAAAGGTAAAAAAATCAATAGCTATTTATTATAAATTTGTCTTTTCTTTACATCTCAACTTAATTATTGATCTTCTAGGAGGAGTTGGAGAATTTTAGGGGAATCACAAGATTTTCAGGGGCAAGGGAGGGGGTATTCAGTCATTGCACAAAGTAAAAAAAGGAAGGGCACATAGAAAATTGACTGCTAATTATCTGCCAGGGAGGGGTAGTCATGAGATTATTAGAGGGCCTTATTAGGGGGGGGGGGAGGATCAGGTAAATTTTATGGTGACCCAATTAAAATCCTCCGACCCCTCCCAAGAGAGAAAGCCTGTTACTAAATAATTGCATATTGTCTACCTTACTCAGATACTGCCTATAGGGTTTTTGGAATATCTCCATCAATCTTCAACAAATGAAACATTAGAACTGAAGTAACGATGTGCAACTACTAAACTTAATTTCAATCGCTCAGTGCCGAAACTCCTAGTCCTTCATCCATCATAAGGTACTCAGAAATCTAACCTCGAATTTTCCGACAGAAAGTAACCTTTGATAGCGACCAAACAAAGAAAAAGTTTTAAATCCTGTTTTGAGAGGGGAATATAGGAGACTTTGGAAATTTATAAAAGAATCGTTTGAAGAGAATTCATCGGGAATTTTTGGCCACAGAGGGAACGTAAACAAACTGATTAACAACACCTGTTCCACTTGTCGATCTCTAGGGCAAATATCACACATGTAATTAACTTGAAATGGTTAAAGCAAGATAACTGCTTCCGGTGTAAAATTAATCTGATTCCAACCACCAACATTAAAAAATTAATTACCACGATGATTTCTCTGTCTTGCTAAAATAACAGTATCATGCAAAATAGAAGAACACATCACGCGACCTCGTGTCCACGAGTTGCTAACTCTTCTAGAATGTTTCTGGTGTTTATGTACTGTGATCCTCCTGTAGTATGGAAACCAGCTATTCGCGCTGAAAAAGCTGAGTTAATTTCTAGCGTAAGAGTTAAAAGTGCCAAAAAAGCGTAGTAAGCAGGATGGGGCATCCTTGTCAAAACAGTCGCCACCTTAGAGTACTTTCTCGTTCCCAGACTCTTAGCTTCCATCGACAGCTGGATGAGTTTCGCTCTGTGGCCAGGTAAAGAAAAGAAAGATCTGCATTGGTGTTAATTTTTCTGTTAAAACGAATCGCGTACTCAAGAAATGATTAATTTTCTTGTAATTATGGTGTTTTAGGCTATAATGTTTCAGGTTATGATATTTTAGACTGCCCCAGTCCTGAAAACACGCCAACGTACGTTGCCCTTATTCCTAAGCAGACCCCTGTTTACGACGTAAACAGGCACTTTTAAGTGGTCTTCAAAGACCAATTCCACTTAAAAGGCCAATTCCACCTACACCTATCCTTTTCAAGTTGACTAACGATTTCGTGGTTGATCGTTATGTCAAACCTTTTAGGCTCGATAAGGTCGACCTGAGGAAGTTTAGCATCGTTCCCAGTTCAAGTATCACCGAAGCCTGGTTGATATGAGTCATACCTGGTACAGTGCCACAGACGGTAATGAGGCTACTGTAAGGGTAATTCTTTTTCACTTTAAAAACGCTTTTGACCTCATCGTCGACCGGATACTAGTCAGGAAGTTAGGCACAAGCCTGCATTCAACCAGCTGCGACGCACCAAGGTGAGGAAGTCGGTGATCCAAGAGATGTGCGCAAACAGCCACGACTGCTTTTCAGAATGGGGCTATTGACATGTGTTGACATCCTAGCAAACCGTGCGTTCGTGGATAACTTTAAACTAAACAAGACCTACGATTCATATGTTGTAACTTTGGAGAATTTGGTATTGGATCAACTGATAATCCCCTAATTGATATTTTTCTTTATTCTCATCACTTGTCTGGATGAAGTTATATTGAGATTGTAAGGAGAAATTCTGTCTTGGTCACTCATGGGAGCCAAAGGATTAAGGCTAAGGAAATGATGAGGGGTTACAAGGAATATATTGATTGTTCCGGGGGGAGGTGAGGGGGTATTTCCTTGTCATAGGCTAATGGGGATGTGTCGCTGGATAGGGTCACATTTTCACGGCTGGATTGACTGTTATTACTTGTCTGTAATGGGTTGCATTTCCAACACAGTGACAGATACAGTTACAATAATAGGGTCGCGAATTTTCAGGATTTCTTTTTTTTTTTTTGGGGGGGGGAGAAAATTCTGGTAAGTAGGGATTTAAAAACGAGGACCCTTTTTGTAACTTCCTTCATTCCAGCATTAGTATTTTCGCGCACAACTTAATGATCACCCACTGAAAAGGCTTTATACGGTAGATTTATAGTACAACGAGTGACTCATTTAGGATCACAAAAATTACATTTGCCCAAAAGTGACCAAGATGGGGCGTATAACTGGTCACTGAACAGACTATAATGGGTAAGTGCTTCTTAGAGGCCAGCGGTGGGGATGGTTTGATGATGTGGTAATGAGTTCAGGCATAACGTTCATGGCAACAGCAAAAAGAAGTCCAACTTTATTTAAATTTTGGATAAATGCAAGGGAAAGTTCTCAAAAAATTTAATGTGAATTTCAATTTAAATATAATGTTTGTAGAAAAAACATTTAAGACTTTTCTGAAATTATAGGGTAATTTAGCATTATCAACTGAGTTGATAACGTAAATTGGCCGTTGTAAAGAGTTTCAAAGCTGACGTTTCGAGCGTTAGACCTTCGTCAGAGCAAATGGAAGAATTGTGGGTTCGCTCTCACAAAGGGCTAACACTCATAATGTCAGCTTAAAAACTCTTCACGGTGGCCAATTTACGTTATCAACTCGGTTGATAACACTAAATTACCCTGTTATACTTTCCCACCGACGCAGCACCACAGTTTCTTTAGAAACTTACCCCCTTTATTCATTTGGTCTAAATTTATGTCTTTTGTGGAAATCTCAGACAGCGATGGCGTAACTTTGGTTTGCAATGCGTTTCACATTCTGCTCGCTAGAATTCGTTTTGATAAATTAAACATTTCAATTTGTACCAGTAAATCATATTCAAACAGTTTCCATAGAATTTGGCAAAGAAAAACGCACTAAGCTGGCCCCAGATCCTTTTTGTACTGAAAAGAAAAACAATTGGAAAAAGCTCTCCACGGTTGCCAGCTCGTTGTTTCGCCCTATCATTATATTTATTGGAATGTAAAGACCAAGCTTTAAGAACTAAGATTGAGAGCGCATTCTGTAACTACATCATGCCAAAATGATATCATTGCAACCGTGTTTCCAGTATTCAATTTCAAGACTTTGCGAATCGAGTCAAGTTTCGGAAAGATTTTACAAATCATTCTTGGCTTAGACAAGAGTAATAATTATCATATCGACACTAACTTTCCATGAACGAAATTGGCAATTAGTGGAATAAACCTGAATTCAAAAAACAGAAACGACTGCGCAATCCAGATTTCAAAACTATTTCCAAAAGCATAAATTTTACAGGAAGTCTTGGAAATTTAACCAGACTTAAGTAAATCCATCTGTACCGTTATTTGCATTACAAATAGATCAGTGAAGAGAACTGAACGGCCTTCTTAAACATACTCAAGAGACAGGAACGTATTAGATCACTATAAAGACAAGAATAAACTGATACGAAACTTTTGAATCCTCAGGGCTCAAGCCTCTGACCAACTAGTTTTTTAGCTCAGAAAATACATACACAGCTTCATCAAATTGCACTCTCTTTTTGCTTCTTGAATGTTCCTTGGCGTACAACTTACTCTTCTGTTCATCTCTTCTGTTTTCATCACGGTGTAAGCCTTCATGCGCTGGCTGTTGATTGTTCCAAGTTGGCCAAGTTGTGTTGGGCCAACGGAAACGCCGACAGCTGTTTTCTCCAACTGATGAAGCTTCCACGCTGACGAAAGACTCACTGACAATTTCTCCTTTGCTTTCTACTGTGGGGAAAGTTATTGCCCGAAAAACGAAGTGCAATTCTCTTTTGTTGACGTCCACGTTCTTTGACACCTTTTCGTCCGTGTTCGTTCCATGCTGCTCTCTGTCTTGCACAGCGACTTCCTGTTGTTCATCAGGACTAACTATCATGATTTTCGCGTCCATCGGAATGCTTTTCCAAGGTAGTTTAGCGCAGATTACTCCTCCCCAACTTAAGAAAATGCCCTCCGCACCCTGGCTACTTAATTTATAAACTAAAAAAAATTTCCTCAGTCACTCAAAGGAAACTACGCCTAATTCGAATATCAATAACGCCGATACTTTAACGTAAGCCTAATCTGCATAACAAAATAACCATAATAACCATAATCTCAACAACTAGATTCTCCTTACAGTTTGACCCATTTCCAATACTCCTCACATTGGAGAACTTCAAACACAATAAAAAGGGCTAGAATTTTTCGTTAGTTTTCTTTCAGGCGAAAGAAAGAAGCTAAAAATATTGTCCTCAAACAGAAACTTGAATAGCAACTTAATTTTTTTGATGTCATGTCCATAGAGGTCACTTGCCGTGTAGTTAATTTACGGGGGGAGATCAAGAAACGTTGAAGTGATTTGTGAAGATTTTATTAGATATTATACGATAACATGCTGTTTGCCTGATGGCGGTTCTTGAAAGAAGTTAAGACATTTAAATGTGAGTAATTAACCTCAATTAATGAATGACGTAGGGAAGCTCCAAATGTGACGCATGCGCAATCGTCTTTAGCTTTACATTTCAGTTGAATTTTTTGAAGGCGTTTTGATTAAGTACGAAGATATTTCACCTTATTTTTAATTTTCGTATTGACGAAAGCGAATGCGAAGAGAATTTATGGGAGGCCAAGATTTGTGACCTTACGAGTGGGCCTGTCCCGTTTGTTCTCGGCAACTTTTGGCGTTCGGAGCAACTTTTTGCAGTTCTAGCAACTTCGAGCAATGTTCGCCTCTTTTAAGTAATTTCTGGGAAAAACAGAAGTTTAGAACACATATCAAGCTCGAAAAAGTTAACGATTTCATAAAAATTTCAATTTATGCGAATTTCTTGATAATGGTTACCAACCCTTTTGAATACAAATGAACCATGCGTTTTGTTCCATTATACTAAGAGGTATCCTTAAATCTCCTCCATATTTGCGAGCAATTCTCTGTATTTAAGATCTCAAGCTGTTCACCCGACCGATGCCATTATTTACTGTAACGAATGAAAAACAGCTCTTTTGATTTGCATTTATATAAAAAGATCAAGAAATTTTGGCATAAACTCTTTAAATTTTGGGCGGCAACTTTTTGGATTTTTGGCAATTTTCTTGCAACTTCCGGCATTCAGATAAGCAACTTAACTTGCCAGCATTTCAGGTCTATTCATTAATTATTTCCCTTAACACATACCTGTCTTTGCAATATCTGTAACTTGTAACTATATGTTTTCAATTATTTATTTATCTACCAGGATTTTTGCTCCATTTTCTTTTTCACTTTAAAGGTTCATTGAATTCTTCATTTCACCTTCTTTCATCGTTAGGTTTTGCATGTTTTTGGTAATTTGCTACAGAGAAAATAAAGAAACATATTTTTTTTTCTTGTCACGAGTGTGGGACAAAGAAAAAATGTTGAGTCCTCATGAGGAATTGAATCTTAGACCTTCGGATTCTGCGCTCCGATGATCTACCACTGAGCCACAGAGACTTTATAGTGAGCGAGGTCTATTACGAAGTTCACATGACACGCGTCCTGCATACTGCATACTGCTTGATAGCTACAGTTTGTAAACTACATAAAATACTTCGCGTGTTTGATTTATTGCTTATAACCTGTCGTTTATCTTACCAGTAAACCCACAGAAAGCAGAGACATTCTAAAAAAATATATTGGAAAGTTTATTTTTATTATGTATTTATTTTTTTGGCTAGGCAACGAATTGCAATGGAGGCTAAAGTTATCTCCTCTTGCTTGAAAACCCACTCGGAATGTTGGGACATCCCTCTGAAAGCTTCTGAAGGTACGAGTATTTCTTTATCGTGTTCTCGGTTCACCAATAGAAAGTGCGGTCCAAACTGTTAAAAAATAATAACCTTGAACGTTTCAATTTATGGTGAGTTGAGGAATATAGCTGAAACTCCTCTTGGCCTTTATTAGGTGGATAAGCTGATGTTAGCCCCTCTGGGAAAATTAAGGCGAGGTGCCTCCGCCGAGTTCATATTTTGCAGCCTATTTCAATATTCTCTTTCTTAGCTACAATTATTCATCCCTGGTTCATTATTCATACTTCTCTTGGGTGTTTTTTTCTGTTTTGCTGAACAAATATTTTATGGTATCCTTCATGTTACTCAGTACTGATTTCAATTTTGAAATTGCTGATTTAAGGAAATTTTCAAAGCTTTCTCATCTGCTGATTTATTCAGAAAGGATCTGTTTCTTTAATGGTATCGATCAATTTGCATTTACCGATTTGATAGATAAACTAGAGATGTAGATGAACTGGCCTGCAAATCGAACTGTACCGCGCAGAATGTATAATAATATACCGGTCCGGGAGGGCGCTTTTCAGAAAAAAGCCTGACTTCTTATTTTACATGCCAAAATTTGAACAGAAAAACTTCGTGGATCTTTTGAAATAATGATAGATTTTACAACTGGAAAAATCAGTTCCAAATTTAACGAGAGACCATCGCGTCAAATGTTTTGACTCCAGAATTAATCACTGTATTTTTAAAGACATTTTATACGAGTTTTATTTTCACTCACCAAGTCACAAATTATAGAAATCCGGGCAAAAAAAAAAGAAAAAACAAGAGGATTTCAACTTTTCGAAGAAACCGAGCGAAAGGCTTTTCGGATAGCTTTTGTTTTTTCGTCGGAGTAGCAAATTGTATTTAAAATTATTTAAATCATGGTTTGACATCTTTGCTAAGCTTTAGCTAATAAGGTCCCGAATTTGCATATGCTGGTGTACGCATGTGTAATCTGAAGCCATATGTTTTATAATTTGAATTGGAGAAAAACTATACGCGAAAAATTTGCGGACCTTAGCGATCGATCAAAAAAAATGCTTCGACCCGATAATCTCGGATTAAATTTGGAAATTCATCCCGATGCCTTGGTGATGAATCAAGCGAGCAGAGCCGGTAAGACACCTGAAGAAAGCCGAATTTTGAAGGCAAAAGATTACAAACTACCCGTGTTTACCAGATATCGCGAGGGTACCTGCAAAGACGTTTTTTATTTCGTTCAAGTTGTGGCTCCAAAGTTCGGCCACGACGCACATCCCGAAGAAAGCTGTGATGCGGAGAAACGCCTTTTAGAAAAAGTCATAAATGCTCTTAACGACATGAGACCTAAACCGAGATTTTTACTCGTACATGGAAATTACACGAATGCATCACCAAACGATAAAGAATATTTCCCGCAGATAGAGAGTTTTAAGTCGGCATTTGAAAATTTAAGCGCGGAGATTCCTGTTGTGTGTGTTTGTGGCCCAACAGACTGCGGTAATCCACTGACATTGGACGGCGTCGATGCGTATCGGAATACTTTTGGCGATGACTGGTTTGCCTTCTGGGTTGAAGGAGTTCAGTTTTTAGCCATGAATACCAGTTATTACAAAGACGTGAACGCCGATATGGAGAGTTTTAAAACAGATCAACAGGAATGGCTTGAATCAAAGCTGTTGGAAGCACAAGTAAACCCGCCAAAACAAATCGTTCTTCTGCAAACCACTCCATGGTTTCGCAAATCTATAGATGAGGAGAGCAATGCAGACAACATTGAATTAACCACGCGCCAAGAAATCGTTCCTAAACTCATAGAAGCCAACGTGAAATACGTTTTCACTGGTAATTTGAATGGCTTCGGGAAGGACAAGGAATTACAGATAGTTCAAACAAGTTCTTTAAGAAAAACAAATGAGGTGGAAAATCTAGGTTTTCGTGTTGTCAAAGTCGAACATGAGGGAGTTGTACATAAATTTTTTTCTTTGGACAACTCCCCAACAGATCTAAATTTAGAATTTTAATAACTATTGCTTTTTGCAGCTGCAACCGCATTCAGATTGCGATGTAATCCGATAACTCAAAAGTTAGAGGCTAGAATCAGGTTCTAAAAGAATTTCGCAACCACTAACTCTGTCCACTAGAGAGAGAAGAATATTTCAGACACTTTTATTATATTCATTCTGCTGGCCTAAAGCGATTAATCAATGAAAAGAAGCATTTCAAAGGAAAGAGCATCAGAAGTCAAATATTTGCTGCGGGTCACATACAGGTATCGAATCAAATATATATATATATATATATATTACACTTGTTTGCTCGCATTCTTCATTGTTGTTCTTCAAGGCAATATTAGACTGCGATTTTCGGTTTTTACTTAATTGAGGTTGTATGTAGAAAAGTGTTTATAATCTTAAACAAAGCATTTTCCTCGTGGCAAATAGAATATTTATGAATTTAATTCGCTGTCATCAAATTCGTAATTTAGCATCAAGTTGGAAATCTCTAATTTCTTTCAATACCACAAGTCAATTACCGATCTGAAATGAAATACACGGCTTTCACCGAGCCTTTCTGTCGTCGGAACTCAGAATATTAAAGGAAATGATTTGAACTACGAATTCGTTCAGAACGCATCCGTTTCGGAGGTATGGTTCCATTTCATTTCCATCCAGTATAAATATTCTTACTTGGTCAAGGCACTTCTTTGTCGAATTTGTTCCGCAATTTGAAGACGAAAAGAGAAGACATATCTTTAAGCCAACGAAACTCGAGGAAATGCCACAAGTATTTTGGTTAATTTAGCCGGGAGAGTACGGAATAAATGAAATCTTACAAAAGGATACGAAAATTGATTATTTACTAGCAAAGGTTTGCTTTTGTGAGAGTCAGGTTTTCGTCCCTGAAAAATTAGAGCGTTTTTCGATGATGATGGTTTAATTCGGAAAAAAAATTTACCAGATTTTTTGTTCACTTAGCTCCCTTGACATTTTTTGACATTACCTTTTTTTTCATTTCCTTTTGTAACTCAACGTTGAAAACTGAATTTGTGCCCCAGGGAAAGAAAACGCGTTGTGTGACAAGATCAAACAACAGCTGCAACTTGAAAGCTGCTACCCTTTTCTCATTGTCCAAATGCAAAGGATCACTCCTTCTTAAGAACATATTTGAACATTTTCTAGTGTTTCACATTGTTTCCAACACTATATCTTTTTCCCAATACTGGTAACAAGTTTTAAACTTCTTTTTCTACAGTATTGTTAGGTCATGATCTTCAGGGTTATCGTCCATGTTTTTCTCCCTTACCTGCCTGTTTTCTTGAGTTATTTGGTTTCTTTTTCATATTCACACAATATTTTTAACCAAAATCAGAAGGGTAAATCCTTAAGATTTACAGCAATGCAAAACGCAAAAATCATCATTTGACCGAAAAAATACAATACCAAATGTAGCGATGAGGAAAAATCGATACACACAAAATGGACAGACAGAATAGCCTCCTCAGATTTAACTTTCAGCAAGGTTTAAAGACAATTAAATCAATTCCTTTCCTATGCTTAAATTGTTTGCCTATGAAATCTGACCCTAAAGCCAACAGAGTAAATAAAGGGAAAAAACAACTCAGGTTATGGTAGTAAGTGGATACAGAAGGCAAAGGGGGGAGGGGGTAAGGTGGTATGAAACTAGCTAAGACTCAAAGTACCCACCACCCCCATGATAAAACTAATTCACTTTTTCCTTTTCCACAGCTTCGTTTTCACAAGAAAAGTTTTGCAAGGTTTAATCATATACTTGAAAACAAAGGGTAGCAAAATACTAACTTCAAAATACTAATCCAAAGTTACAGCCTTGTAATGTTCTGTATTTTTTTCGGTAGCAACGTTGTCTAGTCCATTCTAGCTTTCAGTGTCCGTGTTGTAACCTTATCTTTCTCTATCACATGAACAATGCCACCCCAACCACTGACAGCATCTCGATCCACAGCATTCATTAAGGCTTGGGAGATGGTTTCGAACAGATCATCGGGTTCGAGATCTGGTTCCCACAGAGACTCGCACATTCCATACATCTGCTCCGAGCAAGTGCCACTCACCACAAAATCTTTCGTCTCCATCGGACATCCGATCAGATCTAACGCCGCGATGTACGGCTCGTTGGTCTTCGGGTCTAACCCAGCAATCACCGGTTCCACAAAGTAAGGCCCGAATCTCCTTTCGTAGAGCAAGTTTGACACCATGCTCATGAAAGTTTTGGGCTTGATCTGACGAGTTTCTCGCAGTTCGTACAGGTTCTTGCGAAAATTTAGCCGGTTTGACACGGTTTGCACGTCCGTCGCCAGCCCAGGAAGACCCAGAAAAAGCTTGTCACCCATTTGAAAGATTTTTTGAAAATCGCAAGACAAAGTCTGAGCTTGAATTCCTAAACGTCGATCTGCCGCAATTGCAACGCAATCTTTGCCAACCATAGCTATGATGGCGGCACCATTGTATTCCATAATAGACATGTTGAAGTTTCCGTATGTATATCTTTAAATTGTCGAACTTTCTCTTCTAAAAAAATCTTTTGTAGCGAGAGCACACCAACGTGATCAAGATGGCGGCTGCTGACTAATTGAAGCGGTTACCAAGGTTCAATTGAGCGGCTACTAAGTATTTTTAAAATCCTGACGCATTCTGGGAACGAATCTGGGTGTAATCGACAAAAATACTAGAAGAATCACGAAGATTGTGATTTGCAAATGACGTTAAATTTTATCGACATTCGAGTTGAACTGAACTAGAAATCATGAGTGGATGCCTGAATGAAATTCGCTGCCCCGATATGGAGGTTGTTGTGGAGAGAAGAAACTTAATTTCGTCAATCTCAGCTGGAACTCTGGTGAATTCAACTTATATCTTAAAATATTGAAATCAGCATCGATTCGCAAGGAAATAGGTTATGTCTAATTTGATGCAGTGGCAAAACTTATTAAGCCTTAAAACTCGTCATCACGGAGGAATTGTTTCATTTTCGTTTTATTTTAGCCAAGCTGAGCTGAGCTACATAAGAAACAAAAAAATTACTTCTTGTTTTGATGTTTGTTGAATGCAGAGACGCTAGAAACAAGCTGACTGCAAGCTCCAAATTAAATTTCTAGATCGCTAGGGAAAAGATAAAGAAATATAAAGGACTTTTTGGGCACTGCTATGTGATATTTTAAGTAAATTTTGATCTCACTTTAACTTAAGTCTAGTATTTAGCATGTTATGGCTTACTAGGACTTCCCTAAGATAAGTTCTGTTTTTACCCCTTCAGACTGATCTTTGAAAAATTTGTGCTCAGAATATGTCAAAAAATGAATCAATCTTACAGAATGTAACCCAAATCTACCAAATTTAGGTATTTTTCCTCTTTTGGTAATAGAATATTATCATTTTGGAACAAAGCAAAACACCCACCCCAGTAGTAATTTGTAGCCATAAGATTTCTCACAGAGAGGATTCCAACATCATGAGTCTGTGATTTTATGTCAGTTTTAACCAAATAAATTTGAGAAAAGTAGGGAGAATGCTGAGTATCTGTAAATTTATTGTCTTGACTAACCACAGTTATGCTAGAGAAAAAGCTGGATTATCTTCTTATTTTCTGTTGTTGATTTTCAAATTTGGTTTTGTTCAATTGATAGTTTTTCATTGGCTGGTGGATAATAATTGATGCTGAAGCTACCAAAGATTTTTGGCATGTTTATCACATCCCAGGTGTTATAGCCTCATTAGGACTTTTTATGTAAGTATGTACCTTGTTTTCTTTTCTCACAAAAAAATCACCTCTGATATTTTTACTTTTCAATCACTAGACGGTGGTTAGGGTCGGATGAATTATGCTAAAAAATTTTGAGCATTGTGCTTTTGAGAGTTTAACCCCTGAAAAAAATGGAATTAAGCTGAAAACTAGGTAAATTAACAACTTCCTGGTAAAACCTTTTGGCTGATTGTTGTGGTATCAAGACATATAAAATGTGTATCATTATATGCAGATTAAATTATGTTGTAGGGATATTGCTGTAAAAATTCAGTTGTTACAATTTTTGGCCAACTAGTACTGTCATTGGTCTTTCAGTTTTCTATGGGGAGCTGTTTTTCACAATTGACTTTTATCATGTAGTCAGAAAACTCAGCACTTAACCCTTTAACTCCCAAGATCTGATTTTAATTCTCCCCTCTAGCTGCATAACATTTCCTTGTAAATTAGTTATGAGAACATGGTGCTAGATCAAGAAATATAGCAGCCTCTACCTGATAATTTTGAATATTCTCATTACCTGTCTGCTAATTAATGTATGGATATTTTAGGGAAAAGTTTCATATTAATCACTTCTGGGAGTTAAAGGGTTGAACAATTAGACTTCATTGGCATTTGTATACAACCCTGAAATTGCATTTTACCTTTTTTTTTCTTTTTTTGCTCACAGGATTAATGCTGTGTCAAATGCCCAGATCAGAGGAGAGACTTATGGCACAGGATGCATTGGACAGACAGGTATCAATAATCATTTATCTAACCCTTCCAACCAGAGAGCTTCAGTTGGTAAACAAGTCTTGTGGCACACAAAAATTTCCAAAACTTTTTGTTGTTGAAATTGTGTGAATTTTTCAGACATCCTCCAATTTGACAGGTAAAAATTGCCCATTAAACCTTTGGTTACATTTAAAACAATGGAAATTTGTGTTAAAATTCCTCTGCTGGTTAACCTTTGAGATCTTCATCCTACAAAATGTGTAGTTAAGATCGAGTCTTTAAGGGCAGATCTAGGGGATGAGTGCAAAGTGTACACTCCCTCCCCTCCCCAAAATGACCTTAGGCTTTCTAACATAACTAGCATTCCACAAAACTTTGTTTAAGTCACTTGTCAGTTACGTCATTCCATAGTGGTGCATCTGTGAAAAATCCTGAATGCTTCCCCAGTCCTCACTAAGTGCTTTCCTGAAGGTTTCAAGTCTTTTGTAATTTTGATTGGTTATTACAGGTGCCAGAGTATGGTTTTTAAATGGTTTCTTATGGCTATTTGGAAGTTTGATTTCTGCTGCCTGGATACTCTTTGGTGCCTATGTTGTTCCAGGTACTGTTACAGTAATGATCTACACAACCTTGGTTGTATGAAAAGCAGTTAGTGATAATTCAAGGTTAATAGTTGTCTCTGGTTTCTCTTGAAATAAAGCTCAATATATTAACCCTTTACACCCTAAGATCAGTATGCATATTCTCCTTACTGTCTTCTATACATTTCCTTAGGTGCTGACAACGAAATTTTGCTTGATAATCAAGAGCTCTTGTACTTGTTGATCATCTCCATTATTCTCATGACCTTAATATTTGATTCAGGGGTGAAACTGTAAGGAGAAATTAGATGCTAGTCACTCTTAGGGGTTAAAGGGTTAATGCTTACATTTTGAGGGGTTTTTCCTTTGCTTAAGGCAAAACTGAAGAACGAAATATATGCAAACTGTCTGTAAAGCTGTAAAACTGATCAAAAAATTGTTGGCTAACACTCACATAGCTTAACTGTGCAACTGAACAACTTGGCCTTGTACTGTATTACAGCCTTTTTTGTTGGTTGAGAGTGAATTACCATTATTTTTTTCAAACTTGATTGGAGGCGTCCCCTTAATAGAGGTTTCCCAAAGGTAAGGTTTCACTGTGACTGCTTTCATTTCTGAAATTTTACTGTAAAAAGTCAGTCATAAAGTTGGTCTATTATTTTCTGATTGTTGATTACTGGCTATCTTTGCACTACATGTTGGCTTTTTAATGTATTAGATTGTTAGGAGAGGATACAATACTTATCAGTGTTATTTTTCTTACAGGAAAAGATGATCCATGGCCTGGAGTAGCAATCTTCCTTCAAAATGCTTTAATATTTTTCAGGCAAGTCAGAACATTGGTTATGAGTATCATGACACACAGGGACACACAGTGGCCTAACAATTAGGGTGCTAGGCTGAGGGGGGGGGAGGTCTGCATCTAAGACATGCTTATCAAGGATTATTCTAGATCCACATTTGTTTCTGAATACAAGTGACCACAAACATCTAGGAGTCATGTGACCAGACTCCAGCAGTCACATTTGCCATTTGCTGTCCACATTTGACCTTTCGGCAAGGTAGTTTCAGTTAGTTGAACTCCCTTGATGCTTTTTTTCTACCTTTTTGAAAGTTCTCACTTATTTCCTATGAATATATGTGAATTGAAGTCTTATCTTAAGAACCAATCCATTTGGGAATCTAGAAGACCAATCTTTTAGCCACATTTTGTGTTTGAAACAAAGGACCCCCATCCTTTCTGTAATTCAACATGGTGGCACACATGTTGATTTTTTTCAGGTGAAAGCCAACGTCTATCTAAAAAGCTAAAAGTCTAGAAATTTCTTATTTCTAACCACAAATTGCTGAGCATGGCTTGACGTCTGTGGTGAACACACCTAATGTAGATCTAAAACCCTCTATTACATTGTGTTCGTGAGCAAGGAACTTTATTTTCAAAGAGTCTCTCTCCACCAAGGGCCCAGTTGTTCAAGGACCTGTAAGCACTTACCCAAGGTTAAATTTTGGTCTGGATTTATTTATTCCTTTACTAAAAAGCCTTTTTGGAATAATTTTTATGTGTTCTTTTAAAGGCATCAAATATTCATATTCCAGACAAAAATAATTTGACTGAATTTTCTTTTAAAGCTTTTAGATCTGAAATCAGATTTCACACTAACCCTGTGTTATCTTAACTCAGCTTTGAACAACCTAGACCCAGGAGTGTAAATGGGTTGTGGTAAATTGAGTGGGAAACTGGACCAAATAGCATCACATCCAGGGTGGGGTAGTAACACTCTTAGTCACTTCATGTGATAGAGACAGGGATAAGTGCAGGCTGGATGAGCCAGTTGGCTCAAGAACAGATTTTCCCTTCCTTTTTTTCACCTTGCCATGAAGCATTTAAACCTGGTCAATTAAAATGGCAGCAATTTTTTTGTTTGTTTAAGTTTTTAAATTTTATCTGCTCTGCCTTATAAACATTTAGCTAAATGAAACTCAGTAACAAAACAGCTAAGGGTTGGTTACAGTTCATCCCTGCTGGTACAAGACTCTGTAAGATTACTCACTGGAGGGTTGTTACAGTACAGAATTTCCATGCTTGCAGTAATTTCTTGAGTGTGTGGTTTAAAACTGAGTGGATTTTTATTTTCTACTGCTCTTTTAGAAAATGGTATATTTCTACAGATCTTCAAGCTTTTTCTCTCAGCTAATAGTTTCTTCCTTTCCTCTGCAGTGCAATTGTGTTCAAGTTTGGCCGTGCAGAGGAGCATTGGTAGAATTTTATGTACTCATCTATTGCACATCTACATTACCAGAGGCTGTAGAGCAAAAAAAAACCATCAGCAGATTTTTGGATACTTATTTAAATTTTGTATATAATTTTTTTAAGAAATTGTTAGGAGGTTTACTACATATCCCAACTAGGGGCTCCCTGTGAACTCAGTGGGATAGGGAAAGGATATTTGTGTGAAGAAAAATTATTATAAATTGTATTGCTGGCAGATTAAGAAAACTGTGAACACCTTAACTATTTTACAGAACTGTGCTAAGTTTGTGGAGAGATTAACACAAAACAATTAAATAATCATGATCACTGCTGCCCACAGTTCATTTACATGTATCTCATATCATAACTGTTTTCTTCCTATCTGGAAGTATTTCTGGTACATTTAGTTTTTGGAAGTTTGTCAGTAACAGAGTTGATTGGTTGAATTATGCTTAAAGGTGTCACCAATGATTTGTTCCATTCAATGAATAACAAAAAAACCAAAGGCAGATATGTATTAACTGTCTTAAATTCCAAAAAATGATGAAATACTGAGTTATTTTGGTGTGTTTATTAGCCATGTTACATAGAACGATAGCTGAGCTTGCTGCTGTAGTTAGTTTCCAGTTAATGTAATTTTCAGAAGGAACACAATAAGTAAGTTTTGTTATGTTCAACTTAGGAGTTAAAAGGTCCTAACTGTTGCATGATCCCTTGCTATTGTCTGTCTAACAACTTATGGTGTTTAAATCTCTTTTTGCTGGAAAAAAATTGGCTTTTTAAGTCACAATATTAACAAAAATTATTGTTGAGACAAACCTGTTCATATTTTGCTTTGAATTATGAATATCTAACAATCTCTTTTCTCATGATGTGTAAGTAATCATCATTATTAAAATATAACTTGATTCTGCTTCAATTGTGATTTTAATAAAATGAAACTGATTGTTTAAATACATTGTTTTGCTGTAAGGTATCCATTCTACATTCCACAGCAAGTCATCCTTTTAAGGCAACAAAACTATATTGCTGGGACAAGCATTTTCAAGTAAATTCACCATGCACGTGAATCAAACTGTTGCTGTGATTCTCAGCAACTTGTTGCCTAAGTGTGTCTCAGCTTTGGTTTAAACACTTGGTGGAAACCAGCGATAAACTTTGACGATGCCGTCGTCCCCTGCAGCTGCAAGACAGGGACCTTGACCATCATCATCAATTGAAACAGCATTGACTGCAGATTTATTTACTTGAAGCACACAGTGGATCTTGTTAAACTGAAATGTAAATAAATATATAAAATGACCATTTGTCAAGCATCTTGGGACCTCATGTTTGAAGAGCCATTAAACAAACTGAAATTTTGGGGTTTTTGTCAACTGTTTTTTAACTATTTAACTCTTAAGCTCCCAAGATCTGATTGTTAATTCTCTCCTGTGGTTTATACACATTTCCTTGTAAATTAGTTACGTGAATTTGGTGTTTGACCATCAGCAACTTCTACCTGATAAGTTTAAGTATTCTCATTACCTGTTTGCTGGATATTGTATGGATACTATAGGTAGAAGTTAAAGGGTTAAGTGAATTATATGTGTCCAGATATTTTGGGGAGAATTTAAATGCTGCTTCCTTCTGGGTTAAGTAATAATATGTAAATGTACCTGATTCCCCCATTTGCCATTGAGGTGGTAGACATACACAGCTCCAGTAGAACTGGTTCCTACAGTGACCAAGGCTCCATGCATGGCCAAACATGTTCCACGTACAACACCAGTAGAACATGGACCAATCACTGGAAAGTTGTTCAAGATGCTGTTGTTTGAGTTATTTTCCCTAGGGAGAATAAGTGTACTCAAACAATGAAAAGATATTGAATTATAAGAGGGGTTGTGCATGTGGATGGCTGCCCCTCCCCTCCCCTCCTCTCTCTCTTCCTCTTCCTCCCCTCCCTGACCAGACCCAAGGTTGTCAATAATCAACTTAGTGGACTTAGTCCATGGACCATTTCTGTTAACCACTTCTGTTTGTCTTTCATTTTAGTGTGAGCCAGCTTAACTTGATTGAGATTGGAATTCATGAGAGACTCCTAAAAGTCTGAGCTACCATCTGCCATTATTTCCTTGTTCTTTCAATTTTTATCCTCAAACAGGTTCCAAAATGAACCAAAGTAAAGACTTGGGGGCAATGAAAAGGCACCTCAGCTTAATAAATTTGGTCGCTTTAGGAAATCTGGGAAGTAAATGTGTGCAGTAATGAAGGTTGCTGGTGCTGGTGGAACTGTATGGCTGTCTTCAATATTGCACTAGGAGATACATACCAAAAAAAGAGACCATTAAGAGCGGTTAGAACAAGCACATTCTGCCCTCTAAGGACAGCACCATGAACTCTGGGTAGCAAAGGGTTGGATGCTTTTAGTCTAATAGATGACAATATTTGTTGATCTGCAATGGACCTGTAAAATAAATTTAGGAAAATGATGATTGTACATTGATATTTAGAATAGGATGATGATTGGCTATTTAAAAAGTCAATCTATTATGAGCTGCAGAAAGTATAGGGAGATGGCAAAAAATATATGTAATAAATAACAGAAAAAGTTACTTCTGAAGAAAACTGTATCATAAATCAAAGCAACTTCTATACAGCTCCTGCCAAGCTGAAGCTGGAAAATCTGTACCCTGAATTGCATCAACTTAGGAAGGATGCAGATTAATCTGTATATATATGTCATAAGCTATCACTTACGACAAAGCCAGCTTGCCATTTACTGTGACATATAGCAGAGTATCAGATCCCCAAAGTCTTGTGTGTTCCACCCAGTCACCTAAATTACTCAGTGTGTAATAACAAGTACAATTACCCTGGAGATAAAAAACAAAAAGTTCTCAGTTTATCCTTTAGAAAAATATTACATTTAATGTGGTACAGACAATGTTGTTGCAATCCAGTAGAGGTAAGGGGACCTGATTTTTGATCTTAGGAGGTTACACTCTAATCACACTGTGCTTGATAAAATGCTCATTGAACTCTCTCTCATGTATGATGTCTCTTGTGGGATTTCAAAGGACTCAATTTCAGCAAATAATTAATGAGGTCAGTCAAGGTTCTGATAAACAAAAAAAAATAACAACAACTACACAAACAGTTAACTAAACTGTGCTAATGCGCCATATCCTAACAGAACAGTCCTCTGAAGCAGAGGCCAAAAATGAGTTGTCTCCAAAACTGACGCAGTTGATGGGACCATTGTGGCCATGACAGGTTGCTACAGCAACACCAGACCCTTCCTTCATGTTCCAGATTTTAACTGAGCAGTCTCTGGAGCCTGATGCAAGAAGATCATGGGGGGTATCTGAGGGATTTTTCCATAGACCTATAGAAAAGCAATACATTGTCATCATTATGATCGTTATCTTCATCATTATGATCATTATCTTCATTATCATCTACAGCGTCATGGGTCTCCTGTCATACAAGGCTCAGAAATGCATTTGATACTGTCTGTTCAGGATCACACCCTTGGGCCACTGTTTAAAACATGGTTGTCAAGAAAAGTCATGCATGACAGCTACACATAATATTCAAGAAATGCACAGATTATTATTAACATTTATTTACATCATTGCAACCAATGACTCAATTGCTTTTAATAATTGACAGGGGCCCATAACCTTGAAGCAAGCCTACATGATGATGCTTTTACCTAAAACTAATCCACGACATTGCTATGGTATACTAAACAAGGAAATTATTCAAACCTGGTGTTTGCCTCAAGGATATGGAGGTAACAGAATCAAGATGGCCTCTGAGAACCATGACACAACATCCTGTCCATCCGTCCCAAATACAAATGACACCATCAACACCACAAGTCACAACTCTGTCCCCAGAGAATTTCACATCCAGGACTTGGCCTACAAATTCGAGAAAACTTTTATCGATAAGTTAAATAGTAAAACAAGAGAGAAAGAATTCTACCATCATTCTGCATGCAAAAGAAGACTTGCAACTTTACGTTGGTCAATTCTAACATTCCTATCCCATCCTTAGTCTATTGTTAGCTGAAAAGAACCCAGGTGCATTAGCCCTTCAACCCCTTTGATTGTTAAACAAATTCTCCTTTTCAGAACCTTAAGAAATTTACAGAGAAAGTATGGAGAATATGCATATTGATCTTAAGGTGTAAAGGGTTAATGCCACTACTGCAGTTGTAAGCAGCAGTTCCCTTAAGAACGCTGACACAATGATCCAGCCAAATTTGAAACCAGACCTCTCAAAAACAGAATCCAGCAAGAAGTGAGACTAACCAGCAGGTTACTGCTGAGACAGTATTTGTTCTGGTTAGTTTTGCTCAACACTATGTGATTATCTACCATTGTTTGAAAGTCCCTCTGTTGTGTTAATTATCGCATTCACCATGCTTCCTTCACTGAAACATTGGCAAGGGTGGGTCCCACATACTGGGCCTTGTTAGAGGAACACCCCTGATTTGGTCCAAGGCTGCCTTCTTCATATTCACAGCTAACCTCTGCAAGGTCACTCTGCAAACTGTCACCTGAGGACCCACTTAGCAAGAGTTTTTACTTTTTCCCAGACACCAGAGACCAAAGATCTCTACTGATCCAGCTGTTTTCAAAGTACGGCAGATACATGCATGATTTTTTTCCTTTCTTAGCATACATTTCCCGTGGCAGAATTGCCTTTGCATGCATAAGGTCTAGTCGAATTCTGCCATACTCTGCAGACTGGCTGCAGAGACAGGATATATGTTTGCAGTTATGGTTTCTGTCATAAGAAGTGACTAAGAAAATTACTACTCTTAGCTTCTTTGATGGGATTCTAATTCATCACAGCAAACCCCAAGCATTTCTCTACACTAGCTGAAACTATGCTTACGGTCTTTTAAGCCCGTAAGCAAAGTCTCAAAGAAGCATAATTATCAAGCTAAAAATGCCGCCGGCAAACACGTCTAACCTGAATGTCCTTCGAGTTCAGTTATCATACAAGGCCATTTTCCAATATGACGGCTTCTGAACCACCTTTGATAAATGGCCTTCCAATCGATGTTGTAGGTTTTCTGATAGCCTTCCTCACCAGCAGCACTTGAATGTCCAAGATGGTTGTCTGAGAATATTGTTCTATCTCCAGTTATTTCTACAAGAACATCGTATCCAATATCATGAACACAAGCTTGTCTCCATAACTGTTTATATTTAGGCTGTGCGTGCAACGCTAGCCATGTGCGGCAGACTTGCCTTGATTTAGCCAAAGAAATCGCGTCTAAATGCTTCAGAATTTCGTCTATAAGCTCCAAAGGTAGTTGAGAGAAGTTCATTAGGTAAATTGCCACACAAATTCTTGTGGGATGCGCTCTCTTCCAGACAGCCGCCTCAACGACGGCATTCTAATGTGCAGTTAAAGAGGAATCAGTGGCTTGCAAATAACTAGTTATTTAATTGAGACCTTCACCAATAACATCTTTCCTGTCAATTTGAAGAACCTTCCGTAAGTGGTTGAAAATTCCACGAGAATGCAGAACCATTTTTGCGAAACAAATTACAATCACTCCGTCATGATCTTCATTTAGTATATACTGATATATGACCACATTCAGAAAATTTGCATACTTCATACTTATTATAGTGATTTGGCTTTTCAACATGACCAAGATACCAACTACATGCGCCCTGTTTGGTCAAAACCCCATCATTTACTGTACCGGTAAAGCCGTCCATCGGTTTTCTGGCATAATAACCCTCTTGAGAAGTTGGGGGGCCATTCGAAAAAATGATTAAGCCCTCGCCTCAGGCCCGTCGTCCAACTTCCTTTGGGTTATAACGCTGAAGTGTATTACTTAATTGTCTGCAATATGGAAACTCGCTACTATGTTTACAGTAGATACAGCTCTCTCCACTGTTTACAGAAGGAACAACCATGTACATTACACATGTCAGTTCCGTCTGATTTTGGGCGACTCCATTGGGATGTTTCGTGCGATTTCGACGAGGAGGAAGGTGAAGGGTGGGGGAGGGGGGGGAGTGGAGCGTGGAGCGTGTTACGGTCCTTCTTTATTCCGATTTTGTATTTTGGACGCTAGCGGCCGATTTTGAGTTTTTTTAGACACTAGTGGCCGATTTTTTATTTTCGACACTAGTGGCCGATTTTAAATTTTGACACTAGGGAGCAATTTTGAATTTTTGATGTTAGTGGCCGAATTTGGATTTTGGACACCAGAGGCCAATTTATTATTTTTTAAGCCAGTGGCCGATTCTGAATTTTAGAGACTAGTAGTCGGTTTTGGATTGTGGAGATTAGTGTCCTATTTTGGATTATGGACAATTGTCACCGATTTTGGGATTTAAATGCTTGCGTTCGATTTCATTTCGGACAATAGCGTCCGACATTTCATTTTGGTATTGATCTGAAGATACAATTTTTTCAGTTCTTAACGTGACACTACAATAGACGATAGGCATCTCAAGACAATTTTACGACGGCACCACCGAAGTGTAATTTAAATCAAAACAATATCAATCCGTGTTTTCTGCACATCATGAAAACTTCGAGGAAAATTTTTCACTTTGAAAAGAGAGCAGTTTGAGAGAGGGCACTTTGAAAGAAAGCATTTAACCGTTTGAATCAGCCGCTTATGCCCAGAAAGGCCGTTAAATTTGCGAAGCGAGCAAGCTGCGGAAAATGGCGGAATATCCTGAAACGCTGATTAGATGAAACAAAAGTCTCAGAAAAATGGAATTGCAATAAAAATAAGAAAATCACGTGTAATGTAGGGCAAAATTTATAAGCAAAACTTACAGAAGCATTGCTTGGTAATTATTGGAACCTAGAGGATACGAGACCTGTAAGGCTTTCGAACTAACCCCTTAATAGGACTGGATGGAGTCTAATTCGGTCTGTAATCATACGAGTGATAACAAAATCACACGACCCCGCAGTGGGAGTCTGATTTGTTTATCATGAGTATGATTACAGACAGAATTGGACAACACGTAGTCTTATTACCAATGAATCATAAAAATTACAATTTCCGAGAAGGAGAATTACCAAGTTATGAAAGAAAGGGAAAATTTTCATTAAAAGACTGACAAAGGCGTAAGTTGTTTAATATCGCTCTAATGATTGAAATCGACGTTGTGATTGGTCGATTTAACCTACAACTTTGAATGTGATTGGCTTATTGAACTGTCCGATAACAAACTGTCCAATAACAACTTGGCAAGTGAATTAGTGGAAAATAGGAGTTTTTTGAAACCAATCACAATCAAGGAAATTGTAATTTTTATGATTAATGCTGTTATCAATCATAACGACTATTGTTAATATGATAATTTGTTACTATTTAATTAACGATTGAACGTCAGTTAGTAACTTTATTCGTGAATTACCTTTCTCTTGTACAACAAGATTCTCATAAATATATAGGATATGGCAGGTTTTCTGTTTTGCATGTGAAAACAACTCTTCGCCAACACTGCCTTCCAGCATCACTATACAACCTCTAGTTCTTTCCAATGGTATAAAAATTGTGCTCTATCAGTAGCCACATGCAGTCTTAAACTGCCTATTTTTACATCACTCTCTTCAAAACGATTTGGCTCCACACATTGATCTTCCCATAAAATACACTATATTACCAAAAAACTTATCATACATAGGGCTTGATGTATCACAATATCTACATTATATAAGATTAATTTATATTTCGGTATGAAATTCTACAAACTTGGTCTATGCAAATTTAGCCAAAATTTGTTAATTACTTTGGAAATTCTGACCTAAATTTTGCGGTTAATCTTTCTCTTCAAAACTCATGTCCCACAGAAGAAGAAAGGAGCAATGGAATCAATTTTTATTCACAGATTATACTACTTTTTTGTTAAGAAAATTTTAGCAAAATACCAGTACATAATCAAGAGATCAATAGACTGCTGTGAGAGAACCATGAACCCGGAAATTACGCAGGAAAAACTCCACCTTGCTAAAGTGGAAGTTGACCAAATCGGCGAGTTATAAAAAATTGTTCGTCACCAATCGATAAAATGAATGAACCCTTTCACTCCCAAGATCTCATAAGTAATTCTCCTTAGTTTTTCCCATAAATTTCTTGTGATCTTATTTCAAAGAGTTTGGTGTTGGATCAATCAATAATCTCCTAGTTGATAATTGTTTTGATTCTCATCACTAATCTGCTTGATACTGTTTAGAAATTGTAAGGAGAAATTCTGTCTTGGTTACTCATGGGAGTGGAAGGGTTAAAAACAACTACCAGCCCTCAAATGACGAAATCGCTTCCATGACAAGTCTGTATTGAAACCTGCTTTAAAACAAAGCGTTAAGTTTTCCCGCTATCGACTTTCCCTGCTGAACATTTTCCCACAATTCATTTTTCCCTGTGGTTTATATTCCCACAGTCATTCAATCACAATTATGTAGTTTTTCTCGCTGTCCATTTTTCTAACGTTACATTTTCCCATAATTATTTTCCCCTTTAGTTTTATTATATCAGAGTTCCATTCACTAAATTGTTTTAGGTTACACTACTGTCAACCTATCGTACACAAAGATAATTTCCTTTTCTTCCGTAGGAATTACAAGCGCTCGTTTTTGCTGACTCTCAATGATAGGATCTTTGATACACTGAATCAGCGAAAACACAACAGCTCCGCAGATGGTCGGAGCGCCGGCTAAGAAGAATAAATTCCGATAGTTGCCTGTTGTTTCACCAAACCATCCTGAGGAACCAAAAAAGAGGGGGTTTCATTCAAATATTGAATCATTCATCTTCAAAATGGTTTTTTTTTCACAGCTCCGACTGCAGCAGTTATGAGACACATCTAGCTCGGAGAAGAGAAACTTACGAACGCCGACCAACTCAGGACCAACTCTGTTAAAATATTAGTCTTACTAGGAAGTCATAAGAAGGAGGACAGCTGCCTGATTAACGAGCAAAAAGGACGTCGAATGATCATTCATGGAAGCTTTAATTTAGGACTAATTTCAACCCCGAGGAAACCGTCCCGAAGAGAGATGGGATACAGAGTCTGGTGAAGTCAGAAACCCGTGACGTAACGCAACCTCATCCCTTTGAAGGGAGACGAGATCAGGACTGAATCAGCCAGGCTAGTTTCTAGGGAGGGAAAGGGCCAAGGAGACGAGGTTAAGTTCACTCTTACCTGCTGCTGGGGCACCAACCAACATAGAAAACGACATGATCATCAACACTGCTCCCCAGGCTACTGACATCTTCTCACGGTCCGTACATTCAAACGTCACAATGGACATGAGCCCGATAAAACAACCATCCAGCAGTCCAAGTACAACCACATATAATACGAGCATGTCATAACCCGCCGAGTAGATAGCGAGAAGAGGAGAAAGTCCGGAAAGAACCATGCAAATATTGTATAACTTTATGGTGTCCACGCGAGGAATGTCCGAGATTTTTCCGAAGATAATCTTTCCGACACCCGAACCAATTCCGATGTAAGAAAGCAAGAGCGAGCCATCCCGATGTGAGGAGCCCATCTCTTCAGCGACGCGAACCTGAAACAAAACCAAAGACAAATTCAGTCAAAGTTGTGACATCAATGATTGAACTCTCCACAATGTTGGCTGAACAATTCTTTCAAGCGGTTTCCGGAAAAATGTAATGAAACCAGTTGAATGAATTCATACGAAGATCTATGAGGTTGACTTCGGAACTGAAAATAAATGTTAAATTGAGTTTTGAAAGTATCGCGACACTTTTTTGGTTCGAATCACCTCGCCCTTTAAATTGTCAAGAAACATCGCCGGCACTCCACTTTTAACTAATCAGATGCCAAGCTAAAACTAATCAAGACTAAGCACCACCGTTTCCCGCGTTCACAATTCTTTGAGTTCTCATCGGCTTCCTGTGATAATTTGCTTCGTTCTGATTGATAGCTTGCGAGCAAGCTCTCATTGGCACTGCGACATGAGCGGCGAAGTCTGTGCGTTTCGAGCGTTTCCAGCTGGTGATCTATATGGGCGCGCAACATAATTTTTTGTAGCATCTCGTGCGACCTTTGGAACTGAATTTTAACTTTTCGCGTTTTTCTCTTCTCTTGTAACATTGACAAAACGCGAGGCAGCCATTTTGAAATTTGGCGTCCTCGCTATAATCACCTCGCGTGAGCTAATTATAGCGAGATATAATGCAATCCTCGACCAATCAGAGCAGGAGAATCTCAGTAATCACCTGAGCATACAAATTCTGGAATAATCACCATTTTCCTTGGACACTTACCAAATGAACATGTGGAATAAAATATCCAAATGTTGCTATGGTTGACGCAACAGCCCAGATAATAAACCAATTATTTCTAGGAAAGCTAAGAAGTTTCTTCTTGAAGGATTTCTCGAATATTATTTCTGTGCTTTTCACAAGTCTGTCCTTTCCGGTCTTTTTCTCGTCCAAAGGCTTGAACAAAAGCCCACAGACGGTTATAACAAGAGCAAGCCCACTCAGAAAACGATAGCAGATTCTCCATCCGAAGGCATCTACGATTACTTGCTGAAGTGGAGCAAGCCCAAGAGCTCCTAAATTGCTCCCAGACGTTGCTATTCCTGTGGCAAAAGAGCGTTTCTTGTCGAAATAGTACGCCACCATTACGAGCGCTGGGAGATAGCTGATACTTGTTCCAAATCCCACAATTATCCCGTGGGTGAAGTAAATTTGATTTAAACTGGTGGCGAACGATGACAGTAAAAGACCAATACTGGTGAGTATTCCTCCAACTATAACAACACGTCTACATCCGTAGCGCTCACTGAGAAGGCTGCCGGGATAGCAAAAGAAGAACAAGGAGAACTGAGCGATGGATCCCACCCATGCTGTTGGAGAAGAAAACACAGTTAGAATTGAGCTGCATCCTACTTTTGCTTGTCTTCCCTAAAATAAAATGTGCGGAACAAGTCCCTCCCTGTACCGTCCCCCCCTTGCCACTAGGTGTGGTCAAATCATAGAACTTGTTGATTGACTTAAACAGCTTACAGGAACGTGCCCCACCATGCGTGCCATCCTATGTCCTTTCTAGGGGGGCTTTGCACGCAATCACGGCAGTAACAAGTAAATTTTCCCGACTAAGTAAATGACACTTGAGGTTGCCGGTATGACCCGGTAGTTTTTCCTACTTTGTTCAGCGGTCCCTCCCTATTTTGTAACAATGCACACATTTTTCTTTTGCTGCCAACTGAAGCACTGCTTTTCTAGCTTTACTTGTGGATTAGTTGGACACTGTGCACCAATAGCACTGATCTTCGATCGATGACACCTCGTTCGACAATCGGTCGAAATTTGTAGACAAGCGACGAAGTGCTGATCAACATTGGGCGATGTTCTACGGCTGGACACCCAAATCCCGCCAAAAAACTGCCCTACAAATCGTTCCGGAAATTATAAATTCATTTTCCTACCGATATCTCGGTCGACACTCGCTCGACAGCCGACGCACTTAGGTTCTTTTCTTCAGACGTAAGCACGTACGTCAGGGAAAGACGATTCTGGAATAGGAAGTCATGACACTAATCTCTTCCGCCAATCAGTAAATAAGCGAGTAGAATAACAAACGTTTATCTTCCAAATCAGAAAGCGGACTTTAAATTTCCCTGTTGCCAAAAAACTGTAAGGACGTAGTCAAGGTCTTTACAGGGTTATGGTTTGCATGTATTTATACTGCCTCGAAATACTTGAAATAACTGACAGTGACTTACACATTGACACCGGGCCAATATATAATTGAATTGAAACAAAACAAAAAATCTCCATGCTGGTAGTAACCCACGCATTGTTAATTTGGAAATATACAATAATTGTTGGGGAACGGGTTTTTTAGCGCAAATTTGAATTTTTATTTTGATCGAGTGAGATGAAAGGCGTGCTAAATCGGTGTAAACAACTATACAAGTGGATCATGGCGATTTAAAAATGTACCGGTGATGTATCACAACTGAATGATCAAATTGAATATTCACCGCGGCAAATTTGTTAACAAGGAGCATTGAATGGCCTAGTTAACATCAAATTTACAAAGCATGACTGCCTACGTGGTTGAATTTCACTGTCCACAAACGATGTAGTATAATAAACTGCAAAAAAAAATTAATAAAATAAACCACTTACGCCTGCTGATAACAACAAACCACAAATAAGTCGTATTTTGGTACCTGTCTTGGCTTTCGATTCCTTAAAGTGGTCGAGTAACGCAGCATATAAGACTCCCACAGTGTAATGCATTCCCAAAACCACAAATAAATCGCAGAATGCCGCACCACAAACAACCCAAGCCCAGCCACCATCTTTCTCTGTGATTTCTGCATCTTTAGCGGAAGGGAACTCTGAATTAACTGGCGCACACGCGGCGATTTCAGTCGTTGAAATACTTTGGTCTCCATCTGTTGGCAGTAGTTTGGTATCATACAAATCGTCTTCAAGTTCTTCTTTCATTTCTATTCGAGTTTACACAGAGAAATACATCTGTGCCTCGCACGTTCTTCGTTCGATTGGAATCAAAATACCCTCCGGTTCGTCTCCCCGCGCGGATAATGGCCGGTAAGTGATTGATAAGATCGTCTGTCTGAGCTGAACTTGTTGACCTCTCCCGTCAGACCCTGCAACTGAGAGATCTCTTTAACCTAAGCTCTTCAGTCTGGTTCAAATGAAAATACCCTGCACAGCTGATGATTCGCTTGTCTCTTGTCTAATATTTATGATCGCCTCGCCCCAACCTCCCTGCTCAGTTGGTATTGGCGCCCATCAAATAACATCGAATCTCATCAAAGCTAGAATTTTTTCAGGTCCCTAGCCTTATCCGATATCCGGTAAATCATTTGATATCAGGGTAAAATTTCCGCACAGCCCCATACTATTGTAAAACAAATCTGTTTTCCCCACGGCAATGTACTGTTTTTGTTATTGTTTTCTCTATCCAACAACTGAATGCATAGTGTAGTATGGGCTGTGCGGAAATTTTACCGATTTCAGTTCGGTTGCCAAGAACGTTTCATTACCTTTCATTAATCGCCGGTTCACGTTTGTTTCACGTCGTCTCAATGTTAAAATAATGGTAACAATCAGGCTGGGAAAATAAACGACGACGACGATGTTCCACAGCGCGGCGGGGTGGTATGAGGGGGGAGGGGGGAGAAGAAGGTCTGGCTGGATGGGGGAGAAGGAGGTTTAGGTGGAGTGTCAAGGAAAATCATCAATGCTCAAACACTGTGCAAGGTTCCAAAGAGACACCCAGCTCATAAAGCTATTAAGATATTTTCTATGAAAAGCGTACCCTGTTTAGCATTATTTACCCGCATAGTACTACTAAGGATCTCTCTCTTCCGACCCCCGACCCCCGACGAAGTGACGTAACATCTTGCGGCAAACACATGACAACTTGCTGTGCGCGGATTAATACTTATGTAATGTTTGTAAGGGTTGGGTCATATCTAATGAAGTCCGACGGAGAAGCCAGCTTCTTATATTAAGGGGAACTGTAGCCATAATATTGATATTAGTTTTGAAAAATAACGATAACAATAACATTAACAATAGTTGCAATCAGTATCAAGGGATTGATGACAGTTATGTTTCGTATTTCGTCGCTGCATTTTTAAATTAACAGAACAATAATATCGTTCGATATCGTTTCGATTTTCGGGAAACTATCTCGAAATCTCTCTGTGAATCAAAGCGGTTGTACGAGAGAAAAACTAGCTGTTTATCCCTTGCTGATTTAACGCAAGATCGTAAAAACATCGACAGACTACGCGAAAGAATCGGCTGGACTCAATGATGCTTTCACAAGAAGACAAACAATATCTTTCTAATGCAAATGAGCTGGACATGTTAATCCACATGACACTCATTAAATATTTACGAGTTTAACAGGGGAGGTGTTTTCTGGTACTGCAAGTCTGTCAATTATTTTTGACGAAATTATTTAAGTTACATTCTCCTTGAATCACAGGAAGACCCGAATATTCAAAGGAAAAGCTTTCACTGGCTGGCAAAGTCTCAAATTGGGTGCACTATTCTTTGTCTTCATAACAAAAGATTTTAATACGAGTACAGCATTCCCATTGGAACTTCACGCTTTGTTTTATAGGAATGTTTCATGTTCCTGTCCAATATTTTACTCCAACAAAGGTCTGGATGGCAATAAAAAAAAAAAAATGTTGTCATAACAACCGTCAGTCAAGTTAAATCTTGCTATCGTGACGAGTCAAGCTTCAGGGTTTTCGTTGGGTCTTCATGTTGGGCTTGAGGATGTGGAATTAAGTTTTAACAAGACTTCTAATGTAGTTCTTTTCCGAGTAGGCCCTTCGTCATAGGGCTGTGCATCCAGACCGTCGAAATCTGTTGACTTGTCGGTACGATGACAGGAACCCGAACTCATCTTTACCAGCGTGGTACATTTCGGAAATGCCGGTTAACTTCGAGTCGATTGGGTTTCATTCTGATTGTTCTTAGCTTTATTTGGGGAATGTATCTCATTCAAGTGCAACTAAATGAAAGACAATCGCAGTCTGAATACTTAAAGGAGAAAATTATTGCATTATCGAAGGAATACATCGATGCAATCGCGAAGGAGAAAGGCTTACATTCATCGGAGTTAGGAACTAATGGTAGGTGGACTTCACTTCCTGCACGCGCTGCTCATTAAAGCAGGTGCCTTATTTCGCTTACAAACAGATTCTCGGCAAGCCTTGCGGTTGTTGCATCTAGAAACGTTCGGCGGAGTAACGCTTTCATCTTTTATTTTCGTTACCGAGTTTCACGGGTTTATTTAATTTCTTGGGAAGAAAATTAGCCTACTAAATATTTCTATAACGCTTTTATTTTTGAGAATGATTATGAAAGTTTCTGTCTTTATCTCCTCTTGGAAATTTCTTTCGCTGTGAAATTGGTACAGTTTCCTGTCGAGATATTTAGAACATTATTCTAACGTGCATTCTTTCGACTTTGCCTTCTTTCGAATTTGCCTTTTGCGCTCATTATACAAGAACAAAGTTTAATCTTCGTGTGTTAGATGTATAAAATTATGAATCTTGAATAGCACAAAAAAAATTGGACAAAAATTGGTTAAATTTAACCTCGATTGTTCGGCATATGATCAAGCGAAATCGAGCGGCATTTTCCCGTGGTTATTGAGGTGCAATAAGATTACTGTTTTGGAGGAATACAACGGTCAATATTTTTATTGACATTCGTTCGTGATCAAATGAATATAGTCGTGGGCGCAAATTGCCTGACCAACATTTCTCATCCAAATAAACTCAGTCACATGGTGTGAACACGCAAACAAAATAAAGGGCTTCCAAGCTTAAATGATAACCATTTGTTTTCTTTCCTGCCAAAACGTTTTGCCATTAATGTACTTTTAATACGCTCAGGCAGAGGAAATGTTGTTTTTGATGGTTTTTGTGTGTTCTGGTAACTGCCAGGGGCAATTACCAAATATAGGCATGCATAGCAGACAAGAGTTATTTTATTGGCTGGGTGAGTCGAGAGGGAACAAATTTGTGTACATAATCTTATGCACATTTTTGTTCAAATACAGTACATCACGCTGAGGTAGTTAGTAATAATGCCTGAACTGGCACAATGTCCTCATTGGGTTAAATGAAGACACAATCTCTCTGGAGAAATTGTGACATTTCTCTGCAATACACCTAGTAAATACAGGCTTTTAGATGGCTACATTTAGATAGCAAGTTTGAAAAGATTTCTGTATAACCCCACAATTTTCTGAAACTAAGCTGAAGTCCTAAAAGCAATAACTCTTTTCATCAAATGTCACATGTGATGAAAACACATGTGACGTGTGTTTTCATGCATATGCATTAAAGCACATGCAATAAAACACATGCATAGAGGTGCACATGCGTGCAGTTCCCATAAGTTTAAGCATAATCTTTGTGCTTGTATCTTACCCAAGGTTAAAAGTGGCATTGTTTTTCAACTTTTCTGAAAAAAGTGCCATTTTATCTTTACTTGTGTTGTTGCTATTGTTCCAAAAAGTGAGAACTCAAAAGTTCTTGACATGTGCAGATATTTGGGGATAATTAGTTGATCCAATACCTAATTCTCTGAACTAATATTACAAGAATTGTATGGTTGACAGTAAAGAGAATTACAAATTTTATCTGGGAGTTAAGGGTTAAGTACATATAGTACCTATAGATCTTTATTAACAGACCATTTCACATGGCTACCTTTAGATGTAAATTTGTTTTCCTATGGTCACGATATCTCTAGTTGTACAGTTTGCTTCTTGAGAGGTATTTTATAAAATAGATTATCTTAAAATACCTTCCACTGATGCAGCACACAGTTTCTTTATAAATTTGCCCCTTTTATAATTTTTTTCTACAGGGGAAGTCGAAGTCCGTGAGATGAAAAAGGCTACTGCAATTCTTCTCCAAAATATGCTATCAAGAATAAAGAATCTTGAGGAACAAGTTGAAAATGTGATCATAAACAGTACATCGGAATTCCAGCATCTCACAAAAGCCATCAAGTCCCTAAACAGAACAATCAATAATATTACAAGAGTATCAGGTTAGCAGGAAACTATTTGATTTTAGGACCTTACAACATAGAGGGCAAAATTACTTAATGCTGATTTCATTAATATTTTGTTAATTTCCACCACAGGAATATTATAGCAGACAGTAAAGACAATTATCAAAATAGGATTTTAAAGCCAAAAGGGTCAAGTAGTCCTGTAGTGAATGAGACGATCTATGAGAGAGTCTTACCTCTAATTGGCCAGTTGATTGCTTGGCCTGCATGTTGGTGCAGTCAGTCAATCAGTAAGTCAGTCAGTCAGTTGGTCAGTTAGTCAGTCAGTCTTTCAATCAGACAGTCAGTCAGTCATTCAGTAAGTCAGCCAGTTGGTCAGTCAGTCAGTTGATCAGTAAGTCAGCCAGTTAGTCAGTCAGTCAGTCAGTCATTCAATCAGTCAGTCAGTCAATCAGTAAGTTAGCCAGTCAGTCAGTTAGTCAGTCAGTAAATAAGTTAGTCAATCAGTTGTGTTTGTAGTATGGTAACTAATATTGCACTGGCTGAAATTGCAGAAGAGGAAGGCTGTTACATCCCAGATAACCCTGCATATCCTGAATGTGGCAAAAAAGTAAACGTAAGTATGTTGCAACTGTTTGTTTTACAGAACTGCCTTGAAAGAGGTGACTCTTAGCTGTGCAGTTGATCATACTTAAAAATCATTTGCAGAGAGCAAAGTGAATACAGTACAATTAATGTATGGTCCTGAGGGAAACAGTTAGTTTTGTTCTCCTGAGAGTCCTGATGTTTCCCGAGTTGAAGTTGAGGGAAAACAAAACTAACTAGTTTCCTAAGAGACAATAAATTAAGTACTTTGTTATATATTTAGACTTTCCCTTAAACAATCATATGGCTAAAAAAAAAACAAACATGCTGTTGTATTCAGTGTGTGGGCAATAATTGCACAATTGTATCCCAGTTGGAATACATTTGAATTTGATCAAGAATCAACCAATCACAGTGCTCATTTTGTGGAGTGAAAGTCTAGATATCTAAGAATGTTGAATAATCCAGAAACGAAGTTGAGGGATTATTCAACATTTATTCATTTATTGAGGCATTAAAATTTATTGTAGACTTGCTCAGCTGCGCCTCACAAGCCCACAACATTTTGACCAATGCGATGATGAATATTATTGTCCATAAGAGTACAAACCAGGCTAAACCACCGTCAATTTGTTAATTAGCTTTTTGCTATCTAGTTTTAGTGTATATGAAATTTGTTTTTTTTGATAGTGGATTAGAGAGCACTGGAAATCAGACCCGAAGTTTATTAAACATGGTGTGAATGACAGTTTATGTTCTATCCTCAACTATCTCAGTGAGGTATGTCGCAGATTTGTTAATTCTCTTCTCTCAATTGCATGTTTGGTAGGATTTATCTTTATTAATGAAACTCATGTGGACAATGTGGCTGGAAATTACCCTGGCAAGCTTACTTCTTTTCTTGCATCTTATAGACTTTAACCCAGTAAACTCCCTAGATCTGATTGTTAATTCTTCCTTCTAGCTGCTATACTTCTCCTAGAAAATTAATTGTGAGAATTTGGCATTAGATCAAGATATCAACCTCTTAACCTGAATGTTAAGTTTGAGTATTCTCCCAACCTGTTTTCTGGAGAATCTTTGGATACCACAGGGAGAAGTTACATGTTAATCTCTTCTGGGAGTTAACCTTGTTGTAGTCCATCTCAGTGCAATAATTATAAACAGTTACAGCTTATTTATTGATAGGAGTGAAAATTAAGATAATTTTCTTGAATTGCAGGTTGAGCATTGGTGTCCCAGAGATTATAAAGGTCATAAAAGAAAATCAGAGGTGGAGAAATGCGTCATTCCATCTGATCCTGCCTTTCCACACTGCAACGAAAAAGTCCAGGTATGTTATGATATTTTGTTAACATTATAACCCCTAAGAGTCTCTAGCTTCCAATTTCTCCGTACAGTATCACCCTTGAATTAAAAATGAATGTCACAAGAATAAAGGAAATGATCACCAACTAAAGAAGCTCTTGATTGTTCGATAAATTCTCCTTGTCAGCAACTTTGGAAGTGTGTAGAGATCAGTATGGAGAATATGCATACTGATGTTAGGGTGTAAAGGGTTAATTGCACAGTGTTTTACAGTATATGGTCAAACCAGGAAGCGACATTTGATTGTGTACTTCAATTGTCTTATATGGTAAGAGTAGTTGTGCACAAGGGAGTGAGGGAGGAGGGAGGGGGGGGAAGAGAGAGACAGAGACAGAGACAGAGACAGAGACAGAGAGAGAGGGTAATAGAAAAAATTCTTGGTTTAGTTTTAGAGAAGTGGCAAAGATTTCTGAGTTAAAGAGATATATCATTTATTTAGACCATTCAGTTGAGGATGGTCCTGAAAAGTGCTGTCAGTTGTAGATCAAAATGACTGATGTTTCAACAACCTGAACAAAGGTCATTGTCAGGATCTTGTTTTTTGTTTCAGCAGATTGTATTGTGGGATTGCCCAGGGTTGCAGGATTGGGTTCAGCGGGGGAGAAGGGTAGAGACCACAAAGCAAAGGGCAGAGGCAGAGCCAAATTAAAAAAAAAAAAAAAAAAAAGAAATAATGAAATGATAGAGTTTATGTTTACAGGGTATTTTGGGCCTAACTTAGACTCATTTAAGCCTGAGCTTCAAGGTAGTGGTCAATATGACTCTGAGAATGACCCAAAACATATTTATGCCCATGAAAATAAACTCTTCTAGTATTAGCATCACTTTGGAGAGCGTCAAGATTATAAGAACTGAAAAATGCCAACAAGACAGTCTAAACAATCATGCAAGGGCGCAAGAAGGCTGAAATGCATTTCTGCCTGCCAAAATCTCCATGTTAGTCCGCAAAATGCACCACATTGCTGGACAAAGTTATAATAATGTGTTTTTTGTGGTGCTCAGTTCTCTTAATGTTTCATATTATTGCTGTGTGTTCAGTGGATGCAGAACTTCTGGCAATCAGACATGAAGTACGCCGGTCACGGGGTGGATGGAAGTCTTTGTTCATTTCTGAAATATCTGAGTGAGGTATGAATATTTATTGATATTAATAAATAAATGATAATAATATGTGAGGAGATATTATTGATACATTTCTGGCTCTGTTGTGTTAATAGTAACTGAGACATCTGCTTATGACATGATTTATACAGAATGTGGCAGATTGCAGTATAAAGAAATTTGAGTTGAAAATGAATCAAATTAAGATTCAAGGCAGCTGAGTTTAATTGTGATTTTGGAGGGGTTTAACGCAGCAGTTATTCAAGTGCAGGATTCATTTTCAATCATTTTTTTTCTTAAGTAACTGAATCACTGGTGTTTTTTGGTGTGATGTCTCACTTTCCTCTTATTAATTTCCCTGGATAGTGTAGATTGTTTAGTTGTACTTTAATTGTATTGGATCAGTTGATCCAATACCAAATTCTCCAAAATAACATCATAAGAACTGTGTGGCAGGCTACACAGTGAGGAGAAGTGCTAATGAGATCTTAAGAGTGAGAGGGTTAACCCATTAAAACTTAAGAGTGCTTAGCATGTAATTTCTCCCCGTGATATCACCCCTGAATCAAACATTATGGTCACAAGAAGAAAGGAAATGATCAGCGACTGAAAAGCTCTTGATTGTTAAACAAATTCTCCTTATCAGCACCATAGGAAGTGTGCACAGAACAGTATGGAGAATATGCATACTGATGTTAGAGTGTAAAGGGTTAACAGTCAGGAGTCACAGGGCTAAACATCACCTCTTGTTACTGTCTCATCAGGTGGAGAATTTCTGTCCCTTACGTAATGGTGGACATGTGAGTAATGACTGCGAAATCCCAACTGACAAGGAGTTCCCAGAGTGTCCCAGCAAAATTGCTGTAAGTTTTCAAAGCTGCTACTGATTCTATTTAATATATGTGCTTCAGTCAATCCTTATTAAAATTGCCTCCTACTGCGTGATGTATTAGTAATTGGTATTTAAACATGCCAATATTGGAATTGTTTGGGATGAATATTTATAAATACTTTTTTATTTATATCTAGTGGATGAGGCAGTTCTGGAAAACTGATAAGTGCTACAAAGAGGACCATGGTGTCAATGGAAGTATCTGCTCTTTTATTATTTATTTAAGTGAGGTAGGTATTTGCAAATGTGTGTTGCATTATGATAGGGTGTATGGTTTTTTGTGTACAAGTTAAATAAACAATAGGCCACACTTTCCTATAGTTTACTGGTGTACTAATCCATGTGGAATTTTAGAGGAACACAAGAAACATGTGTAACTCACTAGCTGGTGGCAATGATGTATTTAACCCTTTAACTCCCAAGATCTAGTCAGTAATCTCCTTACTGTCTGCCATACTGTTCTTGTGATGTTAGTTTGGAGAATTATGTATGAGATCAACTTATAACCCCCTGACTGATATTTTTCTTTATTCTCATCACTTGTCTGCTTGTTATTGTATTGATATTGTGGGGAGAAACTCTCCCTTGGTCACTGACGGGAGTTAAAGGGTTAGACTTTTCTCATGCACACTCAACATTATAAGTGCGTTATTTTACCAGTAAACTGATAGAAAGTCTGTTACTTTTGTAAGATAAACTTTCAATTTTCTACGGGTTTCCACTGCAACAAGTCATAGGTTTTTGACCAATCAGGGTGCTAGTTGTAAATAAGCATCTCAATTATTTCATAATGTCAGGTTACGGTAAGTCTGGAAATATGACAGTGCACTGGGAATAATTTTTAACATAACTAGTTGCATGGTAATAGTGTTTGGAATATAAATTCAGATGTAAATTTTTAGGATGTTTTAGCACTAACTATTTGTAACTTTTTCTTTGATTGTCAGGTGGAGAGATGGTGCCCTTTATTGCCAGGAAGAAGAGTGCCAAGTGATTTACCAAAATTAAACCTATTGGCTGTGAGTTTGTTGACATTGAAAGTGATCAGTTGATTGGATCTAATTTCTAAGATTTTACTGATATTTTAATGTGTATAGGATACCTCAGAGACATTTAACCCTTTAACTCCCAAGATCTCATTAGTAATTCTCCTTACTGTCTGCCATACAGTTCTTGTGATGTTAGTTTGGAGAATTTCATATTGGATCAACTTATAATCCCCTAACTGATATTTTTCTTCATTCTCCTCACACGTCTGCTTGATATTGTAATGATATTGTAAGGAGAAATTCTATCTTGGTCACTCACGAGTTAAAGGGTTAAGTGTTTCTTACTTCTCATCTGATCATCATTAACCCAGCTGTCTTACATTTCTTATTTTATGTCTTCTCATCACCATTCTGCTTGAAATTATATCAACATTACAGGGAGAAATTCAGTTTTGATCATTCCTGAGAGTGATTGGGTCAAGTGAACTTTATAAAATTGTCATCACTTCATGTGAATAAAATCTAGATATTAGCTCCACAGATTGGTTCACTTGGTTTGCATTTATGTTTTTTTTTCTTTTATCCTGTTGGCAGGATGTCGCAAGGACAAATGTACAAAGCCTTCTGAATCTCTTAACGGATGAAAAAGGTCTGAAATTTCGTTGGATTAAAGCGAGGATTGTACAGATGTGGCCTCATTGGCAAACAGCATTTTCAGCCTTAAAAATCAAAAGAGATTTCTCAAAAACAGTTAAAAAGAAGGTAAATGAATTTAAGCCTGGTTACAGTCAGGAGACATGCCGCAACTTGGCACAGGCTCTCAATGACAATTCACTTTTCATCACTGAGACAGTGATGAAAATCAATTAAACATGTCACACAAATTTAAATTTGCTGTTAGTTGGTAGTAGTTTGGATTTATGCCTTGATGGTGTTGATAAAGTGAGTCAGAAAACATAAGTCGCTTGAAGAAGAATGGCAGAATGTAGTCGAAATGTCGCGATCCACATCCCAAGTGACCACATCTTGAGGCAAATGATTATATTTCTCTTTTGAAAATGAGTTGGAGTGTCGCGCTTTGAGGAGTTCCTCACAGAAAGCTATAACAGTAAGATTTTAACCTTGAGTGTACATCTTTGGTCACCAAAAAGTTGAGCTGGGAGTCCTGCAAGGCAACCAATAACTTAGGACAAAATGGATTGAATGAAGTTGTATAACCAGTAAATTCAAAGTATTTGTTTAACTAAAGGTTGGATACCGGACACAGCTCCAGTATTTGTAAAAGAAACAACAGCCATCTGGAACTGGGTGGAACGTGGCTTTGCAATTCAAACTCCTGGATTGTCACCTGAACCAAAATAGTTATCGTTTTTATTAACTTCGCCTTTCAGATTTTAATCCATATTGGACTGTTGTCAAATGAAAACAAGCTTCACTTTGCCGAAGAGGCTGGCAAAGGTGGTCCGTTAGGGGAGCTGGTTCAGTGGAGTGACTTGATAACTTCCCTTTACATCCTTGGACATGATATCACAGTCACTGCTGATTTGCTCTCTGCAACAAGGCAAGTTTACTCTTGAACTCCCATGATCCAATTAGAAATTCTCACCCATTTTTCATTTCATCATTTTCTTTAAAATCAGCTAGGATTTTTGGCAGCCTGTTCTTTTATATTTTATAGTCCAATTGTAAGGGTGACGAGAACCTTTTCTACAGGCGGCTTTGCCCGTAAAGAGGCCGTAAATTGAAACCCAAACGCGAGATTAAGCTCGCAGTCTAAACAGAAGGTAGTAAGTAAAGGTATCTTACAGGTGGCCATAGACCACTGGGAACTGGCTTGAATGAATTCCCTGCAAGTCTGCCCCTCAAGACCTTGTTTCCTCTTGCCAAACTGAAGACACAAAATAAAGAGATCTTAAACTAAAGAGATTTTTACTTGGTTATAACCTATAAAGTGCATTCTTCTTTTTCTTTCACTAGCCTGATTGGGAATATTGTCAGCAAGAAGTTGTGTCCCCAGAAATTGCCAAATGATGTGGATCTTTTGTATACAGATTACATTGGCCTCAAAGAACTAAGCACAAAAATTGGTACTCTGTCTCCACAATTCTTGTAAGTAGTGTACAACCTGTTATGAGTTGTTAAATATAAGAGATTTTCTTACTTTGGCTATTCATGTAAAGGGAGGAATTCTTTCTGTTTTTCTGAAGGTACGAGTGATCACTCGAAGAAAAAAACCTCATTACTGTTCTTGGCATCTTCGTAATTTTGTTAAGAGCTCCTTTATCAAACCCTCCATTACTTTAAAATTCCTACAGTGGTGTAGTTATTCAAAATAACACTGCCTTCCTTTTCACTGTTAAGTATTTGCAACCTTTCAAGAATTTGACGCTAAAGCAATAAGTATCTGATTTTTGACACTAGTGTCCAATGTAGTGTCCAATTTTGGATATTAGCGTCCAGTTTTTGACTCCAGTGTCCAATGTTATACAGTATGTCCAATTTAGACACAGTGTCCTATTTAAGATGCTGGTGTCCAATTTTAGGCACTGGTGCCGGATTTGAGACTGTTTCATCAGGGTTTCTTAGCAGAAGGAAACTAATGAAAGCAAGGGACTGGGGGCCGTAGGAGGTGTCCGACTTTAGACAATACTCACGCTACTCCAGAAGACTTTACACCGCTAACTGTACAATCACTGTTATCAGCTATGAATCATTTTTCAAACGGTCTTATTCTGGTAGTATCTTTTTTTCGCTCTCCTTCTTCAGGAATCCCAACGATATTGAACCTTTCAACTTTATAGAACCAGAAATTATCTCGGAATAAGAATTTCCTTTACTAGCGTAAGCAAATGGACAAAATGTGCGGCCCTCTTAGCAGTTGACCTGATAAAACCTTTCTTTGGCCAGACCGGACTTATTTTGAGCCCAGAATCAGACCCTTACGTCACCCTCGGTCAAAGTATGTAGAATATATCATGATGTCAAAATAGAATGTTGTCTTTTTCTTTTCAGGTGCAAACTGCGTGTGGTGGACTCATTTGGAACTGAAGCTCAGTTCAATTTTAATCTTTACAAGGAAAAACTCCCTGGAGGATCTGTAGCACCATTTGGACGATACAACTTAAACTTGCGGCAATTTCAGACCATGTTCCGTAAGTTTCTTTTTACTCGGAGAATTTGGGAATTTTTCTGCAATTTTTTGTATTCCTTTTTTAATAGCGTGTGTAAAAAAGGAGTTGACGCAATAAATTTGATCAGGTGTTGCAAATGGAAATAAATTTTTTTATCGGGATCAGTACTCCAAGATGTTGTTTAAGCAGGCTTAAGATTCCAGGGGTCCTGATTAGAATTCAGTTTCTTTTCAGGCTCCAAAATTTTCGGCTCAAATCAACATTTTCCCTGTGCTGTTTGCCGTTTTGGAAGCGCAATGATTTAGCTGCAAAGTTTTATACTCAAGTACTTGACATACCTGCCTAACATATAATATCGAATGCAAAGCCGGACTTAGTGCAAAAGCAGCTACAGATGTGAGATCAAATTGAGCTATTTTACCAAAAGAATGTCTGTCATTCCTCTAAGGTCAGCCAACTGGATGCTGGATCTTCGTAAGTTTTCTTTTTGTGATGTGTTTTCTTTCGTCCACAGCCCACAGTCCAGACAACACATTTCTTGGCTTTGTTGTGAATGCTCAGCCACCAGTAAAAAACACGGTCAGAAAGTCCAGAAGAAAAGCAAAAGCTCTCGTCTATGGAAAGCATGTCAACATGTGGAAGGTAAGGACAAAAAAATGTAATAGAGTACCTTCCAGAAGATTAGCACTGGATATTTCGATCAAGTGCATGCATTCCCTGAGCTGCTGACAAGGAGAGTTTTTTTTACAATCAAGAGCCTCGTTAGTTGGTGATCATTTCCTTTATTCTCATGACCTTAATGTTTGATTCAGGGGTAATATTGCATGGAGAAATTAGATGCTGGCCACTCTTAGGAGTCAAAGGGTTAACTTCTTCCTCTCAGGCTCTAGAGAAGGCTTCAATTGAGCGTCCTTCGTAGATTCCAGTATTTCTTTGGTTTTGCTTTACTTCGTTATGTGATTGGTCAGTAAAACTCCTGCAATCCTCGCCACCAGTTTGATTCTGTATGTTTTGTTTTTTCGTTGCATTTTTCAAGGATGTAAAAGATAAAACCTTCCTCGAAGTCATAAACAGATACGTGGAAGTGCACGGCACTGTCGGGGGAGGGGTGAGTGTTGTTGCTACTTAAAATGGCCGATTTCTCATAACAACGGTAGACAAAAAAAAAGGGGCTAGTGACACGCCCTTATTCGTGGAATATGACTTCGCACAAGTGCACTGAGCACATTTCCATCCAGAACAGCCAATGAAATCTATTTTTATAGATGGCAGTGTTTTTTCAGCTCTTTACTCTGATCACGTTTGCAGTAACAGTGAAAGTGAAATTTTGTGAAGATTTCTGTTTCACTGTTAACATTTCTACCCGTCTTCTTCCAAAAATGCTTAATTTTTTGTGATAGAGCTGCTAATACGAGCTGCTTCTGAGTCGCCTAAAATTTGTGAATGCCTCAGCGCTTCATTGAGGAAATAGACCTCGCTCACCGTGGAGTCTCTGTGGCTCAGTGGTAGAGCATCGGAGCGCGGAATCCGAAGGTCTGAGATTCGATTCCTCGTGGGGACTCAGAATTTTTTCTTTGTCCCACGCTCGTGACAAGACGGAAAACAACTATCTTTATTTATTTCTTTACCGAGCTCAAAATTTACCATCTCTCTTATTTCTATCTAAATTTATATTATCAATGTATTAGTTTGTGAGGTTTTTTCCTTTAAATTTCTCCTACACTACAGAATTCGAATGACATTGCAAGCCATTTGCCAAGTTTTGTGATAAACCATGGTGTGGTTACTCCAATGGAAGTGCAGCAGCTCTTGAACGAGTCAATGGTATCAATATTTAGCTTCTTTTAATCGAGTTATTTGCGCTGTGTGCGCAGGATTCCCGACAAAAAGGTCTGGGAAAGAAACTATTCTCACAGTTCCTTTCTTTCACATGAGAGTTCCATCGAACAGCAAAGGAAAACAGAATTATTGCTCTATCATTTACTGTTAATTTACTGACTTTTTGTTGTTGTTTTTGAGAGGAGGGTAGTTTTCATAGTAGTGAACGTCTTCCTTAAATGGAGGTTGTCATTTTAATTTTTGTGAGATAAAAAACTTGTTTATCCTGTTTTGCAGGTTTTTGTGGGACTTGGTTTCCCGTATGAGGGACCTGCGCCGTTGGAAGCAATAGCCAATGGATGTTTCTTTATAAATCCGAAGGTAAGTAAGAAACTAAGAAACACTTCTGATGAATTTCAGGTCTTGTCTCATATTGCATTTTCTTTGTTTATTTCATTTGAATTTTCATTTTATTGTGATTGCCAAGTAATGTGTTTAAAACAATCTTTTCAATTCACCACTGCCTCTTTTTTTGTCTTTTCTAGTTTATTCCACCGAAGAGTCGGGAAAACACGCAGTTTTTCAGAGACAAGCCCACGCTAAGACAGGTAAAGAAAAGAGTGTGGTGTTTATTACCAATGATACCATCTGCGTCATCTAAAAAGTTGAAATGTCAGGGTAATCCTGAGGTAATGAAAAATATTTTTGGCTTATGTGCAGCAATCTTCAAATATATCCAACATCGTTTGTCATTCGCCTAATCCATCTGTTACACCCGACATCTTCGCCGTATGGTGCTCTTTTGGCCAAATTCACCCTTCTTGTTTTACTTTAGAGAACCTTCATATCTTTAGGGAAAGAGAATTTTGTGAGTTAGAGAATCGATAAATAGGAAATTTAAACGCCGGTTTCACTCGCTTTTCCAATAATCGTTGTATCAAACCTGTGGAAAAAATGCAGAAATCTCTTTTTCAATGTTAATGGGATACTTTCACTCTCGTATAAAAACGCTCTGAGGCTAGAAGTTGAGTTGTTCAATTTTTTCTGTTTACCTCATTGTGTTGGTTTTTTCATTTTAGGTGACTTCGCAACATCCCTATTGCGAAGAATTCATCGGCAGCCCGTATGTGTACACCATTGACATGAAAAATGTGTCAGAGGTTGAACGAGTCATGAAGGAAATTATGCTGAAAGAAGTCGAACCTTACTTACCTTTTGAGTTTTCTCCTGAAGGAATGTTAGAAAGAGTTAGTGCGTTGGTTCAAAATCAGGTACTTGACCGATTTTTCTTTTATTTTTGTTTGGCTTGTTGCCGACGTGTTCTTCTGAACGGGATTAGGAGTCGAAAGATCTCCCGTGGTACATAAATTTAACACATTTAATTGACCAAAACATTCGACAAATAGCTCATCAGAAACAAAATGGCGGCTTCTCTAAACCTCGTGATCGCAATACTACTCTTGCGCATGCTTTTGACGTAATGGGCCACAGACTAGTTCCTAGTCCTTCTAGACAGTGTGTTCAGTTAGTAAAACAGAGTGAAGTGGCAAACTGCGCGATAGCAGTGGCAGAGCGAAAACGAGGGAGGTTTGGATCGAGTCGCCTCGACCTAAACTTCTCTTTTTCACTCCTCCGCTTCTATTACGTCGTTTGCTCTCGCGCTTCGTGTAACTAATTGAACGCCTGAAATAAGCTAATTTTCGTTTGGAGTTAACGAGCGAATTCGGAACAATAAGAATTATATCTTGCAATATTTTTGTGGTTCTTTTCTTTCAAGTCACCTAGAAGAGCAAGTGATTACTTCTCTCTTACATTCTAATCAGTATTCTTTTCTTTCCGCCGATGCCTCTGTTCGTTCTGGTAGAATTTCTGTAACCATAAAAATTGGCCTCCTGTAAAAGCCTTGGTAACTGTGAAAGGAGAGGCTGGAAAGTCGTGCAAACAAGTTTGTCTTTCTAAAGGTACGGAAAGAAAACTATAATATAGGTTGTAAACATTTTATAGCGGTTGGGACAACGAAAAAAAAAATATCTGTACATCGAACTGCAGAATCGGTAGGCCGAATGGTTGTATCATGATAACATTAACCCCTCCCCCCATAAGGCTCTGCAAAATTCTTATGAACCCCCCCCATTGTCAGTTTATTGGCTGTCAATTTTCTATGCCCCCCCCCCGTTTATACTCTGTTGGTGACGACTGATCTCCCTTCCGACCCCTCTTAGGCAATAAAATAATGACTATTCCCTCAGGGCTGAATCTTCGTTGGTACTTCGTGAGTCTTCGTGGCTACTTCGTGATTCTTCGTGGCTACTTCGTGATTCTTCGTGGCTACTTCGTGATTCTTCGTGGCTACTTCGTGATTCTTCGTGGCTACTTCATGATTCTTCGTGGCTACTTCGTGAGTCTTCGCGAGTCCTAGTGAGTTTTTCTTCGTCCCACGGTCGTGATGAACGGTCTTATAATATCTTTCTCTGTAGCTGTTAACGGAGCTCAAAATTTCCTAACCTTAGTTTACTTTCTTAGTAGTGTTTGCATGTTATTGAATAGTCAAATGGCAGAAATAAACGGAAATTATATTTTTTTCCCAAATTTAAATCTGACTTTTTTTATCATATTAATTTTTTTGTTACATAGGTATGGTTTGCGAACCAGAATTCTTCAAGGCAATCAACTCACGCACCTCACTTACAGAGTAAGTGCTGATCTTTTTTTTTTATTTATAGATCACTGATAAGTGGAAATTGATCAAGACCTTTTTCCATATGGCACACTCTGATGTACTTCGTTTGTAATGTTGTAGTTTGGTGGTATCCTGTATGGGGGAGTTCTTACTCACGAGGAGTAATGTGCCAGTCCACTCACACAAGACCTAATTCAGAATTGTTTCTCATATTTTTGTTATACCTTTTTGCGAAAACGATTGGTGAGAATTTGTTGATTAACCTGTGGTTCAGTTATTTCCACGATCTGTGTGCTAGTGTCAGAGCTAAAAATCTGCTCAATGAATATTGTCAGACATCACCTTTACTTTATTGTGTTTAAAAATCTAGAACACTTCAGTTATTTTTTTGTCGTTGACTCTGCACTTCAACTTTTAGTGTTAACATTACTTATTTCACATGTGGGGTGATTGTGTGACTCAGTGTTAATTGCGTGACAGGAATGGTTTTCCATGTAACAACAGCCGTCTTGAGGAAGTACCATCCCTCATCGCGCCAGGTTACCGCGAGGAGCCTAGAGCCTGCATTGTCCAGACCCAATCCCTTTTGTTTAGCTGCACAGGAACGAGTCCGTCAACTATGCGTTTATGTCCGTGTAGAAAATACAAAAAGGGACAGGTAGCGCTATGTGAAGACTGTTGATGGAATGAAATCTGTAATTTCGTAACGATATATTTATAATTAATATTTTCAAATTAATTTGATAATATGTTAAGTAGTTTTCTAAGATTATTTCATAACTCCACTTTTATCTGGTATATTTATATATTATGCTTCATACGTTGAAATGTTAAAAAAATCTTTTGTAAATTTTCCTCTCTTGACTTTAAGTTATTCGTTCAGTCATCATGTGAAGTTAAAACTTTCGGTTTTCAAAAGGGATAAAATGGATGAATATGTAAAATAACGTTTTCTGTTGCAACCATTGGTCAAACTATGGGGTAGGAAAAGACTGGTAAGCAACCATGGAGCACCATTAGGCACCATGGAGCACCATGGAGCACCATGGACACGATACGGTTCATGCGATATTTCCTGTTGCACTTGATTGGTCAAAAAATCACAACACAGATGAAAGTGAGGAATATTCCCTGATATTTCAGTTTTATACATGTACGTGCACTTTTTCATTTGTTTAAATTTGTAAAAAATATAATATATTAAGGTTACGAGGAGGTGTACGTTGAGAGTTTTAGTGTAAATTCTGTTTAAGCAGTTTTTTTAAGGACAGGGTATTTGCAGCGAAGCCCTTTGAATGCCTGGTTATACATTACCAAAGAGACCTCGTTAGCTTGTATGTTTTGTTTACCCATTTCAGGTCTCATGGGAATTCCCAGCTTTACCTTTTGTAAACTATGTGTTCATATGCGCGTAAATAAGAGGAAACTTTGTGGAAACGGTATTCTTGAGTTTTGTCACATGACCTGAATGGATAAAAAAGCATTCAAGCTAACGTGTTTTTGGATCTTGCTTATTAATGTGAGTAACTGTACTTAAATGTAGGTAAATCCACAGATGTATGAAACCTAAGTCAGCAATGTAAGTAAGTAAACAAGGTTATTAAATACTTTTGTAAATATATTTTTTTTCTTGTATAGTGAATTTAATAATATTTCTAAAAAGTTAATGAGCAAATATATTGTTAAGATAGATTTTAAAAAAGTGACATAATAACCCTTGGTAAAGAACGTGTTCTGTCGGTGTCTACAATCTTGTCTCTTTTTCTAAAGCATATGATATCCTCAGACAATGTAAATATGTGTAATGTGGTCCCTGTTTCTATTTACAACCATTGAAAGTAACAGCGTGTCACTGTACTCGGTTTTAAATAACTGCAAGCGTGCAAACCACTCTCCTCCCTCCACCCCTGACAAAAAATGTATTGATCCTGCGGTCTGCGTACCCTGGCGTGGATAAGGAAAGAATTGATCGCGTTTATCAGTCTTTCCCTTCCCCCGTCGGTAGTGTTTTAAACCGAGTAGCGGCTTGTGTCTGATTTGCCTTCAATGGTTGGAAAGGGTAAATAATGTTATATTTAACTTATTTTCAGTTGTAGCATTTGATTAGAATAACCGTGTATCCAAATGTTGTGCCTTTGAAAAAAAAGGCTCTGTTTCTAGTAAACTTCATTTAAAGAAAAAGGGATCATTTAAATTGTTCGATATTTATTATTGTTGTTTAATTAATTGCGTGAAATCTCTACTTGTCGGAATATCAAACACATCTTTTTCTTAGGGAAAGAGCTAAGAGGACCATGTGGTGTATAATTATCTCTCTGGGCTCTCTCTTGTTCGAAAGAAGTTTTCAAACTTTCATAATTTCTCTCTTTCTCTTTTCCATTCTTCGCCAGCCCCCATTCCCTCCCCCATCCTAATATTTCGAGAGATATGTTCGGGTCTCCTCTCTGTGGCATGCGCAGTCGTTGCTCGATCTCACGAGGTTCAGACACAAGTGAGAGGTCTCTGGCGACAACCAGTGGCAAAAAATGTCCCAGTAACTTGATTTGCAGTAGAGAAAACTCCAAAAAATTGAAAGTAAGAAATTAGCACTTTTCCTAAGCCACCCCGAGAGAACCGGATTTATTTTGAGACTCAAAATTGTTTATCCGGTGTGCTTGTTTGTTTACCTGTGTGTTTTAAAACACTATCAGTCCACGAACTTAGTTTGTATTGCCTTGTTTACTTTTAGAGACGATGAATGACCGTTTCCTAGTTACTGAGATCCTAGTTCAAAATATTTCTTTTAATACACGTTGAAAAATGGAAATCAGTTGAACAACTCGGTTCATCGACCAATGTTCTGTTGTTAAACTTCAAGTCAAGATGTTTCTGATGGCAGGAAAATCGAAGCAATGACGATAAGGGTATGGCTTCACGGTGTCATCTTTTTTGGACATTGTTTTTCTTGGTTATACTGGAAGGATTGTTTATAGGGACTATAACGAATTGGCCCTCGCTGTTTGAAGCACCAAACTCCAGAATAAAAGAAGCTCTCTATGTGAATTCACCTGAGGCGAGTGCAGCTTATATTTTTCAAAGAAGACGACCGAAAAATATCCGTCTCTTTGTAGCTATTCTAACGCACGCGTCCCGTAAAGCAAGACGGGACGCCATTCGAGATACGTGGTTCACTGAGTGTAAACTTAGAACAGACGAGGTTTTTTGTGCGTTCTTTACTGACCAAGCGGGCTTGGAAAACGAAACGAAAAATGCTATTTTACAAGAACATGAAGAAAACAACGACCTGATTTTTCTTCAAGTCGAAGGTGAGTGGGTTGATTCGCTCATAAAAATTGTTGTTTTTTTTAATATATTAATTTTCCAGCAATATAACTGGCGATAGGCTGTACTTATAACTAGATTTTCTTCAAATTCCTTGTTGAAAGAAATGGATGTTTAAATTATCATAACTCTGAACAGTACACGTTTTTGTATCTAACAATCCGGATAATCACTGACTTTTTTTGACATTCGAATTCTGACACGACGAAGCTATTGTTTTACAGAAATAAGGTTGAAGAAGATTTGAATTTTAAGAAGTGCGCGAAATCGAATTTTTGGAATTGCGCGAAAAATTGGTGCTCTATGCAAAATAAGAAATATATTTTCTGGCTGCGCTCAAATTTCTACACACGGGCTCTTTTCGTATGTCGCTGCTCTGTCAGCAAGGCCAATCTCTTACAAATGAATTAAGGAGGTAAGTTTCTAAAGAAACTGTTGTGCTGTTGGGTGTTACAAGATTATTTGGTTTTATCATTGATAATGTAAATTGACTACCGTAGAGAGTTTCTGAAGCTGACGTTTTGAGCGTTAACTTTTCGTCAGAGCGAACTCTTTCAAAAGTTCTCCATAATACTTATTAGTTATTTTTATATTTATGTGAAGATGGGTTTGGAAATTGAAATTTTTCAACTTCAGACTTCCTTTTTGATCACGGAGAAATCTTTTGAATCGAATAAGTGCTCCTCTGAAAATTTCAATACAGTAATTGCTCACTTTTGTTGACAGATAATTTAGCCTTCACCGAAAGATTGCTTCAGACAATGGAATGGGCATCAGAACGGCACAAGTTTGATTACTTTCTACGCATAGATGACGACCATTTCCTTTGCCTGGATCGACTTCTGTATGAATTAAATTTCCGTCCAAAAGAAGCACTGTACTGGGGATTTGTGCATTGTAAACCAAAAATAGTCCGCGTGGACGAAGCTTGGCTTCTTCTCACGCACGACTTGATCGAAGAGATTCTTGAGAAGAGAAACAGTAGTCTTCTTTGCTCCCCCTACGGTGATCAGGCGGCAGCGTTATGGATGATGGAGAGCAAGAAGAATGTTACTTACTTCATGGACAACCAAAGAATTGTACACAAAAGCGCAGGAAAAGATCAGAGGTTTTTACTCGATAAGGACGTTTGCCAAAAATATTTGAGTCTTCATGGATCGTACCCCAGATCTATGAGACAATTGTGGCTGTCTTCTTATGTCTTGCGCAAGGAAACTTCATTGTCTGGTTCATATAATATCACTGAAATAGAACCGTTCGCAAAGTTGTGCCGCCATTCCCCTGTTTTTGACTATATGGGGTTCTTCCCTGAGTATAGGTTCGAGCCCAAGCCCTGTTCGGGAAACCCGAAGTGGTCCATTTCTAAGAAACCCCATGTGGGCCGAGAAGAAGCTGGAGAAAGATACTCAAAGTATAAATAATGATGATGATATAGTTATTTTGTCGCGAATTCGTTGAAAATCCGTATTGGACCGCAGAAGGACGTGAAACAGAAGAGACGAATCTTAAAACCAAAACAAGAGAAAAATATCTTTTTTCTCGCATCGAGGAAGTTTTGAGTATCAGATGATGGAACGAAATAGGGAGAATTTCATTTTATCAGTTAAAAAACTGCGGTAAAATTTTTGTATACTCTCATTATTGCTTTGCTCAACAAATTACTCGCGACGGAAATTAAGAGATTTCTCGTATTAGTCACTCATTACGAAAAGGTCACAGTTTCACAGATTCTATTTAATCATTCAAGCTGTTCTTAATATGTATATCAATCATATTATCTTTGTCTTCATCTTTTGAAACGCTCAAATGTCCGCAATTTGTTGAGTGTACAACATGATTTAGGTGCAAATTCCTTTCTCTCCGACCCAAAGGAAGTACTTCGGTGAAAATCAGACGCCTCAATTGCTCAATACCTCTGACGTTTACCGTGCGTGAACAAAATAAATTCCAATGAACGCCGACGTTTATGAGTTTGTCAATCAAACATCTCTGTGAGTGGGTTTAATCTGTATGCGGGCAGTTTATTATTCAATTACTTCCTATTTTCGTTGAGGGATCCTTTATTTATTCTGTTTCCTATAGAAGTTTATACAGTCAGATTGTTTACTTTATTGTTAGGTGCTGAGCGGGAATGATGAATTAGAACTCTACATGACTTTACTTACAATGGACGAAACCGCGAAAATTCCGATCTGTTGTTGTCAACTTGTTGTGGTCATGCATCAAACCGCGAAAACTCGAACATTTAATGCTCTGCGCAGTAGAATAAAAACGCCTTAAAATTTTAATAAGTTTACTTTAAGAATCAAAGCTTTTTGAAAAGTGTGGATTAGCGCTTTAGTGTAATCGGTCTTGGAAATAATTTTCTCTTCTCGGCTTGAAGCGCGGTCATAAAATTTCCCTTTGTGATGAAAATAGTAAATAGTTTCAGCTTTTTAATTCATGTAATCGCTCAATTAAGATGAAGTTTTGTCAAAGGAAGCCAATAACAGAATCAGTGAAGGGAAAAGAAAAAAATAGAAAAGAAAAAGTTACACGAATTATTCTCAAAGGCATTCAATTCCATGCTTTCAGAAGTTTTTCCCATTATAATCAGGCGGCCGCGTTGCAATCCAATCTAATTTACATCTGTATCTGTGTGTTAATTGTGTTAGGCATTCTGCTAGTGGCCTATTCTAGAAAACAAAACAGCCCATAAATACACATACAACGTAGAGTCTTTTGTTGTTTAATGTTTCGTAAAAAATGGATGGTGGTCATACCTCAGCGAGCGAGGGTCGTGTCTGCTTTTGTGCTTAAAAACTCATTTACGTTTCCTGAGAACACATGCCAGCGTCTCAAACTTTCTGAATTTCAAGAATCTCGGGTTAGAAATCGAAAGTCTGGCGACAATATCATGTTTGGCTCTACTACAGAAATGACATAAAGTAGCCGATGTGTCGTGTTTTAATAAGCTTAATCAAGAATTCTTGTATGTGATTACACCAGGCTTTTTACTCTGGGAGAGAAACGCACGAGGCGTACGTTACATTTACCACGCAGGTAGGGATAATTTCTTAATATCTTCTATATCAATGAATGATTTGTTAATGCTTTGATTGGTAAAGAGAGATCATTTCCCGAGAAAATCTGCCACGAACCCTCACAGCACAAAGGTAATTGTGCCCGCTACCATGTAGCTCAAAACTATGTTTACTCTATAAGAAGTACCTCTTAGCCTTGATGTTTTCCATTCGTTAGCAAGAAAGACGATGACATTTCTTAATCCGGAAAATGTTACTACTAAATAACGCGTTAAAACTTCGGGAAAAACCACTTCTACGGTCGATTCCTCCGCGCTTAAGACAAGTGCTGATCGTATCTGTGAGTGTTTGTGAATTCCACTGGTTCCCGAGTCAATATAAATCCACGATTAAGCGCATATCAGGAAGAGATAGACGTAAATGGTATGTTTTGGTCTCATGTAGTCTTACTTTGAACTGACCATTATCACAAATGTTCATACATTTACGTCCGAGCTGCTTAAAGCTTATTTTGAACTTACAAAAGGAAACAAAAGCATTGATAGTTATCAGTAAAAGAAGCGCAAACTGTTCTTCTTTCTTATTGATCAGTGGTCTTTAAAACAGCATTTCATATTGTTGTGCTTCAATATTCAATATTTACGTGGCTGTGTAATGAAACATAACTGTTATAGCCCACATTTTGTATTCCTTTTAATGAAGGCTTCTTGCATTTATTCGAGATTCAAGCAATTTGTGAGAACTAGAAGTAAGGCGGGTTCAAAGTGTCATCTGTTTGAGTGCTCGTTACAACACCTGAGGCAATTTCTGTAGTGTCATATCTACGCGAAAGAATGCTAATAGTGGCTAATTGCTCTTTTGGACCCAAATGCAATGAAATTAATCACCAGTGACGGCTGTGTTGACAAAAGAAGTCTGCAAGTGTTGTTAAAAATAGCGGAACGCCAGTAGCAATATTGCTGTAGTTAATTTGTGATGCGACCTTCATGTAGAACGGGCCAGTGGTTTTGGACAGCGTCGTTTGGAGTTTCTCTTGAATTGTGACAAATTGCTACATTGTTAGTGCTCTTTAATTGTTTTCATTTGAAATTTGCGAACGTACTTATGACAAGTAGAAACATTGGAAACAAACAAAAGAAAGGCGTGTTATTAAGCTCTTATATAAACTACTTGAAGATATTGTGGTGAAAAATTGTTTCTATGGTTTCGTGTTGCTGTTACGAATAAACACTTGAGGACGGAAAAATAACTTCCAACTCCAAATTCTTGTTTTTCTTCCGGCTTGTTTATTTTGAAACGATATATCGTGGGGATTAAAAACAATTCGATCGATCTCTTGTCTTATGCGATTATGCACAAAGAAAAAAGAAACGAGATGAATCAATAATACGGAAGACTTTATTTAGGAAACGCTTATAGGCCCGCAAAGCGTACGCAAAACCTCTTGTCGCGACCACGACAGTGAACTTCACGGATTAATCAAATTATATCAAACACGATTTCGTGACCTCTCCTCCTGCGTGTTGACGTCACATGGCAGAAGACGTATACACAGCTGGATTTTTTTTTTAAGTTTGATATTTTAATCCATATTTGCTTTTTCACGCTTTGCCAAGGGTGAGATGCGATGGTGGATGAAAATACCCTACTGGGTGAGTTTTGACTCTTTTTCCGTGACGTAGAGGTCGTGAAATATTTAATTTCTAAGACAACATCTGTCGTGTTTAATTACGAGAGATAAGGCTGATGTAATGATGTAATTTTGCCCCGGCTGCATTATCAGATATACGCTAATAGCATCACCCGCCCGCGTAAAGTTTCATTTAAATCACACTTTTATTGAGGCGTAGAATATAATTACCTTAAATTAGAAAATCCTAAAATCGTAGTTAACTATGGCGATCGCAGGTCAAAAAGGAGAGACCAGCCCAAAAAGAGAACAAACAGGGTCTGGAATAGAGGGAATGGAATCGGTTTGAAAGTTTCACGTGAAATCTCATGAAAAAAAATCTATCTGTAAAATTAAGTGAATTATTATGCTTTTTTATTTCTATCGATTTTTGTTCATTCAATAGTTTTATGGTAAGGTTGTCTGTATTTAATGTCCGGGAGAGTATCTGCAGGTCGGGGTCGGCCGATTGTCTTTCAGATCAAGTTTCTCTCATTGCATAACACCGTTATCATTCTGGTTCTTTGGTCTGTTCAATTAAAGAAGGGAGTGAAAATAGTGATCATTGATACTTTCAGACAAGACTTTTTTTTAACATTAATCAGGTTATTCAAAGAGGCAGCTAACGGTACTTATATGTCTCGTTATTCTGATACGTTTTAGCTCAATTAGAATTGGGTACCTCAAAATATCTCAAGAATATCCTCCAAGGGCTTTCTGATGATATTGCTACTTATGGTTATGATGACAATGATAATAATAATAACGATAATAGTAATAATAACAATAATAATTATGATAGTTACAACTATGGTTTCGCATAAACAATGGATGATTTCAAAGTCTGTAGATTGTTCTTTCAGATTAAGGAATCTTTAAAGAGTTCGGGCGGAAGATTTTCGCAGTTTGCCCGGAAGCAGTACGGCCTTAATCTCCTCAAATATTTCTTGGTCATGTCTTGTTAGTGTTTCACACACTCTATTCAAAATGGTGCAAATGATGTAGACCCACACGCGCGAGGGAAGAGTCGTCCATATCGCGATTGATTCTTCTCGCGTGTGATTCTTAGATTATCGTCAGGCATTTTTTTAATTTTTGTTTATGTTTTTTTTAAACACTTTTTCTGATTTGAGCCTTGTTGCCCTGTTTCGTAAATTTTTCCAATAAACTCTTGGTGCCAAAATTTCCCACATTAGTCATTACTGAAGTTGGCAAAGGGTCAATACGTGACGTGTGTTTAAGCCTAAAATTAATACGTGACGGCGAATTTAAACAGAAGGCAAGGTGAAATGTTCAATTATGTAATCATGACGCGTGAAATACCGCTCAAAGTATACGTGAAGAGTAAATAATTCTATAATTTGTGCATGAAATGGGACCAGGATCCTTTCTTTGCCACCTCTAGTGCTGACCCCCTTTAAGGTCTAAGGCGAGTTGGTGAGTCGAGGAAGAAAACTCAATCGACTTTAACATTCAGAAGTGACGACAAAAATATCAGCCTCCACCGATTACAGTGCATTGCTACTATTATTGTTGAGGTGAGAGGGATGTCAAAGAAGTTCACTTTGAGTCCTCTTTGACGTATTCTTTGCCTCCTACAATGATCTATTCTTACCATAAGCCATCAATGAAAAAGTAATTAAACTCATCTCGCTGCGTCATCAAAGAAAATTAAGCAGTTTAGGTAATATATGATAGGACTATCTTCTGCCAGTCGTTGAAAAGTTGG